AAGAGTGGCACATTTGGCATGAGAAACATGGAATCCTCTCCCTCCGACCTCATCGGGTGACCTGTGGACCTGATCGTCGCTGGCTGTGGCAATGGCGGACCTGGCGGAGTTTCTTGGCGATGATGTCGCTGATGTTCTCATGACGACGATGTCGGATTGGTTGATAATGTGCTACAACCGTTTTATCATGATTAACATATACCGTTTTCGCTATCAACATGTTGTGAGTCTTACAGGTTCATTGTGATTGTGTTTGACATGTTGTGTTCCAATTGTCGTATCTATTTTCAATGCAATCATCAACAATTCATACTCTACAATGTTGATTCATAACCAAACAAAAAGAGAGAGAAACATAACAACAAACTACTGTTTTAGTAGGATTCTACTCGTCTATTTTTTGGGCTGGTGCCTTTCTGTTACACTCCGAGGCGGCCAGAGAAGGCGGGCGCTGCTTCAGTTGCTGTCCGTGGGCGCAGCTGCAGCGAGTGCGAAGAGTTGAGCAACTTGGAAAAGTGGCGTGGCGTGGCTGGTGATGATGGCTAGTTATCAAACAATATGTGAAAGGGGTGTTCAATTAAGCCATTTTGTACATGCATGTAGTTTTTTTTGTATATGCATGTAGTATACAAATGCATATACAGTAGAGCGAGGGGAGATGGATGGATGGATAGATAGATGGATAGATGGATAGATGGATGGATGGATAGAGCGATAGATAGATAGATGGATGGATGGATAGAAAGATAGATAGATAGATTAGATAGATTAGATAGATTAGATTGATTAGATAGATTAGATAGATTAGATAGATTAGATAGATTAGATAGATTAGATATATTAGATAGATTCGTTGGATTAGATAGATTAGATAGATTAGATAGATAGATAGATAAATGGATATATATATATATATATAGAGAGAGAGAGATAGATAGACAGATAGATAGATAAATAGATAGATAGATAGATAAATAGATAGATAGATAGGTAGATAGATTCATAGATAGATAGATAGATAGATAGATAGATAGATAGATAAATAGATAGATAGATAGATAGAGAGAGAAATATAGAGAGATAGATAGATAGATAGATAGATAGATAGATAGATAGATAGAGAGAGAAATATAGAGAGATAGAGAGATAGAGATATAGAGATATTAGAATAGATTAGATTAGACTGGATAGATAGATAGATTCATAGATAGATAGATAGATAGATCGATAGATAGATAGATAGATGAGATGAGATCAGATCAGATCAGATTAGATCAGATTAGATTAGATTAGATTAGATTAGATAGGATAGATAGACAGACAGACAGACAGACAAATACATAGATAGATAGATGGATAGATAGAACTATCAGGTAGGTAGGTATTAGGTAGGTATTAGGAGGCAAGTAGGCAGGTAGGCAGGTAGGTAGTTAGAAAGCAATAGTAAAGCATCCCCAATCTTGTGGTACATGGGTGGTATAAATTATCAAAATATGGATCTGATGCAAATAGGGTAGTAACCGCGGACCAGAAGTCAGTTCCTCCGAACAGGATTGCAGTAACTCGGGGGTCCTCATGGTGTGTCTGAAAATGGGCATGCCGCCAAAAACCAACACATTAATGGAGAACATATGGTGATGATCGCTATCAAATTTTGGGAAATGAATCAGGAATATGATATGCGGATATAATAAGAGTCAATGGGAGAATTAAGGGATATGCTCATTATTCCATATCCTAAAAATCTCCATTTCACTAATGTTAAATCAGTTAACCATAATCTGAGTGGACTCCCCAATCTTCACCCTTTCTTCCCCCTTGGGCCCTTGAACCACTAGAAATGATTGGGTCCCCAGGAGCCAAGCTCAAGCGTGCAGTCATCGTGATCGAAGCGCTGAAGTCGCCTATCCCAAGAGTGGCCTTCGGGGACCAGTGAATTAACCTGCAGTGAATGTTATAACTATATTTGATTGGTGGTTGGGAATATGTTTTTATGTTTCCATATATTGGGAATTTCATCATCCCAACTGACTCATATTTTTCAGAGGGGTTGAAACATGTATAAACACTGGTTGGTGGTTTCAAACATGAATTTTATTGTCCATTTCATATGGGATAATCCTTCCCATTGACGAACTCATATTTTTCAAGATGGTTGAAACCACCAACCAGTTACCCTGTAGTAAGTTAATAATAGTTATGCTGATAGTAATTACCCTATCTAGCATTACTATCTTATTGAATTATTATAAGAATATTTTTATAATCAAATTAACATAGACCCTGCCAAATAGGGATTGAAAGATACATGTTTCCACTAAAAGTTGGTTATGTTCAAGGTCTATGTTAATATACCAGAGGGTATATTGATCAGTTATAGTAGAAATGATTACAATTATTTATCAGTTTGTGTACTATAATTATAAATATATAATTAATTATATATTATCTACCATTTTTAATTGTATATACAATATAATATTTAATCAATATATATATATAATATATATATATAATATACCCCTCCAGTTTTTTCGAAGATGGCGATCGTGCTAGTGGCCATGTGCTTGACCCCCGAAAAAAAATGCCAGAAATTGGGTCAAGGCTCAGCGGAACGCTGAGCGTCGATCCCACGGGCTTTTTCATACTGACAGAAAGTACATACAATATGAAAAATAATGGGATAAGAATTGTATGTACAATAAGAATGTATAAGACAATAAGAATGTATAAGAATGTATAAAAATGTATAAGAATGTACAATAATATTCATTATCATACCCCATAGGATCCATGGTGCTGGTAAATATGCTAACATGACTGGGGTATATTGATGGGATCCATGTGACACCATATATAGCATACATGGATCCTATGGGTACTATAATTGTACATTCTTATACATGCTTATTTGTTTTTATATATTGTTGTTGCTTGGACATACATTCTGAAGTATTTCTAAGTAACATCAATTACAATTCTGTTGTTCTTCGCATATCTTAGTAATGTGGTAAACAGAATAATCAACCATCCCCAAAATCATGACAAATGGTCCAAATGGTTGATAAAAAAAACATGTAAAAACCATGCCCAAGTGGTAAGCTTATTATATACCACATAGGATCCATGGTGCTGCTATATATGGTGTCACATGGATCCCATCAATATACCCCAGTCATGTTAGCATTAATATACCAGCACCAGCCGGATCCGTCATGGGTACCACATTTTCTCGCGAGTTTGGCTCGAAGCCGGCAAGATCGCGGGATCGCGAGGCATTGAGGTGGATTGACGCGACTGTGGGGGACAACACCATGACTGGGTAAAACAATGCCTTATTTTTACCACCCATTTTTGAGGGAATCATAAGTTTATACCTATATTTCAATGCTGATGGCTGGGGGATGGTGCAAACGGCATTGTTTTACTCACATTACATGGGTCATCAATGCTAACATGCTAACATGGGTATGATTCACTTGACATGCATTATTACTTTAGGCATAACTGTAGTAATGGGAATAATATGGAGTGCATGGGGAAAACATGGAATGATACACAAAAAAATACACTGGAAGAATACAATGGCATAATGAACAATTGTGAATTTATAGATATAACAGTGAACAACATCTGGCAACATATACTCTGACACCAATCTGAAACCACTCATGGAACCACTAATGGATACTAATAGAACATGGGGGTTTCTCGATCTGCTTTTCTTGCTTTTCTTTTGGTTGATGGGGGTTTTAAGAAGCTGATGTTGTTCCCAATCCAATTCGGAGTGGAAATCGGACCAAACACCTGACTGAAGTCTGAGGCTGATAGCTGATGGTGTGTTTATTGAATACTCCAAATCAGGGGAATTTCTCGAAGCAGTTCGGTTTTGAAAAAAATACCCGGAATTTGCAGAATTGTGGCACCAGCAGAATATCTTGAAAAGCACCAATGGAGTGAACATCACGGGAAATATCAAGTTTGGTAGCATGTTAGTTTCCATTCCTAAAAAGGGATGATGATCCCATATGATCCTATTTGACCAGTTGCTTAATGTATAGAATGTATTTTAGTGCTTTTGGGATGTTTTTCTCACCAACAACTAAGTGTGGTTATATATATACACATAATACACAATCTATATAGGATTAAAATCATAACAATAGCCTTTGTATATTTATTAAGGTGTTTATACGGCAGCGACATTTAAATATATGGAGGGAGGGCGAGACCGCGATGCCCCGGAGGTAGTATAAAACATAATAAAACACCAGTTCCATCCGTATATTTAAACGTAATGTATGTGTAAACAAATTGGATTCCGTATGTTTAAATGGCCGGGCGGGCCAAGGAAAACCTTCCAGGAGGTAGTCTAAAATACCAGTTCGTATAAATCTGTGTATTTGAATGTAGTTACCGTACTATTTGTTTTGTATAATATAATTCTATCCATACTTATTAACCGAAAGGTAAACTGCAGATATCAGATTGGACTAGGATATCAGATAGATCGATAGGTGCGTGCATGATGTGTATATGCATATATATATATATGCATATATATAACTATTTATGTGTATATGTATATATGTATATATGTATATATGTATATATGTATATATGTACATATGTATATATGTATATATGTATATATGTATATATGTATATATGTATATATGTATATATGTATATATGTATATATGTATATATGTATGTGTAGATATATATATATATATGTATATATATATATATGTATATATATATGTATGTATGTATGTATATGTACATATGTATATTATAAATATATATATATATTGTACGTATGTATTATATACATATTATATATATATCATATACATATAGATATGTTTATATATACACATAGATATGTGTACATATGTATTCGGTATGATATATGATACACTGGTACATGATACACTGATACAGCAGCACCTTGATCGACCATCCCTCTGTGCACCAATCCAGGACTGCAAAAAAACATGGCGAAGGAAGCACATAGCCTCAGCTTGGTGCAGGAGCTTGAATCCTCCTCCACCTCCACCGATGCGTGGCATAGCGATGGGTATACCACGGAAGTTTTTCGCCTCTGATTTTACTGGGAATGGAAATAGAATGGGAATATGGGAATCTACTTGGATTTTCCCTCTGGTAAACTGACAGTTGCTATGGAAAATGACCATGTCGAACAGGTAAAGCATTTATAAGTGGGGCCATTGTCCACGGCTATATGTTAATTTGCTGAAGTGTATAACCTTATGTAAACTAACATCGATGTGGACAATCCATGACAATCCACCATGAATGTACACAGGAAACCATTGGTGTTCCACATTTGTGTCAGTTTACCCCAGGGTCATCAGGAGATTAGGAAAATTCATATTATGTCTACACTTAAATAGTTCACAAGGTAAGTTGGCCTGTTACAACCGGACAACTGGGGTTTATGGTCGGAAAATGCCTCTAGTTCGATAGGTGAACATTCAACAACTCATGACTGGCCCCACATGGTAGGTACGACCGGGGGGGCTCGGGGGATCGCACGGTTCTCCCAGATTCTCTTAGGATGAGTTTGCCAGCAATAGAAAGGCAGGTGAAGGGAGCGATGGGGAGCCAGGTGGAGCTTCAGCAGATGATCAATCGTATTGTTGATGGACTGCGATGGATTCTTGAGGATATTCATGTTTTGTACGTGGCGACTTTTTTTCTGCCTTCAAAACACATAAACGGTGATATTAATGTGGATTTTCCATTTTTACTGTTTCACAGTTTGACAAGACTTTGGGTTTAACCATGTTTTTGTTGCCACAAAAAACCGCTCCAGTGCCTGGAACCATCGGTTCCACCGCTCTTTGCAGGTGCAGCGAAGCTCCTCGGAGCGCTCCTCGCGCCGGAGGGAAAAACTCCGGAAGAAGCGAGAACAGCAGCCCCTCCGCTCGAAAGGAGTTAGACCAGCAAAACGCATATGTTTAAACGTTGAAACCATCAGGGATTTTAAGAGATTTAGCACTTGACTTGGTATATTTCACATTATCAGGATATCACCAGGTAAATTGGTAAAGGCAATTTCATTGGACAGCCAGCCAAGTCAACCGGTAGATTCAAACTTTTTGATATATATATATATACATACATACATTTATATACATATATATTTACATATATATATACATATATATATATATACATATACATATATACATATATATATATATGTATATACATATAACGTATAGACTTTATATCACATTAGAGATGTACTTGGTTCACTGATCTGACAAGGTCGTTTTCGGCTACGCCGAGGCTTCAAGACTTCTTGACGCTTCATCGATTTCCAGATGCCTTTGAGCCAAGAGTGACCAAGCAGACCCTTGGGCATCCAACTCGTCGGCACGGCAGAAATGGGCTAACCCTGTTTTCAGAAAGCCACTTTTGGGTGAGGGATGCGGGGAAATGATACATGATTGGCATCATGATCGGTATCCATCATTGTGAATATTATATATTGTGTGGATAAATAGTATAATGTCTGAATCTGGATCACAAACAACCTCATGAAGCAACAATTGCAAGGGATCTGTGTTCCTTTCATTGCTGTGGCTTGACCATCAATGTTGTTTTTCTTGTGCGAATCTCCACTTGTTTAGCTGAACCGTCACTGTTTCATTTGGCAACCATTGTTTGTTGGTCAAGGCAGACTTATTGGTTAGATCAAATGGGAATGGAATTCTTTAGGTGTTTCTGTGACACTGTGGGTACCGTAAATTCTCTTAAAGAATTGAATTGTATATCAAATCAAGTGTATTCTGCCCATGTTTTGTTTCCCCCCTTTTCGCAAGTGATCTCCCCGATTTCTTGACATGTCAAATGAGTCTCCCCAAGATCGGCACCAAGGAAATGTTTGCCTTTCCTCAGAGGTGTGGTCGAATCACTCCATGCGTAACACTGGCGCATCAATGGCCACGGCCCATGGGTTTTTATACATTGCGAGTTCTCTGGGACGTTGAGCAACATTTAAGCGCCGACCAAAGAACCGTATTTCTTCACGGTCTGTTCCAGTGTTGTGTTCAACTTTGTATTTGGTGAAAGGCCCGCGAACCGCGATGTTTTCTTTTGAGCTATTGACCTTTGCTGGTCAGTGGTTTGAAATTGGCATTTGTTGCTTGTCCATGTTTGAAGATTAGCAGCGCCAACAAGACATTCTAATTGATCTATGGGTTCTCGAAGACACTATCATGATTGAATTTCAAGATGCCATTTTGGACTGGAGAACAAGTACAGTAGGATTTGCTGTGTCGGCTGTGTAGTGGCAAAGGCATTTGGCAACAAGCTCGGAGTCATCGAATTCTGAATTATAGTTTGAATATCTAGTTGCAACTTGAATTAAGAAATCTATACACCATGTATCACACTCATACATCCATTTGTGCATAGTATGGATTCGCACCTAAGTGCAGTATGATGTAGAGCAATATTATGATAGTGTTATATTATAGATATATATATATATATATTAGTATCATATTCTATATAATTATATATGTAAAATGCTGGTAAAGGAATAAACAACAATCTCCGAAATTACCAAAAAAGGGTGCTATAAAGCATCAATCCGTATGGGTGGTTTATTATCGGTTGCCGGCTCCGTTCCAGGAAGCGAAGAGCTGATGTATCCGATCCACGTCGCAGCTGCCAAGGGCGATAGTGGCTGGGTGAGAAAAAAAACATGGGAGACTTGTCGCGATCTGGGATTTCATGGGAAATCAATAGTTTTTAAATGGCAAATTCATGGGATTTCATGGGAAAATCATGGGAAATTCATGGAATTCATGGGAAATTCATGGAATTCATGGGAAATTCATGGGATTTCATCGGGAAATTAATGGGAAGTTATTGGGAAATTAATGGGATTTATTGGAGGTTTCTTAGACTGGGAGTACCCCAAAGTCATCCAAGTCATTTGACCATGACTTAGTATAGAAACCCATGGTGACTTGGGGATCCTCCTTTTTTAGAAACCTCAATATTTATGTCAATGTGGGATAGTATAGTAACCCCAGGCATTTCATGTTAGCTTGGCTTGCACCTTAACATTGCCAATGCGTTGCCGGCCCAGAAAACGATAAGAGTAAAAAACACGATACCGATGCTCATACATATACATATTATGAGGCACGGTCAAAACTCTGGTATGCTACTTGTGCAAGGAGAGTTCTCGGGTGTCAGGAAATTGCACAAAACACTGGCGTTGAGCATAAACGTTTGCGGCTCCAGGGAGGACACGTCGTCAAGTTCCTCTTCCAGCTCTAGCTCAAGCACGGACTCCTTGCCCTAATCTCACAGAAAAGGAGTTGCACAAAGCTAGTCAAGTGCTGAGATGCTTCATGATCATGATCCATATAGAAGATTCCACAGGATAACATTTTTTGATCTTCCACCAAAGATTCTTACACACCCATGAAATCCCGGTAAGTTCACACTTCTTGTGTACAGGGAGCTCACCACCTGAGAAAACGATAAGAGTAAACAAACGATAATAACGTGATTTTGGGTCATTTGAAAAGATACGTTTTTTTTTTATACAACCACATGTGTTTATGTGCTTATTGACAATAATACAGTACATAATGCGGTAAACCTAGTGACATAAATAAACCATCCCGATATTACCATAGATGGGTGGTACGTATTCCCAAATGGCAGGTTTATTATTGTGCTTTCTGATTTACCATATTACATTGACACATATCTTATGTTTTATAGCTATGCAAATATAGCTATCTCTACCTATACATGTACAGAAAGTAATCATTGCTATGGAACCACCAAAAGTGATAGGTTTTGATTTTGATTTCCCAGACAGGATAATTTTCGCCCACAATTACTATCATTGAGGCGGGGGACTTGTGATGATATTGGCACAACACAAAATCCGAATTGGAGCGTGTCTCCCTATTTTCGGTTGTTGAATCAAGTTGAAGACTCCAGATTCAAGAGTTTCACACCATGTTGCTTGAATCCCCATTGCAATCTACGTGTTTCTTGGTTCACTCCCCATCTCTGGTTACTAAAGGAAACCTCACTTAGTCGGAACGCCATGAAATTCATGACCATTCCTGGTCCCAGGCAAGATCCTGCGACTTCTCTTAGATGCAGGAGGGATCGCCGCTGGGAGCACTTGTATTCAGCAAACATGGGGGAGTTCGCCACCACAACATGCTAGTTCAATGGGATATAACAAACAACAAATTATGATTTCATGGCATTTAATAGTGATATATTGGGATACAATGAGTACATTCTAAGGAGTATAAGCTTATGATTTGGGGTTTAAGTGCCTTGTCAGGAAGTATTAGGATCCACAGGGGATATATCATTCCCTTCGGTAATGTGCTACATACCTATATGGAAAATAGCAGTTGTCTCTAATCGGTAAATCATAGTCACAGTCTTCGTTGTTTTAAGATTTTAACAAATGTTCGCAGTTTTTTTGGAGGTAAATCTCAGGATCTTGAGTAAAAAACAAAACTCTTCCACAAGGTGTCCCCCAGTTACAGTAGGTAAGTTGTTTTCTTACTGTATCGGGTTTATGGTATATTATGGTATATAGTCTAGATATAGTAAGATAAAAATATATATATATATTATATATATATATTATAGATATAAAAACAGCTTATATCTGAGAGACCCCACAGCCCACGTCCAGGAGTCGACGCCGCGCAACGCACCTCTAAGGGTCGCTTGGCCATTGACTTGGCCCGCGCCAACGGCTGGGTCGAGGCCAGAGTCCCATGGGATCCACGGTGGTTCCAGTTCGCTTCGCGTCGCTTCGCTTCGCCAGGCCGCTGAGATCTTGGAGAATCCCGTGAAACCCGTGAAGGTCAGAGACATGTTTCTCGGGCGCGGACATATCGATCTATATATATATATATACCAGGATGTACAAACGGGTCTCAATTAGGCACCCCTTAAGGGGGGTAACCATTAGGCACCCTTTAATTTTTAAGGTTCCGAACTAAATGGGTCGGGATATCCAACCACCCCAGGATCTTTTATTCTGGGGGTTGGTTTAATACATTTTACGGGTTCGGTTTTTCCAGGATCCCCGGTAATGTGCAATTTTTTCCTGGGGAGTACCCTTCTTTGAAACAGTATTTTAGGGGGGTTGGGTAGACGAAAAGCACATTATTTTTGGAAAATTGATTTCTTACATCTTGCTAAGGTAGTCGTTGGTACCCCCTGCAATGCATACATTTCAGCCATGCGTTCGTTCCCAAAAAATCCAAAAAAGCGTAAGCGAATGGGGTCTTCAGCCCAGAATATTTTTAGGTGACTCCAGGTATTCCCAGGTGATCTTCTGGTATTCACGGGTTTCAGTAGGTTTCCCAGGAAAAAAAGATCAACTGGATTGAGGTGCAGAACCCCCCATGTTTGCATACATTTAGAAAAAAATATGTATATATCCATTGGCTCTTGTCAGTTGTGCCCCCCACAAAGCATACATTTTCAGGTTCAATACCCCTAACAATAATACATTTCCCGCATCTGGCACTCATACATGCCTCATTTTGAGGGGTTCCCCCCCTAGTTCCCATACATTTTTGGCAAAAAGTGAGGGGGGCAACCCCCCCCTGATGTTCATACATTTGAAAAAAAATAGGATCCACCCCCCTACTCCTGAACCAGTTGGGGTCGGGGATCTGGTATATACACGTGATTTATTATATTGCAGTATTTTATACATACATGCACATATATATATATATATATATGTATATATTAGACATATATTTAATATACACTATATCCTTCCACTTTCAAAATTGGTCACCTCCCCAACCTCACCATAAATTTTCACCGATGGGCAGTTTCTTCTAGTTTTAATGCACGTGTCATCTCCCGTTCAATGCTTCGCGATGACAATTAAATTCTATTAAAAACAAAAAAATGCAAACGTTGAACATTTGATTTGTAGAAACTCCATGACACATCGCAAGTTCCGTTGTTCTTTGTGGGACCCTGACCCATGTGACTTGAGCATCAGGTTAAAGAGTGTGGAGGCGGAGACTCTTGGCCCATAGCTGGAAGTCCAAATGGCCACAGGGTTTTGGAGATCCACTGGGTGAATCCCTTGAAGAATCTGATGCGCATCCATTCCCTCAATTTTTGGTTATTGATTATGCCAAAAAAAACATAAATGAATGAAATATGCCAGTTTTCCCCCCACTTTAGATGTTACATCCCATCCCTTAATTATTTACTCCTGCTCACACTGAGGAATGAGTACACCGAACTCTACTTGTAGGAGATGGAGGTGGCAAGGGGCAGGTGCTGCTGCAAACCCAAAAAGACTGCAACGGGCAAAGTTTGGACATTTTGAAAATGGATCACTGGTCACTGGTCACTAGTCACACTGTCCGACTGTCACATCCCTTTCAAAACAGTTCAATTTCTCAACTGGGGTTCTTATCCAATCTGGTATAGAACCAGCCAATCTTGGTGGTTCAAACAAATTGACCCACAGCCAAGATTGTGAGAGATGAAAATTTAATAAAATTTTATAGAGTCAGCCCGGGCAGGTTCCCCACTACCTCCTAGTGATTCTCCAGAATGTCGATAAGTTTCTAAGAGTCTTATTTATATGGGGATGGGTCAAAATGTAAGCATATTTTAGACCACTTTTTTAGGATTCACATGGATTTTTTGCATCGAAGAATTTATATATGGCTGCTCAATGACTTGACCTATAGCTGTCAGTCTATAGATACACATTTGTGCGTCTGAAAGGAGGGTGCCCCCAAGTTCTCTGGTTTATAATTTCCCCTGGATGAAAAAATGCAAGTCTTTAGACTTTATGGCTAAATCTCTGATTTCCAGACACATCCTGTATCCAAATATGTGGATCCATCAGAATAGTTCAGTCTCCATCCTTAGTGAAACCACAGATCATCACAGTAATAGGGGGAATCTACTGTCTTCACATTGTGGCATGTTCGTTGATGAAAATTTGGTGACAACTGGGATGATTTCCAAGTAGCCAAGGTAAATTCAAGTATACCCAAAAAGATCAAACAGTGAAATCCGAGGCTAAAATAGTGGCAATAATTGTTCTATATCGTATTGAGGGGATTCATTACACAAAACATTTGCAAGTTCTGTGGGCCTTGATTTTTCAGGTTCAGTTCCTTTCACACAGTGCTGACCTTCGGGCATTCGCGATGTGCGGAGATAAAAAGCACACATCACCTCTGGGACTATCGGCAGAACGCATGCATTTTGAGTATAGCGGGTTTTGCCCGCCAAAAAGATACTGTAGAATTACGCAATTTGCCATTATTCCCTACCTGTCAGGTGAGGGTTGTTAGATTTTATATATGTCAGCTGTCCCGCCCGCCTCTTCCTCCTCCTCCTCCTCCGCCACTTCAACTGCAAGCTCCGGATCAGACTGGTCCCTGCCGGGCCTCAACTCCAAGCTCGTGATCGCAGTGGTCCTCGCCGGACCCGAACAGCAAGCCCGGGATCACAATGGTCCCCGCCGAACCTCAATTGCAAGCGCTAGATCGCAGTGGCCCCCGCCGGACCCGAACAGCAAGCCCAGGATCAGACTGGTCCCCGCCGGACCTCAATTGCAAGCGCTAGATTGCAATGGTCCCCGCCGGACCCGAACAGCAACCGCTGGACGAAAGTGATCCCAGCCGGACCTCGACCACAAAGAATGTCCGAAGATATATCAGTATCAGAGTATCAGATAGAATGCGAGAAAGAATGTCAGAAGAGTTGCCACATATAATGCCAGAAAGAATGTCAGAATATATGCGAGAAGGTGTGTCAGAATAGATGCCAGATAGAATACCAGAAAGAATGTCAAAGTATATGCCACAAATAATGACTTTCCAGATGGTATGTCAGAAACTATGTCACAATAATGGATCAGGGTGGTGATATCTCGAAGAAAATAATTTTAGTAGGTTTGTGTTTTTCCATGTTTGGCGTTACTATAGGTAGAATTTGGTATGTCAGGTATGTACTAAGTGTGACTTGCATGATTTGGTGGGCCTTTTTGAGTTTTAAGTGCTGGCCACAGAAGCGATTGCAAAGAATTTCAACGAGGATCGAGTCTGATCCAGCATATATCTTGACAAATTTGTTCCATGGAAAGCAAAGAGTCACAACCCGTTTGAGTTTGGGCTCAGGTTGTACCAATCACTGTTTGTATGTACGCGTCCGTCAAACTCCTCAGCATTTGTTCAAATGTTTCAAACATTTTAGGTTAGAGAAGGTGTGTTTGAACAAGCATCCGTTTGTTCATGCGTGTGCTTGCAGAATTTGCAGGTCCAGAGTGTGATGTTGTCTTGACCCATCGCAACGCAACAAACCGTACAGTTTTTTATATCATTGCTGGCCGTTTGCCACGGAATGGACATAAATGGACTTAGTTGTATCAATTTGGACATTTCCTAAGTCATGGTGGTACCTGAAATCGTCCAGACATCATGCATGACCATTGAAGTATTGAAAAACCAATGTTTTTCTTGGGGATCCCCCATGACTCAAGAGAACCATGTTGCTTCAGCTGTTGCCATATCTTTCCCTGGGGCGAAGTGCAAGCTCTTTTCGCAATGTCAAGAGTTTGTCCAATTCAAAGGCAATTCAATGTGTTTGACCTTGGTCGCCTTGGTCATTGGTCCTGTGAAATTCAAGGTTTACCGGGAATGCCCATGTATGGATGATTTACCTATGGAAACATATAGAAACTTATAAAGCTGTTGATGTTCATTGAGGCCCCCCATAGCAATGTCAGCTATGACACCAGAGGGTACGTGTCATCCAGTTCCGATGTCCACTCCCTTGACACTGTTCCAGTGATACAGCTTGAGACATCGTGGCTCCCGGAGTCGAATTGGTAACCATCCCCTTGGCTGCGCGTTGCACGGGACAAGGCCTGAAGGCCTGAACAAATCCGGTGGATGGAAACTCAATCTTGCAGCACCTTGGATGGTGGAAAGCCGATCAACTGGTGCAGGATTTTGAAACCATCCACTTTGTATCCCTGTTGGCTCATGGAGGTCCCCAGTGGTTGATGTTGATAGATTTCCACAGTTCTACTAATTCGATTTCCCCAGTGAGGACCTTTCGGATTAATGTTGTTAAAACATGTTAAAACAATAATATGGGAATGGTTTATAGCACCCATTTGTGCTGATTCTGGGGATGGTGGATTGTTGTTTTAACCACATTACTTGTTTTGTTCCTCCAAATTGGACACACGCATGATAGTGATTTTGGTTGCATCCTTTTTCACAACATTTGGCTACTTATAGTACATGGGCATGTGCCAAAACATGTCAAAATTAAGTTTGTTTGCTAGTGCTAGTACTGAACTCCCATCTCTGGACACATCATTCTCTTGTTGGTTAGTTTATGTTTTCCACATGAACAGGAGATGAGTAAAAGGATAGCTCAAGACTCAAGACACGCTAATTGTTCATTTCATGGATCCCGAAATAAATCCCATGGGGAGTACAGCAATCCCAAAGTTTGGGATGTTCATGCGCCATCCAGCTAAGGTGGAACATCCACCATTGATATCCATTGATCATTTTGTAAGGAAACTATGGGGAAACATATATATATGAGTAACCGACAAAATTATTGTAATACTACAGTAATTTAGTCGTGCTTCGCCTTGGCCTTTCGGAGGTTGATATACCGATACCCGATTTGTAATGCCTCCAGGAATACTGAAATCCTCACAACTGATAGGGGACGATCCTAATTTGCGCATGGCATTAGATTTAACATATAATTTTGTCCGCTACTCATAATATATATATATAGTAATATTTATATATATATATATCATTTAATTATACATATATATATATACAATATACCTGTAGAAGTTGGGAAGTTTTATATACTCATTTTGTAGGTACATGGAAAGTCGACTTGTCAATGTGAATGTACGGCAATTTACAGTAATTTGGTTCGTGGTGTGAATGTATAGTGTTTTTTCAAATCTACCTGTGTCGATGCTCCCGACTGACACATGGTTTTTGAACGGGGTGTTTTCTCCATACATAATCAGAAGTTTAAATTACCCATCACAAAATCAATAGTGGTGGGGATAATTCGAAAACAAAAGCACCAAAAAAACACCAAAAATCTGAGGTTTAAATGACCCAAAAACACCAACATGATGTTTTTCAGAGCACCAAAAAATGAAGCGCGGCCGAGCTTTTCAGAGCACCAACGCTCCGGAGTCACGGCGCGGGTCCTTTTCCGTGCATGGAATGCTGGTCCTTTTAAGAAGCAGGACTTGAAATTTAACATAGCTATTGAAAATGGCCATTTATAGTGAGTTTTCCCATTAAAAATGGTGATTGCCCATAGTTATGTTAGTTTACCAGAGGGTACCCATGAAACCTTTGGATTTAATCCTGTGTTCAGAATGGGTTGATTGTTTGATGTACACCTGAAAAGCATCGAGAAATAATGACAAATCGATTTAAGATAACATCCAAACTAAACCACGTTCCATGCTAATGGATCCTGTAGCTTGTTGATAGCTTTTATCGACCTTCGGATGTCTAGATAAAATTGTCTAGATGAAGCCCCCTCCAGCCATGTGCGAACCTAGAGCCGGGATATGGATGCTGCAATGAATTTAGACTTGATAACAGGATATAAAAGAAACATATGTTTTTCTCCAAAGAAAATAAGGAGTCCACCAACTGACAATAATGTTTGTGTGTGTGTTTATTTGTGCTAGACTCACCAGGAAATGATTGTTTGCATGGAAACCACCCGGGAAAAAAATCGGCTGCAAGATTAGATATCCATGTTTGTGGTCATGTTTCAACATCTTATCAGACAGCTGTGTAGCATATCTTTCAAGGCGTATGTGTTTAAGAGCCATGGTCAAAACATGGTATATGGGGTAGTGTCATCCATTCCATTATGGGAATCCAACCATGATGGAAATATTAAACATCATTAAACCATATTAATTATTAACCGCAATTTCTATGGGAGCATGACCATCCCTTAATATGGGTCCATTTAACAAGAACTCCATCTATTGACCACACATATGACATGGGGCGCAATGGTTGGCCAGTGGAGGGAGATCCCCAAGGGACCCTCCGACTTTCACACTCTGGGTGGCTTCGACTTCTCAGTGGGAAGCGTCTGGGATGGCTGTCTGAAAATGGCTATGAATCAATACCTATTAATACAATTTTTAGAGGGATGAACATCCATTTACCAGCTATTTTTATGTTCACCAGGGGTACAAGGTTTTGACCCACTGCCAAATCAGCTGTGGCTGAAACAAAGTGGATGGGTAGTTTAATCCTTGAGTTTCTGGCTATAAATGGAATATAACCATAACCAGCAAACAAGCGGACTATCAAAGATTGACCATGAGTCAATCAGTAATTTCCCTTGAAATATCTTGAAATGGCAAGTTGAGAGTATACGATACCCATGTATACTCGATTTTCAGACGCACCCAGCTGAAACGAAACTTTTGCTTGGAGCGGCGGAACTGGCCAAAGCCATGAGGCTTTTCCGCCGGCGATGTGGATATTTGTATTTTGCTCATATTATGAGCAAAATACAAAACTGCTTGGTGGTTTTGAGTTTTCAGTACGTATTTTGTATGTTTGAATTGACTGCATGCAGAGGATGATTACAAGATGTTTAGGAACAGGTTGATACAACGCCAGGACAACAGTTTTTCCTCTTGACCAGCTGCTGCAACCCTCTCCCTTTAGAGTCCTGACCGGTTTCATATGATGAATCACATGCCGGATTGCGGATCAGCTGGTTTGCTTTAACATCATCTTAATTTATTCAGTTTTGAAATCCGATCCACCAGGTCGTGCCAAATGAGGACTTGTTTGATCCACGGCTGAGGATGATGTTGATGACAAGATTCTAAACGGGAACAAAAACGATCGTCCTCCGGATCCCGATGCAATAGTTGAACCATCTCCCAGCAGAAAGGCAGACTGTCCGTAGTTTCAATGTTTTTTTCTTTGCATCACATCAAATACTGATGCCTAATGACGAAAACTGATTTTGATGATGGGCTGAGCCAATTGTTGTTGGTGAATATCGCCATGAAATAACATACAACCCATTTCATGCGATGAAAAAAGTAAGCAGGTTGCACTTGTTCTATCCTCCCCACATTTTGCTAGGATGAACATCCGAATGAAACCTAGTTTTCCCCTCTTGGATGCAGTGAAGCACCTGTTGTTGTTGTTGTTGTTGTTGTTGTAGTTGTGATTGTATGTTTTATGTTGTATGTTGTATGTTCAATGTTGTATGTTGTAGTTGTAGTAGTTGTAGTAGTTGTAGTAGTTGTAGTAGTAGTAGTAGTAGTAGTTGTTGTAGTAGTAGTAGTAGTAGTTGTTGTTGTTGTAGTTGTATGTTGTATGTTTTATGTTGTATGTTGTAGTTGTAGTTGTAGTAGTTGTAGTAGTTGTAGTAGTTGTAGTAGTAGTAGTAGTTGTTGTTGTAGTTGTAGTTGTATGTTGTATGTTTTATGTTGTATGTTGTAGTTGTAGTAGTTGTAGTAGTTGTAGTAGTTGTAGTAGTTGTAGTAGTAGTAGTTGTTGTTGTTGTAGTAGTAGTTGTTGTTGTTGTAGTTGTTGTTGTTGTATGTTTTATGTTGTATGTTGTAGTTGTAGTAGTTGTAGTAGTTGTAGTAGTTGTAGTAGTTGTAGTAGTTGTAGTAGTTGTAGTAGTTGTAGCAGTTGTAGTAGTTGTAGTAGTTGTAGTAGTTGTAGTAGTTGTAGTAGTTGTAGTAGTTGTAGTAGTAGTAGTAGTTGTAGTAGTAGTAGTTGTTGTTGCTGTTGTTGTTGTTGTACTATCCAATTTTAACCCATAGACCTACACAGCAATAGGATCATATCGTCCATCGCTGCTGGGACCTCGGTCCGCAGCTACGTGACTCACGACTCGCTATGTGCGCTTGGTAGTTGAGCTAATTGAGCTATGGAAAACAACAACAACAACAACAACAACAACAAACAACAGCAGCAGCAGCAGCACCAGCAGCAACAGCACCAGCAGCAACAGCAACAGCACCAGCAGCAACAGCAACAGCACCAGCAGCAACAGCAACAGCAACAACAACAACATGGGTCTATTGGTTGTTGAAGAACAACTGGGTTGTAGGTTTATGATCCTATTCGTTCCTATGGGTCTATTGGTGTGTAATTTGAAAAAAGAACGACTTCCAAAGGGTTGAACAAGAATTGTCCCTTTGGAATAGCTATAATTGGGGGTACAAGCACCGACAAATTTTCAGACAAACCCTTACCAGTATCCAACAAAATGTTTACATGGAACTTCGTGGTAGAGCAATCTCGCAACGGGCCATGAATTTGGCTAGAGAAGTAGCCAACAAGGGCTAATTTCGAGGTTGATCATCAGAATGCGTCCAGGAAAATGGCGATTTAGTAATCCCATTCCCTCAATATATCTCAATATGAAACAGCACCCAGAAATAATGGTTTAGGTAGTACAGGGAATGAAACCAGCTATTATGGGACCATATGGGACCATCGAAAGGGGGTGTTTCATATTACAACTCCAATCCCATTAGATCCCGTGATTCCCTCATGGGATGTTGACATCACTGTGCCTTTTTGTCGGTTGCCATTCCAGCCGACAAAAAAATATTTTTTCGCTTACGAAATGATGGAGTCCCTGGATGCAAATCCCAGTTATTCCATGTTATTCCTACAGTTTGATTTGGTTAGTTGCCCCTTTATCGCTATTTTTTTGGCTAAATTTGTCGCGCTTCCGTGATCCTGTTTTGGCGATTGATCCTGAGGAATCCGAAAGATTGTGGGGACCATGTCCACCAGTCACTGTAAATCGTTGTGAAATGAATAATGGACGTCCTTCACAAATACAAAAAATCATTGGTTCATGCAGATGTGCATCATATCCCCCTTAATGGCAAAGAAACTGCCATCACGTCCAGAAATGGTTTATGGAAGAACTTGCGAGACATTTATTATTGTGCGTGATTTTTCAATCTACAAGCGGTGATTGTAAAGCCACGCTTCGATTTAGATCTTCCCAACAACCCCCATCGAATTGCAGGAGGTATTGTCAGAAGCTCACCAAGCCTTCTAAGTTTAGGCATTTAATAGCGGTGCGGGCAAGGGCCCGCAATGCCGCGCAGATGATCTGTGATGGCCCCAGCTGTTGGTGAAGCCAACGAAGCCAACAACGGCCGGGACCCCACCAGATCACTTTTTTCTCGGAGAAAAAGGACCCAAGCTTGCTGGATGCGGAGATCTGCGGAGATCCGCGGAGTACGGAGTTGCTTTTTGGCTGATGTTGGAGACCTCAGATTTGTTGAAATGATCCTTTGAGTCCAATTTCTCAAAATGTTTCTTGCCTACAATATTCTCAAATCCCCACATTCTGTTGCCAAACTCCCAATTTCAATATTTGCTGAAATCCCTACAATCCTTATTTATTTTCCAGTCTGCATCTTTTGAAACAGGTTTGTCGATTTCTTTGCTGGTTGCATCCCCAAAGTTATTAGTCTACGTGTGTTTGATTCTTGACTGATTCCCGAAAAGATGTTGGTGAACGATGACCTCCCAAATTTGTTGTTTGCACCACCTAACACCTCTGATTATAATAATCTGGAATCCATTCATAGCTTATTTTCCCAGCTATAAACCTCCGTTCATAGGGGATTCCCGGCCAGCCATGGTTGATGACAACTCCCGTCAATCTCCGATTGCTAAGGTGAATTCCCCATTCCTGGGTTAAAGGCTGAATGGTTGGTTTGATATGTTGATTTTCTGCAATAAATGAGGAATATTGAATATTGGTCAGTAATGGTCAGTATATATTACGACTAATAAATGATGGTTGGTTTATTACTTGGTTAGAATTTCCGTTTTTTTTTGTTTTTAACCAACTCAAATTCATGTCTTGTCGTTTCCATCCCCATTTTGTGTTTGACAAATCTTGTGTTTTCCTTGCGCAAGACTCCCCTTAAAGCTTCATTTGCGCCCCATGTCTTGTTCAAATCCCAAGTGCGTATGAAAATCAATCCATGTCTTGCTCAAGGCATTGCAGTTCTATCATGTTACATCCAATTTTGGTTGGTTCAGAATTTGGTTCAATCAGAAGTTTCACTGGTGAACTCACAAACTGCGCAACGATCCCAATTTTCATTACTTAACATTGACCTCTTTTTACGGATCACGACATCGCTATACATCAGCCAGTTTTGTTGAAGTCAGCATTTTTTCCATGGCACCAGTCATGTTTCGGCCCAGGTCACGCGTCTTAGACCTGGAGACCTCACTGGCGCGCCGTGGGGCGGTAGGTGGTCGACAACGCCTTGGAGAAACGGTGGAGGATGGGGGCCGTCATTGACCCCGCTGACTGGTGGATTTCACCCATGACATGGATTTCACCATCGCACTTCAGGGGATTTTCCCCTGATGATTTGACCAGCAAAAAGGATGATTTAACCGGTGAAGATAGGGATATATGATTTAACATGATTTAAGCATAAGAAAAAGAGTGTTTAAGCAGTGTTTAAGCCAATGCATGAAACTCCTACGTAAGTCAATTGAAAAGAAATGTTGTCCAATGTGAAACGTACCTACTTAGGGGTTTTTCATGGGGGATCCACTTAAATGAGGATCCAAGCAGCAAATATCTGTTGGTCTGTCGCGAGTCATTGAGCTTCTCTTCGTGGATTTTGGCGAAATCGTAGCCTAATAAGAACAAGACCAATCCAACAACACAAAATATCGAAGAAACAGCAATAGGCGTACCTCCGGCAATCAAACATAGCAATGGGAAATCCCCTTTTTGCATGGTGTTCAAATATGGGAACATCATCTAGAACTGGGGAATTGTCCATTGCCATGTTTGACTACCGGGATATAATTGACAATACACAGTTCGTTTCAGATTAGACGACCTTTCTATTGCCCCCAAAAAAACAATTTGCAGGACCCTGATAGTGGGAACCCCTTTTTTGCTCGGGTGTGTGGCAGGTATGATTAATTTGCCCAGATAGGTATGCAGCGGTATACATCATACAACATACATGCATGACATACATGCACATAGATATACTCTCAGAAAGCATAAGGACGATAAATGTTATAATTAGATTGACATGATAGCATACAGTAGTATCATTTGACCAATCATTTTTGAGGCCCCAGGTGCCTCAACCATCCAAAAAGCTGACCATGCGTAGGACCAAGTGCAACAGCAGCTTGACCGACGGGACGAAGAAGTGAAGACCATGAGAGAGGTAGGGGATGGTAGGAGGAAGAGAAAGTAAGATGGGAATGAAGCCAGTAGTGCGTGGCTGACGCAAAATGTATTTACTATGTATATTTATATTATTCATACATATCGATATATGGATATCAGAATTGAGTGTAAAACGTCAACAGACGAAAACAAAGAACTTGCATCATGGTTGCTTCGGAGCTCACGGGAAAGTGACCCTCCGGTAATCAGTCACATGATGTCGTCACATGGTTTGCTGGACATGTCTCATCTATGGATGATTTTCCCACCAAAACCTCCGTTTAGATAGGGTAATTCCTTCTGATTACTGGAGGGTAACCATTTTGATTGTTTTTTGGCACCCTTCAAGACCAAGCTCATTTTGTTTTTGTTGTTGTCGCAGTCAACAGGAATGTGCAGCATCCAATCACTATGACTATCTCGTAGAAATCATGAATTTAGTATTATGGTTTCTATTAAGACCATGAATTTAAAACCAGTGATAGTCCATGAATTTACTCTTAAACATCCAATCCCTATGGTTTCATAGGAAATCTGAATTACCCTCTGGTAATCAAAGATGCCTTGGTTGGAAAAATCCACCATTGATAGAAAATTTCCCCAGCTATAAACATCCATTTATATAATAATTCCCATTGGTAACCGTTTGATGACACCGAAGGACGTGTTTGGATGATATCTCCTGGGCGACGACCTTATGCACAGCCCCCTGGCGACGCCGCCCTGAGGCCGTTATTGAATTGAGCACGCAGGTGGCAGAGAAGGAAGCTCAACTGGCGTCAAACCAAGAACGATTGGCGGACTTTGTCCCATCCCCAGATGCTGTGATGGTCAGTTATGGTTGATGCCCAACGGTGGCTGATGATATTTATGTTAAAATGTTCAATGATGGCCAATCAGATCAATTGAGTCCATTGATTTCCATTGATTTTAAGATGAGCTTGTCGGTCATTGTTGTACCATTTTTCTGCCATTCTGCCGCATCCAAGGTGAATGCCCAGTCCTCAGCACCGGGTCCACCGGGTCCGCTGGCTGCGCCGCCGCGGCACTACCCGGGCGGCTGGCAGCCGCCCGGGGCCGCAGCGGCACCGGCGCTGCCGGCGGCGCCAGAGGCGGTGCGGAAGGCGGAAGCGCTGGGGCACGAGATGTGGGAACTGCAAAGACTCAGAATGCCGCTGGGTGAAGATTTGATGGGGTTTTAAGTACCAAACATATGGGCATGTCATTGGTGAAAAAAAAAAATGGTTCATGATTAGTTTGGGGATTATACTAACCCATATAGTGGGGAATATTAAACCTGGCATTTTTTTGGGGGGATCCCTATGAAGCGATATGGGGGTTGTGGGACGCACAATATGTGCCATGATGATGTGAGATGGATTGTATACCCTAAGGATTCCCGTCATGGGATGGACGACATTGGATGACCATAAACCAAGTTACCCTGGTTTGACCCTAGAACATATGGCTATGGGGCTATGGGGTCAAAACTTTAAGGCTCAGAGGACCAGAGATTGCTGGGGATTGATGTGATGCTTCAGCCATGAACTGTAACACATTTCTCCAGAACGAATTGGTGATGATTGACACATATTGACACAACTATCAACTGTGGGATGAAGCATCATTTGTTTTTTTAATCAACAAATATAATATTATGATTTATGTAATGATCAACTCTGTAGGTAGGGACAACTATTGGCCCTACCAACACAAAGGGACCTTGTCCAACTCAGGTGATGATTTTAGCATCAACTGTGGGATTTTACCTCCGAACTTGGGAATTCTTTAACCATCAACCGCGTTTTTTTACCAGAAAAGATACGAAGCTTGACCTGAGACAAGTCTTGGGTCTGTTGGAACAGCGATCGAAGAGCATGGGGAAGGTGACAGTGGCTGTCAAACCTCTTTCAGAGTCTCTTTCAGAGGACATCGATTTTGTTGGAGGCACCAAAAGCAGAGCTATAACCACTATATTATCACTATATCATCACTATATTAGCTCAATTTCTATGGGGAAACATGGCTAATTCATGGCTAATATAGTGATAATATAGTTAGTGGCTGTGGGAATGGCTCAAAACCTAGGGGGAACCAACCATCCAACCAGCTATGGCGGGACCTGCGGGACCTGTCCGTCCGAGGCAGCAGTTGAGCCGACAGATGGAGGACAAAGTGGAGGAGCACCGGGCCACCAGTTCCTTGAGACCGAAAGGAAGCAGGAAAACAAAAGTGGGGATGATTTCTAGTTGGTAAATATATAGTAATAGCATGTAATAGCAGTATGATTTATAAACAAAACTATTTTTTTTACTGCTTGATTCATAGTAATCACCCAAAAAAAGAGAAAAATCAAATCGGACTAAAATAGTAGTACCCTAGTTGTTTTTTTCCAGAAATCCGAGCTAGTTTGGTGAGTATAGCATTACCAAATCACATTTTATGATTACAATCCATTCATCAATATGCATCATTATTCATGGTCAAATAATGGCATATATATATATTATATATATACCATTAACAAAACTTTGAACCAGGTCCAGGTCACTCAAACGGCAGGTCAAAACAGACCGCATTTTTTTCCTGGAACTGCCCTGATCCCCTTTCGGGAATGCTGCAAACATGTATCACAACATCTTGAAAAACCAACATGCGCACCTCTCGAATCTCAAACGTAACGATGGAAAACAGAACAAAGCAAGTTCATAATCAAACCACAATATTCATGGGGAATACATTGAGAATGGGAACAAACATTCATGGTTCATCATCTAAGCTGTCTCAAAGGGTGCTTGGAACTGATGCCTGTGGATATGCTACCTAGGCGCCACAAACTGGTAGGAGCCTAGGCTCACCAGATGGTTCCACAAGTTACAAGTTCAATGGACATATGTCCGGGAATGTGGTGCACACATTCACAAGATGTAAAATTATTAAATAATTATGTTATTTGCTAAGTTTATATATATATATATATATTTGTTTATGATACTACAAAAAATGGTACAACACATTTTTCTGGTTGTTGTGGTTTTGTTTTATTATGATACAACAAAAACATGATATAGAATATTTTTTTGTTTGCAAGAATTACACTTTTGCACGGTCAAAATATGTTATTGTATCACACCACATTATGGTGATGGAAACAAAACATGTTGATGCAGCCAAAAACATAAACATGATACATGTTACATGTAAAAAAAAAACTGTTATAGTTCTGAGTTGGCATGCTATCGATAAAACCATTGAGGCCTCAAGACTGGCCCAAGGCTACTTATGCCTTACATAAGCTATCTAAGGTACCTAGGCTACCCCCTGGACATGGTGCACCCCCCCCATATTTTGGTGGTTTATACCAACCATAAAAATGGAAAATTGGGAATGGTATACTATTTCTTTACTAACAAACACTACAGTGATTAACCATGAATTAACAATTGATTAACCATTATATTAGCACTATATTAGCCATTACAATATATATATATATAATCATTGGCATTAGTGAACCATTATTAACCACTATTGGACTATTAGCCATATAACCATGACCATTGGTTAATCATTCTCTAGTTAACCAGCTATTAACCATGAAAAAAAAACATTCTATAACCATTACCATTACCCTCTGGTTATTTAACATAGCCATGGAAAATGACCCATAGAAATCAATGGTTTACCTACTAAAAATGGTGGATCTTTCCATGGCAAACTGTTAGTCATAACCAGAGGGTAGTTAACCATTGGTTAAACCATTAGCCATTGGTTAAACATTCTATAACCATGGTGAACTAATGGTTAAACATTGTATAACCATCGTTAACCATTGGTTAAACATGAACCCCAGCGATTCTCTCCAGGTTTAGACGCCTTGGAGTCACAGTGGTCTCAGTGGATCCTGCGCATCACCGATGCCATGGTCTGTGGCAACGTGCACGTCACGGCCCAAAGCCACGCGGTGAAAGGAGACACCGGGGATGTGGTTTTCGTTCATGGGATCCATGGGTTCCATTCAGTTGGCAATCATGGATTTTTTGGGGGATTTGAATGGGTATTGTTGTTGTTTTTTTTTTTTAATGGGGCTTTAATTAACGGAATTTAAGATATTTAAGGGGAGTTGAATGGGCTTATAATGTCTAAGAATGGGATGTGGATGGGCTATTCATGTGTTTTGTTAGAGGATAATCTTAATGAAACAGATAGAAGAGGTGTAATTTGTCACAATTTTAGGATTTTAATGGGACAAGGGGATTACTGTAATGAGATGTTCTACCGGCCTACCATGGGTTATTGGGATAGTGGGATGATAGTAACCACCAAGAATAGTTGCTTAGTGACTCAATGGGAATTTCATGGGATGTTATGGGGATTGATCTTCAATGTATTTTCTGTTGACAATGACATTCCATTTTTTTTGAGGACTTCGGTTCAAATTATCAATGTTTTGAGATTTTAGCAATTTCTATCTTGTTCGGGTTACTATATATATATACCCACAGGCACCTTGTGTTGCCCAAGCCCAGAATAGCGTAAATTACAAGGATTTTTTGTTCACACTATACACATCTCATATAAATTCTCCCACCCCCGTTAGACTTCTACATTCATTGAAGATTCTTCAATAAGGGTTTAATTCTCCCACCCCCGTTAAACTCGTCCATTCATTGAAGATCTTCAATAAGGGTTTAATTCTCCCACCTCCGTTAAACTCGTCCATTCATTGAAGATCTTCAAGAAGGGTTTAATTCTCCCACCTCCGTTAAACTCCTACATTCATTGAAGATCTTCAAGAAGGGTTTAATTCTCCCACCCCCGTTAAACTCTTCCATTCATTGAAGATCTTCAATAAGGGTTTAATTTTCCCACCCCCGTTAAACTCTTCCATTCATTGAAGATCTTCAATAGGGGTTTAATTCTCCCACCCCCGTTAAACTCTTCCATTCATTGAAGATCTTCAATAGGGGTTTAATTCTCCCACCCCCGTTAAACTCTTCCATTCATTGAAGATCTTCAATAAGGGTTTAATTCTCCCACCCCCCTTAAACTCTTCCATTCATTGAAGATCTTCAATAAGGGTTTAATTCTCCCACCCCCTGTTAAACTCTTCCATTCATTGAAGATCTTCAATAGGGGTTTAATTCCCCCACCCCCGTTAAACTCTTACATTCATTGAAGATCCTCAATAAGGGTTTAATTCATTGAAGATCTTCAATCATCATCATCATCATCATCATCATCAACATGCCCGGAACGTCCCTGTAAATATCCGGGCAACACAAGGCGCCTGGCCGTATATATATATATATATACATATATATATATATATATACATATATATATATACATATATATATATATATATATACATATATATATATATAATACATATGATAGATACTTGGAAGATCAACCCGCGGTTAGTAAGTGGGGGCAACTTTTATAAACCGGTTATGACCCACTGAGAGGAGACTTGCTTCACTCAGCGTTATGAAGCTTTTGCTAAGTTTTAATGTAGAAAACCGTGCTCACCCATCAAATTTTGGGAATATGTTGCTGGAAAACTCATCAACCATATAGGGATATGTGATATATACTGTAATATGGGAAGTCATAACTTTGGAACATAATATGAGATATAAATGGGTGTATATATATATATATAATGATTGTGATATGGTGTAGTAGTATACTTATATTGTGTTTCATTATGATTACTGATAGGCTGATAGGTATATCTCTATACTATGGCTAGAACGAGCTGGAAGACGCCATTCCCCAAAAAAACAACTCTTCAGAACGGGTTCACTTCAAACCGCAAATGATTTCCAAACTGTTCGCAACATAGCCAAGAGTGACAGTGGTGCCACATCACTTCATCGGCATCTCTTGATCCATGATATTCCCATCATATACTGTACTGGTTGGTGGTTTGGAACATGTTTTATTTTTCCATATATTGGGAATCATAATCCCAACTGACTTTCATATTTTTCAGAGGGGTAGGTATACCACCAACTAGTATACACCAGTATATCTCCAACGGTTGGTGGTGAAATCCCCCATAGTTCAGCCATGGATTTCCATCCCATGGAGGTGATGAAGCAGCAAAGGTCTTGCAGCTTCCAGGACCGGAATTTTGATCCTCAAGTTCTGGCCACTGTTGACGGGGAAACATGATGAGAAACTTTATGGAAATTTGGGTGGTTTCAATTGGTTTCATGTGCTTTGTCTGAGTTCTTCAGACAAAAGGCATTTGGCCGTATTTGGCTTGTGGTTTGAACTTGTATGACATGTGTTTTTTGTAGACTTCCACATGTTGTCGTGCATTCTCGGGACTGTTCAGAGACTTCCAACATGTCCGACTTCTCAGTTCAAAGGTCCACAGCTATACCATGATGTGTAGACCCCTTTGCAATATCCGGATAGTCTATACAGCCATGATGGGACTAGCCATGGGGTCCCAATGGCAACAGCCATGACAGGCCGGGGCAGTGGACCGCGCTTGGCCATGGTGGATCGAGGAACCAGGGATCCCCGGGATCTCCAATCAACCCCACGGAATTCTGGGTGAACTATCACTGGCACTTCTGTCAGATTTTATCATATCCCATAGGATCCATGGTGCTGGTATATATGTATATATATTACATGCTAACATGACTGGGGTATATTGATGGGATCCATGTTACCATATATAGCAGCACCATGGATCCTGTGGGTATAATCATATAGTCGTTTCCCATTTATTAACCGGTTTGTTGATCAGATTATAGAGCCTAAAAGATTATCCATCAAACTCTTGCTACTTTCATCGCTGATTGTCACGGCCCTGCCTTTCGGCCAGGCAACGGCAAAGCCATGCTGCGGCTCTATGCCTCCCAAGGAGACAAGACGGCAGCCATGGAAGTGCACAGCGAGTGCAGCAGCTTGAAGATTTGAGAAGGGGATAATGATGGTTACGTATGAGTGACATGAACAATAGTGTGATTATATATCCGAGATCAAGGGGGAAAGATGATTGGTGAACCAATGAACAAACGGGATGGCCATGAAAGAGGGCAAGATCGGCCACAGCCAGGGAAGCTGTGCACCCGGTGAGGATTGATCCATAAGACATCGGAATTCAACCATCACAACTGTGGATTGCAATGAGGATACGTCGATACGTTTATAATCAAAGAATTCCACCTTGTAATGGTCTAAAGTTGGATAGTGTGGATTTCATGTGTGAGGTAAATAGAGGTACATTTGACCAAAAGTGCGCGGGCTTCCATAGCTATACTAAAATAACTAGGGGGTAACTATCAGGAAGGTTTGAGAGCCACTCATGCCTGGACCAGAGCGGTCTACACATGTTTTCGCTATGACCATTGTTCTTACAGGATTGTAGCTTTTGTTTATCCTCCAGTAAACCAGCGTAGCTATGGAAAATGGCCCATTTGTAAGTGATTTACCAATTTACAACGGTGATTTCCATAGCTATTTTGGTTTACCAGAGGCCACAGGTTGAAACATCAGTTTTGAGCGTGTTTCTCAATGGTGCTCATGTCGTTGATGATGGTGGGGAAGTGTCTTGACCCAGTTGTTTGTACTCTTACCCTCCCAATCCCTCCGGTAAGGTAGTACATGAAAAAGGCACATTTATATCTAGATGATGTACCAATTAAACATGGTGATTTACTAACTAAGTTAAATCTCCAGAGTGTATAGCGTAAATTCAGTTTGATCCCTCTCTGTCAATCATTATCGAGGTACTGCCACAGCAAATGACGAAGAGCGACTTGCCATAACTAGGGTTGGGCAGATCTCATTTTGGGAAAGTGTAAACAAAACAAATTCAGCTTGGCAAAAAAAAACAAATCGGTCAACTCGTACATTCTTAGACCCTCCAAGTACTAGTACCTAGAAAAACTGGGCAATATACCCATTAGTTTGGGACTATTTCCCAAATCTACAGGTACTTGGCGCGTCTAAGTTGATCCCACTGGGAAATCTCTCCAAGTTTTCATTTTTTGCGCACCAGCTGTTGCCAAATCCATGGTTTTGGCTGGTTAAATCCGTCTCCATACCATGTCGACCATCGCGATCTCCTTTAAGCGCAGGTGTTCCTTCGAAATCTGCGGCTTTGCAGGGCTTCAAAGGAGAAGACGCAGATGGGCTAGCACTGGACCCAGAAAAATGTGTCATTTTTACACAAAACATGCATTCTGGGGGACTGATCGACCATTTGACCTAATCCGAGTTTCAAGATGTCTCAAGTTATTTTGAAGTGTGAGTCACATTTTTGGGGGTCACAAGAGAGATGACATGACATGCCACATTTTCTTGGCGCAGGAGTGCACCGGGTCAGCGCAGAGCTCTCAGTCTGGCTGCTAGATGGGGATGTGGTGATGCTGATGCCCAAGTCATAGACCCGATATCGAGAAACATTGGGGAATATACTGTAGCCATTACAGATGTGCCATTATGACTTGGGACTTTTACCTGTTTGAAATCATTGGTACTTGACGGGTCCAAGTCCAAGTAGTTGTGGCCTCGTCCGAAAAACACTCAGTAAAGCCTGTACATTCAATGACTAGGAGTTGAGTAGAGGTATCTTCTTGGTGCTTGGAGGATAGCCAGGTCCCCGCTGTGTTGAGGTCCTGACTTGCGGATTGAGTGCAAGAAGCTGCAAACTGCCACAGGGCCAAAGGAGCAGTTCACCAAATGGTCCCTGAGCTGCAGGTATTCGGTTTCAAAATTGGCTGCGAGTTACCCCGCAAAAAAAAATATGGGTGACTTGTGCATTTTCCCTATCCCATATGCTCCATGTATGGAATATTTACCAACATTTACCCCATAAATGACCCAAATGTAGGTAAATATACCATACATGGAGCATATGGGTATATAGTTGAATACAGATTGTAATTTTTGGGGATGCACCCTGTTCTGATAACATTTTGGGACAAGCGCCAAATAATATGACGAGGGAACCCCAAGCTACCATCACAAGGTGTGATGTTGGAACCAACGGATATGTAGGTTTGACCGACCGGCAAGGGAGGGGATGCACACATAGGTTTTGCAGTTTTGGTACAGCCTTACTGACTCTTCTTGGTTTGGTGTGGAGGTGTTTTCCTGATGTTGAAATTGCTTGGCATGATTGACTTCATAAGTAAGGATGAATATGTGTGAAGTGGAGCTTTCCTTTGTTTCAGTGAAACTTCATTTGAGGTTGTCGTCCGAAGTCCTAAAGTCCACAGAAATCCCATGGTTTGTCGTACTAAAAATCCAATCTTATCCCGGCCTTTTCACTTTGCATATCCCCCACTGCTTTGGTCAAACCTATTTGCATTCACCGAAGTTCGCTTTTTTTTTTCCAGGAAAGACGCGTTGATGATTCCTGGCCACATTGATGGGGGGGGGCGATCCAAAGATCTGAAATGAGGAGATCTGTCGATGTATCACTACAAGCTATATACATCTATATACTAGCTATAGTGGACATGGTTTATTTTCACCATCAGACGTGCAAAAAAAAAAGTTTTAGATAGTTTTAGATCATCCTAGACTTCAAGGAGGTGATGACATCAGTCCACTACACAGCTTTCACGAGTCTCCGTATGCTTGGTAACCGCTGTTCGTTGTATCAGGAAATGTGGGCTGCTGGAGGGAGAAAAAAAAAAGACCGCCAAGCAGTGCTGGAGTTGCTTCCCTGGTTTGGGGGACAAGGGATTTGGCATGAAAAGGCCACAAATGGCTTGGCTGTTTGAGCAGCTGCGGTGCAAATTCTTGTTTGGTGCAGACTTCATTGAATGTCCCAAGCTAAGATTCAGGGACTCTCATCTCTCTTGCAGGTATTGAAAGGTTGGACACCTGAGTCTTTTAGCCATTGAATTGGCCATATGAGATGTTGAATGTTTTTGACATACCCTCTGGTAAACTAACATAACTATGGAAAATCACCATTTTTAATGGGAAAACTCACTATAAATGGCCATTTTCAATAGCTATGTTAAATTACCAGAGGGTAAATACAATCGATTTTCTCTTGTTGAAAGAACACAGCCTGGGTGCACCTATGTGCACCTGCAAGGATAGGTCCAAAACCCGGGGCCCCGGGAAAAATGCACCATTTCAGCAGGCCTCAACGAGCGCCATCACGTCGTGGGAGAACTCAGCTACAGATCGCAATGACTCACCACAAGGGGAGGCTTAGCAGAGGAAATCACTCTAATTAAATATAATTAAATTCTACAAGATGTTATTTGATATTCCCGGAATTGTTGAGGGAATCATGATTGCACTTGTCGAATCTGGCCATCGATATCAGTAGATTGTTTCTGGAGCGAAGAATGAGTCAGTTAGTGATTGATGTGATTGTTACGCGCGAAATTGTGGGGAGAGAGCAGAGAGGGTTCTGCGATGCAAGCACTCCAAAAATCACCGGGCAGCCAGAAATTGCATTAAATTGCCATGTGTGTGATCCCACAGTGTGTGTTTATTTGTTGTAAGGGGGACATGTAAGGGGGACATGTCCGCACACTTCATGCTTGCAAAGTCTGACCTGGAGCTCGGACTTGAAGCCTGATCATTGAGTGATGACTGAATGATCGCTCATAACAGGTGACATAGAATGCAATGAATGAATGATATTATATATCAGCAAGTGATCATTATAACAAAATCAGTCAATTAATTAAGTAAATTAATGAAATCTTACTTACATTTCATTGTTTACCACCGGGCCGGAACTTTGCTTGTTGCCAACATGTGACTCTCAAGGATTTCAAAGGTTCAAAACGTGCCTGCAAGTGCCGTTTTGTAACACACAGGATTTATACAGAAAATTCAGCTTCACTGAAGTACTCACAGACACACACATATCTCCTTTTTGACGGTGAAGAAACAATGTATTGCATTGAGTCAGCAAGTTTTTCAGCTGACTGGAACTTGCCATTGCTGGCGGTCAAATAAATCCCAGGAAGTTATGGGTTGGTGAACCGCTTTGATCCACATTTTACCAACCAATCCAACACTGAATAACTTGACGGTGAACTCGGTGAACCCACAATTTTTCTCCCTCAAAGTTCGGCCCTTTTCGAGGGGAACATTTTGGGGAAGCCCATTGGCCCATGGTCATGGCGGGTTTGCGCCTGTTGGGCGTTCCTGTGGTGCTTGGCCCTTTGGCCGTGGCGCTGAAACTGCATTTGTTGGGAATGCAGCTGCTGCCCCGAGTGCGCCTTGGAGGCACTGTTGGGCATTGTCTTGAATGGCAGTGACATGCCGTTGGCATCTCACAAGCAAAAACAAAACAGATATCATGCTGATGATATGTTTCATAGTACTATATTATATTATCACCTAAATAAGAGCCATTTTGGCGGTACATGACATGTTGAACACGTCGCTTCGGACAATTGTGGCATTTTACCTCTGAAGCATCTACCTTAAACATGTTGTATTTCCAGAACCATGGAGAACATGGGACCTATTATATCTAATATGTAATATCTAGTCTATATCAATCTGTATGTAGTATAGTTATATCATGCTATATCATGCTATATCATGCTGTATCATGATATATCATGCTATATCATGCTAAATCATGCTATATCATGCTATATCATGTTATATCATGCTCTATCATGCTATATATCATGCTATATCATGCTATATATCATGCTATATATCATGCTATATCTATATATCTATAATTATATTATATATATCTAGAATATCGATATCAAATATGATAATGTTTTCCTATTCTCAGACCCTTTGTTCACTACTTCACATCGGAAGGGTAAACAGTGGACTCCTCACAGACCCTGGCATCCCAAGGTCTGCTTCAGGCTGGGCAACTGTCGCCGCGGAAATCGACTGCTTGGGTAGTGAAATTAGGTGATACTTCAATCGTTTGCCATAAAGGGAATATGCTAATATATACAGCGTATATGTATATATATATATATACATGCTCAGTGCCATTACATGGACCTACCTTTCTCTGAATATATATATATATTGTATTCAAAATGTATATAATTGTATATATATATATATGTATGTATATATATATATATATACATGACTACCCAGCATGCACTTGCTTTTCGATGCTGGACTTCCAAGATTTGCCATGGATGCACACATCGAGAAACCATTGACGCAGCTATGACTACAAGTCTGATTGTTAATCATCTGAGGGTTTATGTATCAATCATATAATACTCATCAATGCCAATGAACTATAGATCATAAAACACTCATATAGTAATGCTAGTTGATGGTTATCATTGGTTATTGAGTTCATCAGTTACCAACTCAACAACCGCATCGCATGTCAGGAGCGTTGCTCATCGCGGCGCTGTGGTTTCAACACTGGAGCTGGTGATCTCACCTTCGATGACCGGCATATTGCATAAAAGCCTATATAAATCTATATATAATATATAAATAGTACATATATATATATATGTATACATGTTCCTAATTGTATGTATGTACATATACTTATTTGTATATTTACATATATATATATATACATATATATATATAGTATTATGTTTCTTGAATGCATGGATTTTTGGACGGAATTTGATTTTGTAGTAGAAGTGAGGATCAGTTTAGTTTTCAGTGAAGGTGGTGGATACACGAGAAAGGATTGTTCAGTGTTGCCGTTGTGTTTTCTGTGCCGTGGTTGAATAGCAACTTGAATAAAGATATGATTCAATTACCCTCTGGTAAACTAACATAACTATGGAAAATCACCATTATTCATGGGAAAATCCGCTATAAATGGCCATTTTCAATAGCTATGTTAAATTACCAGAGGGTACTCAGGTTCGGTTTCTGGAATCCTGAGATTTACCGCCAGGAGCTTACTGCTCGGATGCATCCTGATGGGAGTATACTGGATGCATCTGCTTGGGAACCCAGGGAGGTCTGTGCTGTTTGTAGATTACCAAGTCAAGTACTGTATGAATTATAAACCCTACATTTGAGATCGGAATGTGTGATATGTCAACTTCTCATCATGGGTTTGTTTTTGTATGTGCTCATTCCAAACACAATTGGATGATGCATAGCAAGTACTTGGTACACAGCTTGTAGATGGTGCTGCTATCTATGCATTTTGGGGTAATACCAAGTCTTCACCGGAGACTTAAAACAGAACCCCCTGGGCCCCTGAGGAAGAAGAACATTTGGTGGTTGGCCGGGGCCTGAGTGAATTAAATCTACACCATGGTTATTGTGGTGACCTGTGAAGATTTTACCCCCATGTTTGTTTTTAATTTTCATGTTGTTCCATACGTATATTTATATATATATATATGTATATATATGTATATATATATATATATGTATATATATATATGTATATATATATATGTATATATATATATGTATATATATATATGTATATATACATATATAAATATACATTTTTACCTTTGTGACTTCCTGTAGATGAAATCCGCATTTCCGCAGACTTCAGCCCCTTGTTTGTGGGACGTTCCCGATGCACATCGATTTATCGAAGGGGAAGTCACCAGCATCAGGTGGAGATGGGCTGGCGAAAGGAGACGGCGGAACTTGTGGCGAAATGCCGCAAGTGGTACTATGATCAGACAGGTCGGGTGAAGTCACGGATGTACTGGCATACCTTGGGTGGGTGACCCAGCAATAGCTATTGAAAATTGCACATTTAAAATGTTGATTTTCCATAGTTATGTTAGTTTCCCCCTCTGGGTAAACTATAATTTTCAGAAATAAGTTTGAGTGGAAACAATTCAGCACAATATCTCAGAAATTCTCAGACCTATCATGCTGGCGTCAATCTGTGGAGCCATGTGAACTATATAGTTTAGAATCTTTTGGAATCATTCCCACCTCACAGAATTGGGTCTAACATGATACTAGTATCACTATGTATCACTTATCATTGGATTTACCACATGCATTACTATTGAAGTAGCGGCCTCTTAGCCTGCTTGGACTGGTCCAGCCACTTGGTTGCCGTACTTTTCTGTGATGAACACCAAATCTGCTGAGATCTCACATTTTGGTTTATCACTGGGAAACTCGGAGTATGAGCCAGCTTACAAACTTTCACATCTGAGACATATCCTTGTGGCTACATTGGAACATATGGTCTCAAATACCACTAACACATGATGCTTGTAAGATGAGACAAAAAGTACCACCGACAGTTGGGCATTGTTGAGCACATTGTTTGGCCCATTGTTGGATCCCAGGTCTTGGGTTTTTCAGATAGACCACGGATTGTCATCCTATCCCTGTCGGTCCAGGTCTATGTAAACAGGTTTGTTTATTAAGTGGGTAATACCCAAAGTCGTATGAATAACCATCTATTACTATTACCATCCTTGCAATATCATGCAATATCTAGTGGTATCAAGTATAGATACGATGTTGTTGGCCACTAATTATTGATATGAATTCTAAAGTGCAGTATCAATAATTAGATTATCCGATTTTATCCCAATAATTATCATATGCTGGTACCCACTATATAATTGTTGATAATAAGATACTAATTATTGGGAAAATCTAATCATTAAATGATACTGGTACTTTACAATGATCATTAGATTATCCCAATAATTAGTATTTTTATGATTGATTAGTATCAATTAGATTAGATTATCTTATTATCCCAATGATTAGATTTTCCTAATGATGGTATGATACTATATCTTTAAACTCAATCATTGGGAAAATCTTCACCGGGCTTTCCCGACTTTGAGGCGATCTGCGCCACGCGCGCCTTGCGAGTCCCTTGCCGAAGCTGGAGGAAACGAAGGCGCGGCTTAAAGGGCTGGAAGGGCATTGGTTCAACAGAAGAAATTGGGACTTTAACCATGAAAAGCACGTGGATTTAAGATGATTTAAGCCTCAAACATGTGGATTTCACCTTCAATGTAGATCAAAGATCCTCAAAAAAGTGGGATTTCGCCAGAGATCTGGATTCCAAGAGGTCAAGACCTCTCGACTGCAGGCAGGCCACGTGGCGGTGGTGCGCACCACCCAGAGCGGTGAACGACTGCGGCCTCTGGCGCAGCTTGAGCTGGTGGAGGGACAACCCAACAAAGGTGGGGGATGATAGTCTTCCCACAAGGCGCCAGGGGGTTCTTAGCATGGATTTTATTGTATACCAAATTTGCACAAGACTGGATCTTTCACATTCTTTTACCATAGTTTATGATGTATTCTTTTTTGCTGGGGGTGGCCTTGAATCATTGAATCTGTTCAAATTCCATCAGTTTAGTATATTGAAGCAACCATTGGACCATGCTATTTTAGGGATGATCCGCCCATTTTCAGAAATACCCATGGTGTTTTGCCCAAATTCTGCGGCGTTCTGCGGGGAATTTTAGTGACTATGGATGATGAATTCACCGGCTTCCGAGTTGCATCCCAAGGTGTTGGGCAGTTGAGATATCAAGGGATGCAAGCGATGAACATAGAGATGAAACCCGTGAATTGGCACCTCATTTTGGGGCAATTTTCATGGGGATAAGGTTTACATCCTTTTTCTGGCTTCCGAATTTTGAAAATGATGATAGACTATAGGGTGTGGGGGTTCAAAGCCATGATTGAGATTGTGACTCCAGATACAGGCTCTGATTGTGTCGGAAGGGATAACTTTGTCACGTTGCGGAGCATGCATTGTGGATTGCATGTTCACTACTTGATTATTTGTTGTTGTTCTCTGAACCATCTTCTATGTCTATGTCTTTTCGATTTTTCGGCACTCTGACTTGTAGCCTCCAGCAAAATTAAGATAGATATGAAAAGCCACCATGAATGTAGATCAGTTATCATTTACCTATGGGTAAACCAGGGGTAAACCATGGCTGCCAGTACCTTTGAAACCGCGATGGAGGCTTGTAATTTCCGAGCTTCGGAATCCGGCGAGTTTTCCGCGCCAGGTGAAGTCTCCTTGGTAATCGACCCATCGATCACCTTCCAAGAGTTCATGGGCTTCGGTACATCCTTCACGGAGCGCCCCCTGCCGGATGGGCGATGTTTGTTTTTAGGGGGAACCATGGTGCCCCAAAGATTTTAGATTATGGGCATGTTCGTTATAGTATAGGTTTATATAATGGCATTATAATGGTGTAAAACTTCCATGAGTAGGAGTTAAGTATCCTACTCATACTCGTTGAAATGTGTTTATCAACAAAGTCGCAGCTGGCGGGCCCCACATTGGAGTGGGTTCAGCCAGAATTGCAATTCCAATAGTGAAAGTATGAGAAAACTACGTATGGATATGTATGGATAAACCTTTGGATTTTGGGGGGTTGCCCCATTTTTGGACAAACCTAAGTGACATCACGAACTTCAATGAGCAGATCTCAGACATCATGGACATCATGACTGTTAGTAGGGAATTTGTGGAGTTTAGGCGCCACACAAAGGGAGATAACTGGTGCAACATGTGAAATTCACCAGCAAGATATTCACCATTTCTGGCATTGCAAACCTCCAGCTGTTGGCAGGGAAGCCAATGAGGTTTGTGTGTTGCTACATCATCTCAGATATGGCTATGGATCAATACCTATTAATACCATTTTTAGAGGGATGAACATCCATTTACCAGCTATTTTGATGTTCACCAGGGGTACAAGGTTTTGACACACTGCCATATCAAGCTGGCAAAGCCTCCTGTTTACCGACTAATAGTTTTTTTTTCATGATCACTTCCATCACGCACCCAGAACTGTTTGTAATGTTCATCGAGGATCAATAACTCCGCAGTATATTAGGGTGGGTAAGTTATCACAGTTGTGCTCATCCGTTGACATTAAGTAGAACCAGCCACCAGGAGTCTTCCTGCAAGATTTTGCAACAGATGGGTTCCGCCAGCCAAGAGCGGACACGTGTCGGTTTGGAGATGGGGCTGGTCGGCTGGTCATGGGTTGGTGGATCCTTTTCCCGCTCGGGAAACAACAAGATTACATATATAAAAGTCTATATGTATACTGGAAACATATGTACATATGTATATGCATTTACGCACATAAGTGATGAGCCAACATATAGGGATGATACACAGTTTGTCATTTCCGTTAGTATTTTTTTAATATGATATATGGAACATGTATCTATACTAATACATGGTTGCATAAGCACATGCACACTATGATTTCCAAGAATCTGAATGAGATGATAAAAGGTGCAATATATTTTGCTTAGCTACTAGCTGATGATGTGGATATATATGACAACAACTATGATATTTCTACCAGCTATCCAATAGGAATGTATTGGATTGTTTGACATCTCATCCACATTTTTGTTGGACACAGATTATTTGGTTGATTGATGTCTCGGTTCCACACTTTTTTGTTGTGTCGCATGTCCCCTAATTGTTTTTCCTTGTGATACCATGATTTGAAACAAAAAAAACAAACTGTAAAACAATCCCAACATGGTGATCCAAAAACTGAATCATGAATCATAATCCCAAGCCAACAAAACGCCAGAACTTCAATCCCTGTGTCTTCATGCATCCTTTTCCAAGGATAGTGGATGCTTACTTCCATCCAGAGACTGGTTTGGGCTTCAACATGGGACGTCTCCACATGCGCCCTGGCCTGGAGTTCAGCCGTGTTGGGTTCCCCCATTTTTGTTAGGTCCCATTTTTTTGCAATCATTAATATGTTTTTTTTGTTGTGCTATACGTACATTACAGTGAATTAAACAAAAAATCCGTGGAACTTCGGGCACCCGTCGGATTCTATAGATACTTGTGCTATCCAATTGTTCAAAACATTGGCCAGATGTCAGATAATATCTGGAGTCAAAATTTGATTGCTGGGGGTGCAGTGGAGGTTATCAATGGGTATGTCAATGGGTATGTCAATGGTAGCAACAACCCCCGAAAGTTGGGATATAACCCCTATGACTATGCTTATATACATATTATAAATATATAATATATATATATATATATCCACTTACAACTGGAACTGCTGCCCCAATATGTTCTAGATCCACAACCAGTCACAAGCATATTGGTTGCGTGCATGCGCGTAGAATATGTTTGCTGATGTTCTCAGTTTTATCGTTGATATCTTGACCTAGTTGACTGTCTTCGGCAACCTCCCTGTTTCAGTCGAAGATGCCCGACAAATGTTGGACCTAGAGCAGCACATTCGTGCAGAGACTCAGAGGACTCAGTTCAGTGATTACCAATCAAAATAGGGTACCCCCACCCAAAAATTGATCATTATAATCCTAAAACCACAAAATTGGATGCCCATCTTGCAAGACCTCCCTGTTTTCACGGGAAACAACTATATATTTTCTGCTGGTTTTCCCTTGAACCAATCCACTGATATTGCCTCTAAGAGGCTCCAAGTAGCTATTTCGGTTGGTCCCTCATTTTGGTTTTGATCATCTGATTCCCCATAGGCCATAGGTGGTTGCTTCAAAAAACTGCTGCGCATCACCCTCCTAGCTGCCAGCTGCAGCTTGAGGAATTCTTGCGATTTCTCGGATGGCAACTGGAGCTGCTGTGAAAACGAGGATCTGTCGAAGTTCTGCGTGGATCGATATGCCGCTCGGCGAAGCCCTCACAGCAGCTGGATTGGGTGTGGTTGAAAATGGATAAACATGGGAGGTAGCCTTGAACTTGTTGTTTTAAGGGGTGGAAGATCAACCCTCAATTTTTGTTCAGGTCTACCATATTCCGTATACGCTAATTTTAGAACCAACGCATGTTGAGATGGTGCAGGATAGGATGAGGGAGGTGCCTTAAGCTGCCAAACTCAGCATCGCTAGGAAGAGGCGATTCTTCCAATGGTGAGGCGTCCGGAAATGCCGTGCTGTTCGCTGTTTGGGTTTGCTGTCCTCAAATTGCAGACCACAAAATTTACCCTCTGGTAAACCTACAAAAAGCTATGGAAAATCACCATTTTTAATGGGAAAACTCACTATAGATGGCCATTTTCAATAGCTACGTTAAATTACCAGAGGGTACCCTTCATCGTTCTCTTTAGGAACAGAATCAATACTGGAAGTCGGTGTAGCTTCCCAATATTTTTGGACACACCCAAAGTATCCCAAAGTGTTGTTTGCCTCATTGGATCTGACCCCAGATCAAGCAACATCATTTTTTTTTTCAGGATCCACCATTGAAGTGGATCATTTCATGGGGGCATCATGGTGTTCCACATTTTTTTGTAGGTGCCCAAGGTAAATTGGTACTTCTACTGTTGGTGAACCTTCCGAGCATTGCTGGACATGGCTTCCTCGCCATAGGCGCGCGAGCAAAGTGGCAGCTGCGCCGCTGACGAGCCTCAGCTGTTGACTGGTCAACTGCTACATTCAATGAAGGCATTGATCCACCCGTGAGAACTATAGAAGTCAATGGTGAAATGATCATGGAAAACATGGTTTATTGGAAAACCTTTTAATGATCAATGAAATGTTCATCATCTAATCAACGGTATTAATTAGTATTTTCATGATTGATACTGTTTTCCATGATTGTCCAACACGTTATTTATTATTATTATTATTGTTATTATTATTATTTATTTATTTATTTATTATTATTATTAAATTATTAATTATTAATAATATTTTATCATTATTAGTATCATTATTATTATTATTATTATAATTATTATTATTTAAAATTAATATAAAACTAGAATATGTATATATATATATATTCCATTGAGGACACATGATTTATATTGATTTATGGTAAACCATGCATGATCCACCATAGTAATTATATCAGTATATTTGATAACAATCGTCCAGGATCTTCGCAAGCCCCTGGAGCCCTCCCAAGTGGATGAAGGCTGGCTGCTCTGCTTGGGCTTCATCCCCCATGGATTGGCTGAAAAATATTTCCCAGATGCTGGGGATGATATAACATGGTCTAACTCAATGGAGTGGAGACAATGGAATATTTATCAGAATTCCCCTGTAATGTTGATGGAAAAAAACACATTGTTTTCTGTAGATGTTCCCTGAAACCAATCCATTGATGAACCTATCATTTGAATTGCAAATGAACTACACCACCCAATTAGGGTAACATTGGGGATAGTTTACCACTGGATTTATCATATTACTGTACATTTCATGATGATTCAAGGATGCATGGACAGATGTTTTCCCTGACTTTGGAGCATTTGGCCTCCAGCAAATTCAATCATGGTTCGCTGAAAATTCCGCCGAATGCTTGATTAGTTGGATGTCATTTATGTTTTCCAGTGAAACATATTGGTTCAGCAGATGGTAAACATGTACAACGTTTTTTCATGGCAGAGGGTTGCTGCAAACCTACATGAAAATGAGTGCCACGAGGAGAAACTGGTGATTTACAAACCTTCTACCATGTCAAAAAAAAAGTGGCAGGGGTTTGGAACGCACAGCAGTTGATGTCCAGGATAGCGAACAGATGTGTCAAGGAGGCAAACTGAAAGAAGCACCTGGGCAGCGCTGTGTGTGGCAACGGGGCCAGAAGTGATATGGGAAGCCGTCATGGTGACCCATACCTAAATATCATTGAACTTTCCTACTCAGTTCATTTGTTATCCATATCTGATCATATTTGCCAGATTTTGCCAGATTTTCCAGCCATCTCTCCAGCTCCGCCAAGGCCTGTCGCCCTGTGTGGGCCAAATTCTATGTGCGTTTTGCTGAGATGATGAAGGAGAAGGGTCTATCCTTATGGGGTTTCTCAGTTCAGTGGCTCGGCAGTTTTTCAGATTGACTATCCCATAGGATCCATGGTGCTGCTATATATGGTAACATTCTGTAACATTTACCATCAATATACCCCATTCGTGTTAGCATATATACCGGATCCTATGGGTATGAAACTCGTTGGCGGTTGATGAAAACCACTGAAGTTGAGATGTTGGTCCACCTGGTTGGATGTTGATATAACTGCATTGAAGTTGATCGTCAGTTGATCATGTCTCAATCATTTCCCTCTCATAATCTAACAACTATGGAAAATGGATGAACATGGCCCATTCGTAGATGATTTACTTATTTAAAATGATCGTTGTCCATAGCCAAGTCAAGTTACCAGAGGAAATTCAGTTTGAAAGTCACTTGTAGTTTAATAGACCCAATAAGAAAACCATACCTCGTCTTAGCAGAAAATTGTTGCTTAAACCTCATTGGATGTTATGATATGTATGACTGTTATGATATGTTATGATCACCGCAATTTCAGCACCTTCTGGGTTATTTTGTTTTCCCAAACCTTTCAACACCATTTCAAAAACGCATGGGTCAACTTGGACGTTTCCTTTCCCGCATCAAAGGAATGAACCCGATGGACAGACGCCGTGGGAAAACTGTGGCCGGGCAGCAGCGGCAAATCTGCATTTGTTCAGAGTGTTTTCTTTAGACTCTCCAAGTGGAAAAATGTGGCAACATGCCCATTATATCCCATTCAAGTACCTGGAAAAATGTGGCGATATACCCATTATTGCCCATTATATATATATATATATCATTGTGACTCAGGATTTTACTGTACATACTTTTGCCAGTGAATTCATTGGTACTTGGAGGGTCCCTTCGCATGTCGAGGTTTGTACAGTCCCGAAGAGGAGCGCGATTTCATTCGCGACCACCTGGGGCCTGAGCTGGAGAAGAGCGGTTTCTGGGACCAACAAAAAGACGAACCACCGGGGCCACCCTGAGTTTTTGGCGTTTCCAACTTCCAACAGTTTGGCATATTTTCCCCCGAAAAAGAAACACATAAATAGCAATTTCACTACAGGGGTAATGATAATTATGAAGAGTGGATTATGGGGCATCCTATTTTCAGGCACACCCTTGTATAGTCTAAAGAAGTACATATATATATATATAATATATGAGTGATGATCAAAACCCCCGCAGAGGAGTTTTATACAAACCTATGATTGGAGTATGTTGTTGTAAATTTGTAGTGCTTTTTGCCTGGGAGGCGCAAGAAAGCGCAAGGGCGGGCGCAAGATATATTAATATCGTAGTTCTTTTCTGTATCGGTCGGTATTTGCAGCTGTAGCGGCTCAGAGCTCATAGCCAGAACATATAGGAGGTTAAGACTAATTTGACTAGCAACGCCATAGAGTACAGAACCTACAAGTTTTCCAGCACCGAGAAACGGAGCAAGCTCCTGAAGAGCTGGGCTGCAGCTGAAAGGTGGGCCAAGGAAAACAACGTTGAAGCTCCTGAGCCACCACCTGGTTTGAAGCGGTGCAAGGCCTGAGGGGAGATGTGTTTTGCTTGGAAGTCCAGTGGTTGGAGTTGCATGAGCTGGAAGCAAAGACCATTCACGCCCTGAAGCATGAGCTACTAGTGTGCCGATCATACCCTTGGCATATCAATTCAGCACGGCGTCAATCCGATTGTGCGCTTAGTGTCAGACGGGACCTTCCTTTGAATGTTTTTTTTCCCGAGAGCGTCTGAGCGCAGGGTTCTTCCAATAGTGGGGGTCTGTAAAACATCTTCTCATCTTCACATCTTCTCTCACATCTGCTCATCTTCACATCTTCTCTCACATCTTCTCTCACATCTGCTCATCTTCACATCTGCTCATCTTCGCATCTTCTCTCACATCTGCTCATCTTCACATCTTCTCTCACATCTGCTCTCTCACATCTTCTCTCACATCTGCTCATCTTCACATCTTCTCTCACATCTGCTCATCTTCACATCTTCTCTCACATCTTCTCTCACATCTGCTCATCTTCACATCTTCTCTCACATCTTCTCTCACATCTGCTCATCATCTTCACATCTTCTCTCACATCTGCTCATCTTCACATCTTCTCTCACATCTTCTCTCACATCTGCTCATCTTCAAATCTTCTCTCACATCTGCTCATCTTCACATCTTCTCTCACATCTTCTCTCACATCTGCTCATCTTCACATCTTCTCTCACATCTTCTCTCACATCTGCTCATCTTCACATCTTCTCTCACATCTTCTCTCACATCTGCTCATCTTCACATCATCTTCACATCTTCTCTCACATCTTCTCTCACATCTGCTCATCTTCACATCTTCTCTCACATCTGCTCATCTTCACAACCCTCTCTTCTCTGCCTTCGCCTTCGTTATCTTTCTCTCTTAAGGCCGAGAGGTGGTGCCGGCGGTCGAGTCACGAAACGTCAACCCTTTCGCACGAAATGAGGGTCGATCGTCAAAAACTGAAGAAAAATTGCGATTTTACTTGCCCCCGAGCAACCCTTTCGCACGAAATGAGGGTCGATCGTCAAAAACTGAGGAAAAATTGCGATTTTACTTGCCCCCGGAGCAACCCTTTCGCACGAAATGAGGGTCGATTGTCAAAAACTGAGGAAAAATTGCGATTTTACTTGTGCCGTACTTGTCTGTGTGTAAAAGCGTCTGTGTGTAAAAGCGTCTGTGTGTAAAAGCGTCTGTGTGTAAAAGCTTCTGTGTGTAAAAGCCTTTGTGTGTAAAAGCGTCTGTGTGTCAAAGCGTCTGTGTGTAAAAGCATCTGTGTGTCAAAGCGTCTGTGCGTAAAAGCATCTGTGTAAAAGCGTCTGTGTGTAAAAGCGTCTGTGTGTAAAAGCGTCTGTGTGTAAAAGCTTCTGTGTGTAAAAGCCTCTGTGTGTAAACGGGTCTGTGTGTAAAAGTCTCTGTGTGTAAAAGCGTCTGTGTGTAAAAGCGTCCGTGTGTAAAAGCGCTTGTGTGTAAAAGCGTCTGTGTGTAAAAGTCTCTGTGTGTAAAAGCGTCTGTGTGTAAAAGAGCCTGTGTGTAAAAAGCGTCTGTGTGTAAAAGAGCCTGTGTGTAAAAGCGTCTGTGTGTAAAAGCGTCTGTGTGTAAAAGCGTCTGTGTGCAAAAGCGTGTGTGTGTAAAAGCCTCTGTGTGTAAAAGCGTCTGTGTGTAAAAGCGTCTGTGTGTGTAAAAGTCTCTGTGTGTAAAAGTGTTTGGGTGTAAAAGTCTCTGTATGCAAAATCGTCTGTGTGTAAAAGTCTCTGTGTGTAAAAGTGTTTGGGTGTAAAAGTCTCTGTGTGCAAAATCGTCTGTGTGTAAAAGCGTCTGTGTGTAAAAGTCTCTGTGTGCAAAAGCGTCTGTCTGTAAAAAGTTCTGTGTATGAAAAACTTTACAAAAATACAATGCAAACTATTGTCTTGTACTAGTCATATATTGTCTTGATACTACTCTTCTCGTCTGCCTATAATACATCTTTATCATATTATCTTGTAATATAGTGTCTCCATACTAACAACAGAAGACTCTGCTCCTCTACGCTCTCGGGCCATCCGTCGTCTAGTTTTTCTGGGCAGACTACAAGCAGAAGTATTCCTTGCCACAGGCGAGCGTGGCTACAAGTACGATGTTTTATGGAGGTGATAGACAGGAGGTCACCATCTTCGGAATTCTGATCATCATGAACATGAACGGACAGCAGCGCACTTTCAAGCTGTCCTTCGTCTCTACCATCATAGAGAATAATTCTTTAATGAGTTCGCTGCTATTCTCTCAGACCGTGGCCCTTTTCCCGCAGACCCTTCGGTGCACGAAGTTGCATGTAATGCTTTGTTGTTATAAAAAGTCTGTGTCCATTTATAAAATGTCTTAAAAATCAATGAAATTACAGTATTTGGATGAGTGAAAATTTGGAAAATTGACAATTGCAAAACTATCAGAGAAAGAAAATAATGAAAAAAAACATGAAAAGGTTCATTACATGATGTTGATCACTGACGTGAGGATGTGTAGATTTGGATAGGCACTGTGAGAGTGCTGTGAGAGCGCCTCTCTTCCAATAGGTTTGGCAAATTGCGTCATCGGTTCAAGGCAAACCCATCACTGTGAGAGTGTGGGGGCTCCACTTGGCGACATTAGCCGGATGTCTAAACAATGGTTTCAGGTTGTATCTATTGACTAAAAAATACCATCAATGGGATTCGATCTGTAGCGGATCCAGCAAACCTTGCACCCTTTTTACATTGAGTATCCCATTGGTTATAGTGAAGCGCTTGTTCCTGACCTTGGTTTGAAAATCAGATGCCTAAAAAATAAAACAGAATGTAAAAGTCTCAAGATGATTCCATATTTATTGATATCATCATGTAGTCTCAGTCTTGGCAGATCAGGTTCGCTCAGGCATGTCAGGAGCCAGTTCTACCACTTCTAGGCAGGTCAGTTTGACACTGTGAGAGTGTCAAACATTGAAAGGCAAGTGCTGTGAGAGCACCATGGCTATTAGCGCTGTGAGAGTGCTTACCTGAACCTTTGCTGGGTAACTACTATACACAGAGCCGGTTCTGGATGTGTTTCACCGGCCAGGCGACTTCAAGCCTGCTTGCAAGGTATTAACCTCAGTATGTGCATTTGCATTTTGAGTTTGTGGCTTGGAAATTGCTGTGACAGCTTATTGCCCTGTGAGAGTGCTAGGAATATGCTGTGACAGATTATTGCACTGTGAGAGTGCTAGGAGAGTGCTAGGAATATGCTGTGACAGATTATTGCACTATAAGAGTGCTAGGAGATTATTGCACTGTGAGAGTGCTAGGAATATGCTGTGAAAGCCCATTGCACTGTGAGAGTGCGAGTGATAGGGCAATGTCAGTGCCAACAGGGCTGTTTTAATTCAGAACTATACCAGATGGCATCTGTTCTTACCCACAAAAAAGTTCCAGAATGAGGGGGTTTCAATTGGGACAGCCCAAGGCAAAGACATAGATTTTGCTATATTGTTGATGGGGGTGCATCTTTTTTTTCAGATCTGGGTAACCAAAACATATCAGGTTTCAGACACAGCAAGCAGATCGAAATAAAAAATCCACAAAATATTTAAACAAATTCAAAATAACAAAAAAAAACAAAATCCCACAGATCTCACATACACAGATTGCGTACATGAGATCCGACGGATTTTTTTTTCTTCAGATGTTGCAGCGGGAACAATGATCCAACAGATCTTTGCCACACAATCTGCGCTATCAAGATCCGAAGTTTTTTGGTTTTCATTCCGATATCCGAAGGAAAAAAATCTCCAGATCTGTCCTGCACAGTTTGTGCCCCCATGATCGGTGGGATTCTCTCTTATCTCTCTTCAGATCCAATTTTTTTTCTGCTTATTTATTTCAAATGGGATCCGAAGGAAAAAAAAATCTTCAGATCTTTCGGTGTTCAGATCTGCACAACCCCGATCCGACGTTTTTTTAACACCCTAGACAGATCCGACGGATTTTTAGCCCTGCAGATCCGACGGTTTTTTGCCATCTCCGATCCGACGGTTTTTGGTCACCCCAGATCCGACGGATTTTTCACCACCCAATTCCCCATGGATTTTTGATTATCAAAATCAAGCAGGTTGTGGAACCCGGAAGATCTGAACAAAATTCAAGTAGGATGCAATGCCAAACAATGATATGATCCTTTACAGCAAAGCCACGAAGTTTCCAAATGAAATTCTACAGTTTGCTCTTCGAAAGCAATTCTCTGACATCATGGGCCAAGGTTTGGCTGGATGATGGTGCTAACAGTTTCCAGGCAGGATTCAGGGCATGGGAAGCCAGGCATGAAGGGTTGCAAAAAATAATGCGGGAGGACATTGCCCTATCACCAGCACTCTCACAGTGCAATGGGCTTTCACAGCATATTCCTAGCACTCTCACAGTGCAATAATCTGTCACAGCATATTCCTAGCACTCTCACAGTGCAATAAGCTGTCACAGCAATTTCCAAGCCACAAACTCAAAATGCAAATGCACATACTGAGGTTAATACCTTGCAAGCAGGCTTGAAGTCGCCTGGCCGGTGAAACACATCCAGAACCGGCTCTGTGTATAGTAGTTACCCAGCAAAGGTTCAGGTAAGCACTCTCACAGTGCACACTCTCACAGTGGTGGGCTTGGTTTGCATTCCATATGATATGATCCAGCCTGAAATTTAGACATGGCCATATGGCATCTAATGTCGCCAGGCTCTTGAGCACACACACTCTCACAGTGATGGGTTTGCCTTGAACCGATGACGCAATTTGCCAAACCTATTGGAAGAGAGGCGCTCTCACAGCACTCTCACAGTGCCTATCCAAATCTACACATCCTCACGTCAGTGATCAACATCATGTAATGAACCTTTTCATGTTTTTTTTCATTATTTTCTTTCTCTGATAGTTTTGCAATTGACAATTTTTCCAAATTTTCACTCATCCAAATACTGTAATTTCATTGATGTTTAAGACTTTTTATAAATGGACACAGACTTTTTTATAACAACAATAGCCTTATGTGTGGACGGACGTGGGACCGCATTTCAGGTGTTACGACATGGTAGCACACATGGCTCGGGATGTTTTTCCACGCATGGAAGGTGATCTTCGTTTGTCTTTCTTCTGTGAAAAGCATGGGAAAGGAGAGATCGACGCAATGTTCGCCGAGATGGAGCACTGGGTCGGCGCATACTTGAAGACTGGTCACAAAGTGATTTCCACAGCTGAGCAGTTAGTCTCCGTCATGAAAGCTGCAGCTGCTGAATGCAATCGAAAAACAGGTTCGCTTTGTGAATGGCAGGTTCACCGCTTTGAAATGGAAGAAAAACCACCCAGGCAATGGAAGCTGTATGGCAAGACGTTTCAAATCTCAAAGACATACTGCATCGAGCTCTCCGTTCTACCTGGCCCTTTAGCTTATCGAGAAAGGCCACGCTTCGTCAATTTTCTTTTCTCTGACCAGCCAACTGGACAGGTTCATCACATTGGAACGGAATCGGTGCCGATTGAGGCCGGTGAATTCAAAGAAATAAATATCGAATTCCAGGATGTACAAACGGGCCTCAATCAGGCACCCCTTAAGGTCGGTAACCATTAGGCACCCCTTAATCCTTAAGGTTCCAAACTAACGGATAATGAGGTATAGTAATATGTGCATTTTTCTTCGATTTCCCCACGTTTGCTTCCAGAAATGCGTGTCATTTCGTGTCATTGCCGTGTCGTGTCGGTCATAATTGTTCACGATTTTTTCTGAAAAATCAAAACACCATGTGTGTCATTGCGTGTCACTGCCGTGTCGTATCGGCAAACGGGTGTCTAAAAAGCACCCCTTAGAAACGTGTCGGGTGCTTTTTGAACAACCCCTGCGCGTTTCGTGTCGATTTTGACTAGTTTTCTTGAAATTTGGGAACATTCTACATCCGACGCGAAAAGAAACGCATGCATTTCTTCTCGTCAAAAATGGAGTCGGGTGCTCGACAGATGTTATAGGGGTGGGATTGGAAGATTTGGGGTTGGAACTCATGATTTTCTAGTGTGCCCTCTCCATGAACGCTAAAGGGTGTCCATTAGGCAGCCCTTAAGAATCTCAATTCTTGAAATTCATTAGGCGCCCCTTTGAATGTGCTGGTTCCACAGCCTTGATTGTTGAAGTGTGAGTTTTTTCTATCGAGAGCATTGCTTTGCATAGATTTTCACCATATTGTAGATCCCCAATCAGTCCCTCCGAACCAAAAGAAAAATCGCCTTGGACAACCTTAAAGGAACATGCTTGTTTCCCTTCCCATTTCAGGACAGACGCTGGAAAAGAGGCTATTATTACTATTATGCTTCAAAAAAATGGGATCGCAAGCAGCCAAAGCTCGGAGAGACAGATGGTCGCATTCGGAAATTTCAGTTTCATCAATCTGAAGCGGTGCCAGTATATGATGATCCGCAAACTCCGTGGGAGAGACAGGTAGCGGCGAGGGCCCGCCGCCTCATGCTGCGATCAGAGAGATGGCAGCGGAACCTGCGGAGCTCCTCAGAATCCTCAACTTCTGAGACTTCGAGCTCCGAATCATCCGAGTCTGCTTCCGAAGACTGAAAAAAATTGCGTTCCACAGGGTACTGGATCAGTGAACATGAATTGAGCAACTTTTGCGGCAAACAATTCTTAGATACACATTTTAATCTATGTAATGGAACACAATAAAAACCCTGAAGAGCGCAAGGAAGCGCAAGGGCGGGCGCAAGGCCGTTTCTAATAACACACCGGCAACTATATGTTTTGACCAACCCCCATATATATTATATATATATTTGTTTGGGATCTTTCTGGGATCCTAGTCCCGAGGTTTCTGGTTGTTCCTTCGGTCATGTAACCTATCAGTTGAAGAATCAACCCACGTGCCGTGACTCCAAAAATGATACTTGTTGCCTTGGGGATGATACTGCCACTAGTTACACTTTTATGACGATCTACCTTCCAGTTTTTTTCAGTAAACTGACGTAGATATATGATGATATATGTATACAAATAGATATGGAAAATCCACCATTAATGAATTTTCTACGGTTTTCACCATGCTCTGTCCGTAAATCTTCACAGATACAGTTGATGGAAATAAATCCTGCACCAGTCGTTAGGTGGCTATCCCATTACTTATATGGTTTCAACCATCCACAGGATCATGGAAAATCTATAGTACATCATCATAAACCCTCAATTTATAGCTGATAATCCACATAAATCATCATAAATCCACCATTTATAGCGGATATTCCACCATTTGTTTCGTTTTTTTTTCCGCCCGTGCACGGCAAAAGTGAGGACTGGATTTAAAGTTGATCGCCTGGGACCACAACAGGGATGATCTCTTCCTTCGCGCTCACACGAGGCTTTGTTCAAGTCACCGCAAGGTTTCTGGTTGGTGGTTTGGAACATGGCCTTTATTTTCCCCAATAGTTGGGAATGTCATCATCCCAACTGACGAACTCATATTTTTCAGAGGGGTGGCTCAACCACCAACCAGGTTTGGTTTCGATGGATTGGTTTTGAACGTCTATAGGAAACCCATGTGAAAATCAATGAACATCTACAGGAAACCATGGAATTTTACAAGGTTGACACCCATCAAATATGGGATGTTTCATGTTTGCTTTTCCTAAACCAAGCCAATGATTTTTTTTGCCACCCAGTCATAGTCTTGATGACTGGTGGCTTGAATAACCTAGGATTTACAGCGACCCAGATGCGGCCAAATATGTGTGGGGGATGGGCTGGCATTGGCACCTTGGAGAACTGAGACTGCAGCTGAAGCGAATGGTAAAGTGAGTAAGAACCATAAGAAATAGTCCAGTTGTATATGGTATATGGCTTATAATGGGCTAGATATAGCCCTGTTGTAAAGGAAAACCCTAGTGGAATGCAAATCCAAGCAAAACAATTGGCCACAGCTGGAAGTTTGACCTGGCTCATGGTTTAACATGTGTCTATCTATGTATGTATAAAAATATGTATTAATATCCATATTGTGTTCTGTCTAAGAAATTAAACGATAAATGCAAAGTGCACCAGCCCATTATTATTATTTGTTTACCTATCCCCATTTTAGCATTCCCATGAAATCTCCTTATCAACCGTTTGGAGGTTTTTTCATCAAAACCAAACCTGTTGATGTTGGCCCCAAATCAACTGGTTGATCATCATGTGTCCCATTGATCCCCGTATCCCCAAATTTGATGATTCAAACTGAAACAGACCCATGCATTTCCTGTAATATCCCCCATCATAAGTTTAGTACTATGATACTTGGTAAACTCACCATTGACTATATACAGTACTTAGCAGACTTAGCATAGATATATTACAATATATATATATATATACACATCATATATATATGTATATATTATATATCATCCCATTTTTAGTTGGTCAACTGCCCAGGTATGGTGATGCCAGATACGAATGGTGGGCCGATGCGGCCGGGCAAAGTTGTTTCGACAATGTGCGAAAGACCCATGAGTTGCGCCCGGAGCTTCTCGGATGACTATTGATCGGCTGATAAAGATGTGATCCTAGACCCTTCCAAGTACCGTACATAAATCAATGAGGGAATACGATTGGAATAGGCGTGAGCGCTAAGAGTATTATATGATTATATGATATTATATGGCAATAATGGCAATGATAAAAGTGGGAATATTGTACTATATGTCAAAATATATCCATGGTTTGGGGATTTTTACCTGCTTTAACCCATTTGCACTGGCCCTCGGAGGGTGTAAAGTATTCAAAAGCCCTGGTTGATTGGTGTCAGTGTAGGTGGTTATACTGCCTGATAATCAGCATCCATGAACTGGGAATCCCGTTCTCAACCAACCCCTGTGTAATTGCTGGAAGAGCTAGTAAACCCAATCTTAATGGATTATCACAAAAAGTTCCTATTGAAATTGTACCTTTGGCGTCTACCCCATTTTCGGACAATTCCATTTACTTGGTTGGATTTTATAAACAATAGTGGTGTGCTTGGAAAACAGACACAACAAAGACATGTTGTTCAAATTCTTGTTTAAGACAAACAGTGTGTGTGTGCTTGGTTTTAACCAACATTCAGAATGGGGGTCCAAGCAACGCATATTGTAGATCAAGCCAGAGAAATGGGATATTCATGGGTGGTTTGTCCCTATTTGTCCCTGTAGCAGCTGGCTCAGATATCCCATGATGGTTGGTGAAGCACTTTGCATGTTTGAATGCTGTCACGACAGCTGACTAAGTGGGAGCACCACCAACATCATGATCATCATCACTTAGACCCTCACAGTACCCATGAACATTGGCCAAAGTCCCAATATCATCGGTAGATTTTGGTATACTTACACCAGTTTTCACCTGGAGGGTCTACGTATCATCATCACCGAACACCCCCCATCTAAGGAAACACCTCATTGTCACGGAGACATGCTGCTTGCCTTGTGCTGATTTAGGTCAAGTACCTCCACCTTTTTCGGCGGTCAAAGATGTTTTCTGTCACGAAGATCGCACGTTTTTAATTGTTCGTAGCTTAGCCCTTTCTTTTAATATTTTCAGTATGTTGACGTTTTTGGTGTAGCGGGTTACAGATGTTTGACCCTTTGTGCAAAAAAAATGGTCATCGTCGCGTTCGTGGATTTTCCAGCCATTTTTTCTAGCTGGCTTTGTCTGAAAATTGGGTACCCCATTTTATCCTCTTGTTTATCATTTTAATTTATTATCCCATAGGATCCATGTATGCTATATATGGTAACATTTACCATCAATTTAATATACCCCATTTATGTTAGCATATATACCATACATGGATCCTATGGGTAATTTATTATTCACATGTTTATTGCAATTGTTGGGGTATCGCCTATTTTCAGAGCCAGGTCAAGAGTGCGGTGCACATTTGGGCGATTGGTCTTTAGCCGAGCGCTATGCTGAAAGCGCCTCGCCCATCTCTCTGCCGTTTTTTTTCCGAGGCAATGTTGGCATTTTGGCCTCGGGGATATGGTAGATGTATCTCATTCCATTTTTGGAGACAATAACTTGACTTATCCCCATTCCAAACAAGAAAACACACGAATTTCTTGTGCATCGTGATGAGGTGACTAGTATATCCTCATGGTCAGTATATAGATAATAATTAGTAGTGTATCATTCCACGTTTCTTGTGCAATTCAATATTCAATGATGGTATTCCAGATGGCTTGCCTGAGCAGGTTGATCTTCATTTGATTGTGGTCAATCTTGTTCTGGGTGTGGGTAGGGGAGCATTCTACGGTCTATGAAAGGTCGATTTATGATTGGTGATTCTGATGGAAATGCACATGGATGGACAGTTATCCACTATTTATGGATAGTTACGGATAGTATCAATGATGTGTTATAAATGCCTTGTGGCTTAAAAAACATTAGCTTGTGGATCGCCATGGCGATTCAAACTGCAGACATGGGTACACAATCCAGCCATCATGATTGTATTGTGGCAGTGAACCCAACACTTGAGATCCAGGAGGCCCAAGTTTGGATGGGGCTCGGCGGGATATCCAAGTTTGTCGGTGTCTGTACACTAAGCCCAGAGCCTGTGGGGATGATTCACTGACAGTCTCTCCGCAGGCTTCTTTTAGCCCAAGAAAAATAGGTGTTCTCGCTGCTCCGCAAGCAGGTTATGAGTCCCCTCGCTTTGCTGAAACATGGCGCATCGTCGTGGGAGAAGCGAACCTGGACATCGAGAAGGGTATCTCCACATGAATGGGGATGAGCAGGTGAACCCTTCCTGGTCTCGAAGGGTACAAGATGCAAAGCACACGTTACTTTCGGGACGCGCGCAGAGCGGTAGAAAAAGTCGGGTTTTTGTCTTCTACTTCAGTCTCCAGCCGTTTTCCCCTATTTGCTAGACAAACCCACTGGGTGGTTATTAAAATGGGGGAACCATAGGCTACAATATGATGATCTGGACCCCCAGTTTAGGAAACCTCCATTTGCACCTCCCAACACTGATCTTGGTTCCCCATGGGCATCGAGGTATCATCAGGGATTTCAATAACTGGTGTGAAGCCTGGATCGAGTCTTGGCCCAGGGCGGAGATATTCGGGCGAAAGTCATCGCCATGGCTGAACTATGAATTGGTTTGAAGATAGTACTCCAACTTCAACTCTTAATCATCAGTTTCCTTGTAAAGAGACGGATAATAATCGGGAACAAAAATCACGATCATATCCCATCTTCAGACATGGTGCCAGAAAGTTGTTGCTTCAGGACCGATTTCTCCCCGAAAGGGTCGCTCAGGATTGGAACTTTCTACTGAATAAAGATGGAGGTCCCAACCACGTGGGCAACGTCTGCTCCGCCCCGCTACTGGCTGATCTTGAGAAAGAGCCTGGGCTGCCTGAAAAAACTGGGCAGTGGTGAAGCACATGGGGGGAACAGGTACGTAGCACATGAAGACAGTCTGTTGGGGAATATAGGCCAACTATAGTGGCGGGGGGTATACACCAACGAACAACATGGATAAACATTATAATATGGGATGTCGGATAACCATATTAATAAACCCTGGGTGGGTTAAGCCAACTATAATAGGGATGTATGGGGATATGGGATGAATATAGGCAACAAGATATGGATTTGCCTGGAATAGGTGATTTACTGTAAATGTTGATCGGAAAAAGCAGATGATCAACAAAAATTAGGGCACCCAATGCTCAGACAAACCCATGCTCTGTTGATGTACAGATACTGGGTGTTTACATCGGGAAACTTTCCATTGAGAGCAGGTCTCGGTCCAAAATCCAGCGGACTGACCACTGTCATAGCATCTCAGCCCATCGCCGACTAGTCAATGAGTAGGATCGTAGTGACATACAGTGAACATGGCAAGAACACTTATCGGACCAGTGTGCATTTGCTTGGCTTGAACCAGGTTGCCTATTGCCAGTGGCTCAGGCATTCACATGTTCACAGGGTCATACATCCATAGGCCACTGTGTAACATCCATCGTCAAATCCGGCACTTCACGAGGGCGTGGGTCAAGCCGTTGGTACCCCAATAGCTGGATGCTTAATACATGTTCAGAGTAGACAAATATATATACATTTCAATCTGTGGTCCCCCACGTCTTTGATGTTGACCCATACCCAACTCTCATCCTGTGTTTCATGTTAGATCCTATACCCATGAAACCCATTCGATGATGGCAGTGCTGACCGCCAAGGATCATGTGATTTTCAATCCTTCTTACTATGCCTTCGGGCACTTTAGCAGGCTCGGCGATTCATATCGATCCGTATGTACATTATTATACAATATGTTTCATGTCTACAATAACACTACATACTGTAATAATATATATATATATATATATATTTGTTTATTTATTTATTAACTTGATACAGAACTATATTAAACAAACTCTCTGTATTTTTCACATAATTTGAAAATGCAGCTATGTACATTACCAGTAAATTATATATATATAGATACATAACTACATTTACAACTACTTATTTAACTATACATTCAACTTGATATTTATTTATTTATATATATATACATACATAACTACATTTACAGCTACTTTTTTAACTATACATTCAACTCGATATATGCCTATTTATTTATACATAGATATTTGCCCTGTATGGGTGTAATGTAATTTAAAGTAATGTAATGTAATGTAATGTAATGTAACATAATGCAATGTAATGCAATGTAATGTAATGTAATGTAATGTAACATAATGCAATGTAATGCAATGCAATGAAACATAATGTAATGTAATGCAACGTAATGCAATGCAATGTAATGTATGTATGTATATGTATTTATGTTATGTTTTGTTTTGTTATGTTTTGTATGTGTGTCTGAAAGAAATGAATGACTGAAACGAAATAAATGAATGAATGAAATGAAATGAAACGAAATGAACATGAAATTAAATGACATGAAATGAAAAAATGAATGAATGAAATGAATGAAATGAAAGAATGGAATGAAATTAAATGAAATGAAAGGAATGCATGAATGAACGAATGAATGAATTAATGATTGGATGAATGAATGAAAGTATGTATGTATGTGTGTATGTATCTGTGTGTATATTTGTATGTATGAAATTTAATGTAATGTAACGTAACGTAACGTAATGTAATGTAATGTAAGTATGCATGCATGCATGCATGCATGTATGCATGTATGTATGTATGTATGCATGCATGTTTTTTTACACCAAATATGTTTATATTAACTAACTATTTAATTATATATATACATATCAAAATTACAGTGGGGAATTAAAGAGATTAAAACATATTTAATGAGAGTTTGCCGGTGTTGCTTGCAGATGGTCCGTCTTTATCATCTGTATGCAGGGTTTATCGCCCTGCGGATCATGGTCTTGTGCCTGTCCCAAATTGCAATGGCATATTGGCTTCTAAACTTCGGACAATATGGACAGATGGAAAATCAGAGGTGGGAAGAGTCGGAAAGAGAAGAAGAGAGAAGATGAGAGAAGAGAAAGAGTCAGAAGAAAGAAGATGCAGATGCGCGAATTGGTAGGAAAGTCACGACACACTGTGTTTTTCCAATGATTTGTGGCTCCGGAGGGTCGAAAAGTAGGCTCGCTAAAGCGGCAGGTGCGGAGCCATCTGGCCAGATGAGAGATGAAAAATTGCACGCCCTTGTGGCGCGAACCACATTTGGAAGTCAAAATGCACAAAGCACCTCATGTTCGGACGGTCGAAAAAGTGCACGCCGTTGTGGCGTGAAGCACATTTCGAAGTCAAAAGTGGAAAAAACTGAAGGGTTGGGAACACTTTTGGACGTTCGGATGTCGCTTTGCGTGGTAGGCACAAGGGATTCTGCACCTTGCCAAAAGTGACGAAAACGTGGGGGGTTTTGTAGCAGTTTCAACTACAACCACTACACTACACTACACTACACTACACTCAATTACACTACACTACTAACTAGCAACTACAACTACAACTTCACTACAGTACACTACACTACACTACACAAACTACACTACACTACACTCCAATTCACTTCACAACACAACACTACACTACATTCAATTACACTACACTCATTACACCACCACACATGCAACTGCAACTACATTACACTAATTGCATTGCACCACAACTGCAACTCCACCACACTCCAACTACAGCTACAGCCACAGCTGCGCTACACTACATCCAGCAGTTGTGGGTGAGGTGACCGACCAAGTGACCACTGCAACCATTGCAACCATTTCAAAAAACATAACTCCAACCAGCTTTCGTTCCATCAATCGGTTCACTCTGCCATCCGTGATTCACAACAGCCAACCTCTCCTGTAGTTTTCCTATTTTTGAAACTTCCGCCACCGCCTTGCGCGGTACTACTGGTACAATGGATATATCTCCACCATGTCTTGGAAATTTTACAATCATATCACTGCATATATAGTCGATAACTCGTTCATGATTTGGACAACATCTCTCTGAACGCAAAAGTAGAGAACCTTTCCTCCTTTTGATATCTTTTGATGCTGCTGTGTTGACTGTTTTTCACAGTGATATCCTTGCAGTTTTTGAGCTTGTGACGCGGCTGGCCACGGCCTTGCCCGCGTCGGCGCTATGGCGCGCATGGCCGCGTGGATGGCATGGAGCCTGACGGCGGCGGCGGCGTCTGCGCAGTTCTTGCCACCAGGGACGACAGATGTGCCCATTCAGAGGCGCCAAAGGTGAACCTCACGGGGGTTCTTCAGGTAGAACCAAGGATAATATGTATTTATTTATTTATTTTACCTATATATATATATATTTTTTTAAAAAATATATATATATATATATATATATCAACCCAGGATTAAAAAACCCCTAAATTGTTTTTTTTGGGGTGCCATTTATCAAGGGAAATATCATTATTTGGGGAACCTCACATATGAATGAATTACCATTTTATCAACCCTAGGTTAGCAGTACGTGTTTGATTGTAATCATTGATGACTATTGCTGGCAAATGATGATTTTATAAGATTTTAGATCATCAATGATGATGTTTGATCATTTTTGATTATTTTGTACATTGTGAGAACAACAATGATGTGCGCGATTGAATGTAATTTGTCGCAACTTCAAAAAATACCATAAATAATCATAAATGATCAACAATTATCATAAATGATCATGCATGGTACATAATTCACAATGTATACATATATCACGCATGCATGGGTTTGGAGTTTCAGATCTGGTGTGGGAATTGTTAAAGCGACATTATATTATGGTGATGGTGATGATGACGATGACGATGACGGTGATGATGGCGATGACGATGACGATGACGATGACGATGATGATGATGATGATGGTGATGATGATGATGATTGTGGTGATGGTGATGGTGATCGTGATGGTGATGGTGATGGTGATGGTGGTGATGATGATGATGATGATGATTTTGATGATGATGTTGCTGCTGTTGATGATGATATTTTCGATATTTTTGAAATTTATGATAATCATGAATTTTGTTGATATTTTTGATAGTGTTGTTTTGATGATGGCAAATATTGGTAATATAACGTGCTCTGTTTCCATGAAGATTCACTTGTATTGTCAGTGATGTACCTCTTACTGATGTGACATTCAGTGAAAACAATTCCTGCATCCGAAAGGTGCGGTGCTATGGAAATCACCATTTTTACCAGGTACATCATCCATAAATGTATATGTTTTTAGACAAAGTCACATTTTGACATGTCTGCCCACCTCGCTGGCAGGCCAGGGGATTGTGGACAAGTGGGACCTGCCACATATGTGTATCGCATGTCCAAGGTGGAACCCAATGTCTTTTGGCCGAACGAGTGCATGTTGTTTTAGTGCTTTCTATATGATATGTGTGTTTACTCAAATTTGTTTTCTATGAGTGGTGTGCGTGCTAGTCTGCAGTTTGTACCAGTTTATACCACGTTGTAGCAGTTTTGCTGTTCAAATGTATGCCGACCTGCAAGGACTACTTTCCCAAGATTTGTCCCAAACTTGGTGGGGCGTCCGTTCGCTTCAACAACCCGTGTGCATGGGCACATGGCCAAGCACAGATGACTGCCGCGCACTTTACCAACATGTGCAAGGGAGCCACAAGGATGATTCACTGGCACACCCAAGCTGATGAGTGGGGTTTTGTCACTTGGACAGCAAAGTCTCCCATCATTTTTTTGGTGGTCAGAATTGGTGATCTTCAAAACGAGAGAATTCTCTGTCCAAATGGAACTGATAGTGTTTCAAAATGTTTGGCAACATCATCCGTTTGGCTTGGGTGATCACCAAACTGCATGTGATGCTCCATGGCCAGGAGAGGAGCACAGGTGACCTGGTGAGTAATTAGTAAACTCTCGTCAATTGAGTACACCTGGACCCTCCAAGTACCTCGAAAAATGGGGCAATTTTTGCATGATGTGGGGACTTCACCCTAAAATTCCAAGGGATTCCAAGGGTCCCATTAGCGACGATTCCATGACGTTGGGACCGTTGGGATGTGGGGCTGTAGTTCCACGGCCTAGGGGCCCCATATCCCAAGTTATGGGGGTTAAAAAATCCGATAGTTATGGCAATTGTTTCCACCCCGGCTTGCACCTCCAAGTATGGTATGTAAATTCCAGTATCATTAATAAATATATATATATACATATATATATATACATATATATATATAATATACATATATATATATATATATAATCTAATTATTCGCCCACTATATCCCTATAAAATTCCCATCAAACCCGATATGTCCTTGTTGGGATGGGTGCTTCAGCGATTCAACCAGCTCCGAGGTAAGCAAAGGCCGCTTGATGACCTTTGTCGCGAGCCCTGATGGCTTACCATGGCCCAGCTCAACCAATGTGCCATGGCATGCCATGGCGCGTCCTTTGGAGGAAAGGATTGGTGAATGGTGTTTGGTTTATGGATTAGTTTTGGAATACCCTCCGGCAATCAAATATGGCAATGGAAAATCAACCATGAATAGATGATTCATGAAGTTTTAACTTTAATGATTGTGATTTTCCATAGCGGCGGTACATGGGTAGATGTATGTATGCTACATATTACACATACGAGAGATTGCGAAACTATTTCATAAATATGCTTTGTTTTGTGGCTTTGATAATGTTTTGATTATATATATATATATATAGTAAGTTAATCAATGCATCACACAATATGTACATGCGGATGTGACAAAAAGGCAGGCCAGCAAGAATCACCTGAAACGACGTAGCAGCCAAGCCTGTGGGACATATTCTCCTTTTGGTCCTTTGAAATAGTTTGAAATGTCAGGAATGGAATGGCACTATCTAGGCTATCCTCAAATCTTCAAATTCACTATATGTTGGATATATGTTCTATGTTGGTCCATTTTTAACACAATGCCATTCAAAATTCAACTAATGTTGGCAAAGCAATAGGATCCACCATCCCCAATTTTACCATTTTTATGGGTGGGATTCCAACCATCTGCATATGGGTGGTTTATGACATTGCTTTACCGACGTTAACTATCAATGCCTTGACATACCCTCTAGTAAACTAACATAACTATGGAACATCACCATTTTTAATGGGCACATCCACTATAAATGGCCATTTTCAATAGCTATGTAACAAATTACCAGAGGGTAGATTGAAATGGAAAAAGATGATCCCCAACGACCTCATGCCGCTGTGGCGCAGCTCAGATTTTGTTGCCTCGTGGCGTTTGGTACTTCCCTTCGGGCTGGCTTCATGGTCTGCTGTGTCCTTCGCCGCAAGCAATGAGCCGTTTAAGCAGACGTTTGCAGATTTGCCAAAAAAGCAATCAAGTACTTAATTTTCATGATTCTCAAAATGTGAATCTATCATAATCTATCTGTTTTGCAAAGATGCAGAGTCAACATCCAAAAAATACGGAATATGTTGCAAAATTGTGAGAACCTATATGGATTCCGAAGTCATGGGGGTACCTCCATAAACCATCCATTATAAACGGTTATGTGGTTATAAACCATGATAAACGGTTATAAACCATGATAAACGGTTATAAACATTTATAAACCATGATCAACTCCGTGATTTTCATAGGACTTTCCATCCTGCCACCATCTTCCGCCAAAGCCATCGGGCTTCCCTACTGAGTTCAAGGTGTCACGCCGGAGGAAGAGGGTGGCTGTGCAGCTTGCCGTATGGCTGTGGGATGACCGTCGTTGTTCGATGACCATTAGAAACATGGGAAGAAAAATGGGAAAACCATCAAGAAAATCCTTGGAAAATAGGAAAACAATGGGAAAACACATCAAGCTCATGGGAAAAATAGTAACTAGTGGGAAATATATGGGAAATTATATGGGAAATATTGGAAACTACGGAAAACCATTTGAAGATCATGGGGAAAGATGGGAGAACAATCCAGATCCATTTCAAAAATAGCGGTAGTTTGAACCTTGTTTGTATATGTTTGAATTATTTTCGGGGCTTACTGTAAATATAATTCCTAATCCAGTGGTTCAACAGCACCTCAGTTTGCTCTGTAAGAATTGCCATATTTTGGAGGTACACCGTATTCTCAGACCCTCACAGACATTTTTTTCCAAATGGCTTAACCCAGACACTCCCGATTTTTCATAATTCTTCAGCATGAAATTTAAATGTGTTTCCCAATGACATTGGTACAACACTGTTACAACACCATGACCCAACAATCATTCCTGGATGGAAGAAACAGATTTGAGTTTTGCACGTACCGCTACTACATCTTCTTCAACGATGTTTCATAACCAGAAGGCGTTAAAGAACCGCAGTTCTTTGGTGCCGATTCATTTGGGATGAATCCCAATGCCATCTCCACAACTTTGAGGGATGTGTTTTTTTCATTCCATGGACATCGGACAGCCGCTGTGCCGGGGTCGTTTAGAATGATCTTGTTTGACTCAGTCTCATAGCTGCGAGTGTACTGGTCAACATGCACTACATATGAATTACTGATAAATGAGACATTTCTTGGCAATGACTGGATTATCGGCATGTCTTAAGTCTATCATTCACTGATGATTGGATACTTAGTTTTGGTGGTTTCTTGAAATGGGGGATCGCAAAGTCACCATGGGTTTCAATACTAAGTCATGTTCATCCATGACGACTGGATGATTCGGGGCTACAATGACATCTCATGACTGTGGAAACCTCCATTTACTAATTATAGTTCATGGTTCTCTACAAGGTGGGGCCCCCCAGTTATAAGTTGGTTTATAAACCCCATTAACTATATAGTTATAAGTACCATAAACCATAGTTATGGGAGTTATAAACCAACTTAGCTATCTTGGGGGCACCACCTTGTACTTATGTATTTACCATTTCTGAATCTCCAGGCCGTTCGGCCAGTCGCCCAGGAATTCACCATCATTTTCGCTTCCCCCCAAGCTGCTGAGCCCAATGGGCATAACCTGGACACCACCTTGGCCCAGGCTTGACTTCGAGTTGGTTGGTGTTCCGAACACGAATTTTGGGAAAAAAAACACTCAAGATCTTAGTGCCATCTGTATATATATATATATATATAATGTATATAATATAATATATAATATATCTTATATTGTATAGTTGGTGTTGGTAGTTGGTAGTTGTGATTATACGTCGCCAAATGTTGTTATGATGATAGAATGGACGCCTCCATGAGTTGGTACAAGGATGGCCTCGACCCGACGCTGCCACTGGGCTGTGGATACCAAGGGAAGTTTATATAATATATATAAAGGTCACATGTTAATTAAAGGGTTGATTAAATCTGATTAATCTATTAATGATTATAATATATATATATATACCTATGCCAATTATTAATTATATATATATATATTACGGGAATTATAATTTATCACGTGTTCTCTCAACAAGGAGTATTTGTGGTATGTTTATCACATGATTTCCGACTTGGTAAGTTGCTTGGATTGAAAAACCAGAGTCACCAGAGATTGTCTTCATGTTTGCCCATTGTGTTTGGCTTTGCTGGCTTTGTTGTTTAATTGGCCATTCACTATCGTATTGAAGATCCCTCGTTCTTACAGGAGGATCAGGAAGAATTTCCGGCATTGTAACCTGATCTTGAGTCATACGTGTCCGATCAACGGCAAAATGAATCGTGCTCATCAACCCGACCCTTTCTGGATTTCTTGGGCCGGCTCCTGCTTCGACGCATTTGCAAGGCAGACAATGATGTTTCTGCATCAGCGCTGGATTTATCCTTAGAAGCTTGGCCTAGTCAGACTACAATCCGGGACTTGTGATACAACTGAAACCCTGCGCCTTACTGGCAGGTTTTTTATCAGTTCATGTTTATTGGGTTTATGATCATTTGATATAATTTGATATCATTTGATATCATTTGATATTATTTGATATTATTTGATATTGTATATGATCTGTTTTATATTGTTTGATATTATTCTAGAGGCAACATTCCCATATTCAGAAAATCTTCGCATACCATGTTTTCATCGTACTCCAGACCTGTGTTTTGGTATGTTACTTTGATAGGCATTTCAGCTCAATCTGGAGGGAACAGTTGGCCCACGGCGAATCCACTGAATGCCCCTCCACAGCTTTCTATCCCCTATGTCGTTCCAAAGCAGCTGTGGACGTTGAATGAATTGAAGGCTGCTTTGATAAGGAAGTTTCCTCATTTGTCTACCGAAGAAGGACAGGGTTTTCAAAGGTAACGTTTTTAAAGGTTGGCTGAGTAAAAATTAGCAAGTTTCTTCCCCGGGACCTCACCCAAGGTGATCTCGGAAAAATAGAACCCACTGGTGTGCCCCTGGAAGTTTGGGCTGGCTTTGGGATTGGAATTTTGGTTCTGGCCCCGAAATTTCCCTATGTGGTCTCTATACCAGCCACGCATACTCGGAAATCTTCGCATTCCACAAATTCTTCGCACTCCAGCGAGGGCATCGCACTCCACAGCTAGGGACGTACACATACTGTAAAATCCACGCGCTCTGCAAGATCTTCGCACCCCATAAAATCTTCGTACTCGGCGATTTTCGCTTTTTTTCTGTTTTTTTTTTGTTTTTTTTTTTGGCTAAAATCGCCTGGAATCACGTTTTCTGGAATATGGGCAAGGTAGCGGTTTCGCGTGAGACGTCTGTAGTTTCACATACTATCGCATTCCAGGCCATTTTGGCCAAAAATGACCAAAAATAAAAAAAAAGAAAAAAAAGCTCAGCAGGGTGAAATGTGATAATTTTCTGGTATATGATGGAAAAAACTGGTGTTGGATCCATGGGGAAGGTCGAAGGGGGCCACGCATACTGTTTTATTTTCGCATTCCAGAAAATTAGCGCACTCCAGGGGTGGCATCGTACTCTATCGGTGGAATTATTTTGCACGGAAGAAAACAGGATCGTCGATGATTTGTGTTCCCAGATCCTGTTGTGCAGAGCTCCTTGCGGGGCCACAAAGATGTCAAGAACGATGGGGATGGCGCTGCTGATGAAAGGCCAGCCAAGCGTGCCAGAACATAAGCTTAAAGCTTATGAATTGGGTTTTGAGATCCTGAAAAGTGTAGATGACAAATTCCCATAAGAACATTATTAATCCACTTTTGGAAAGCTCAACATTATTAATTATATGACATTTCCAGAAATTGTTGAAAGTAAGGATCTTCTTTGGGGAAGAACATGTGCAGTCGACAACGTACGTGCCAGAAGAAAAGGAGTACTTGGCAAACTGTATGAAATACAAATTTCACCTGAAAGGGGTCTTCGCAATTCCCTGAAATTTTCCAGCTATTTTGGCATGGAATATGTTCGGCCCTGGAATATGGGCAAGAAATTGCTAGAATTATTTGTTTGTTTATTTTATTTTTATGAGTTTGGCAAAGTGGTCCCATTCATTGTATTACATGGATATTCTTGTCAGGATGCCATTGAGATTTAGACCTGCTCAACTGCTCAACCTGTTTAGAGTCTCCCAAGTCTAGATAAATCGAGCTTCCTGTCACGACTCAGGAAGTGTACGAGGCTTCCAGGCCTGCTTTTGGCCCTTCGGTCATCAAGATTGCAGCCTCAAAACGGGAAAAGAGCTTTAGAGGTTACAAAGATTCGCGAGTTCAGAGTATTGACACTTATTGTGTTGCTGTCTTCTGCTTTTTGTTATCTTTGGTGGTGGGTATTGGGCTGTTACAACCAGAGCTTATCAGCCCATAGACGGTCTGAAACGATGCCCAGGTTACGGCCAAAAATGGAACCCAGGGTTTTCTCGCTGGAGCAAGTTGCCAAACGATTGAATCCCCCATCCCATCCCCCTCAGCACCTGGAGTCAAGGTAAAGCGATACACTCAATCCACTATAGCAACACCAACATGACAGCTCCAATCGACGCTTTGCTTGAAACATGTGCGTTGATTTTCTGGCCTTGGGAGCCTCCAAAATGGATGAATTTCAATATCAATCATATGGTTCAAGATCAAATACTGCCAAAAAATGGTCGAAGTTGAAATAGTTTGAACCATGTTGAATCATGCTGTAAATACAAAAGATGACCAGCCATCCTTGCCTTTTTTGGTCCAGTCCACCTTGGGGTGGGGTTCCAGGTGACCGCCGTGGCACCTGGAGAGTGTGATCCCGAGTGTCCTCCCGTGCAAGAGACCGTGGGAGCACCTGCCGCGGTGCAGTCCATCGTAGAACAACGGGTGATCCTTCCTGCTACGGAAGGGGTGACTTTGCAGCTGGGCTTCCGATAGATGTTGGTTATCTTCAAGGGGAATAATATTATGATAAGGATATGCTATGTGGATATATGGTGGATTCATGAGTAAATCCTACCTGGTTGTGGATTATTATGATGTGTTTTATCACCCATCAATGGTATAGCTATCAATTCCTACGCATATTGATTGTTAATGATGGTGAATTAAACGCTTCCTACGCATTTCTTGATGGATGGAAAACCAATCTATGCACCCCTCCAAGTACCGTGAACCATGAGGTGATATACGTAGTACCCATTTTTTTGGGACGTTCACTCGTGAAATCATAATGAGTACTTGGAAGATCTGGTAATCAAACATGGCTGGCTGGAACATATATCATGTTGTTTGATGATTTTCCCAGCTATAAACCTGCATATTGCATATTTATAGGTGATTTCAATTTGCAATATTTGCTTACCTGAGGGTACTGATATCAGTAACAAGTGGATTTCCCACACGTTTCCCTAATTGTTGTCCCATGATTTTCCCATTGAAAACCCATTGAAGCACCAGAGGGTAAGTACCTACAGGATGGGGCCCCCAAGATAGCTAAGGTGCCTTTTAAGTGGCCTAATAATGGCGTTAATCTGGAGTAAAACTATAGTATGCATGGGGGTTATAAACCAACAAACATAAATGGGGGGGGGCTCCATCCTGTGGTTGATTTGGTTAATATAGGTACTTCTATCTATATAATTGATTGGGGATTATGATAACCCATACCCTCTGGTAAACTACATAACTATGGAAAATCACCATTTTTAATGGGTAAATCAACTATAAAGGTGCAATTTTCAATAGCTATGTTTGTTTACCAGAGGGTAGTAGGGAAACTTGTCATCCAACTAATATCAATGCCATTCTTTGAGAATCTGTCACAAGAGCAGCCTCGCAAAACAACCGCAAAAAGGTATCGCATTCGCACGGATCAGTTCCCCTTCTCCCGGACCATGTGCCTTGGCGGCTGCTGAGCATGTGTGTTCTACAATGTTCTATGGCTATGATAGATGATATATATATATATATATGTGCTACCACTAAAAAGGTCTATGCAAGGGATATGTATTGGAATGGAATATAGCTCAAAACCTGCAAAAACGAAGGTGACCCTTTAAAACGAAGGCAAACCTTACAACTAATGTTTGTTGATAGATTTCCATTTGAGAAGCGAACGTCAAGAATGGTGTATCATGGAGTTATTGTCGTTTGGTCTTTACCTGTTTTCCCTTGTCTTCCTTTTGTTTCCTTTCTTGTGTTCATGCCTTTCCTGGGACAGTTTCTGTTGGCTTCCTTTCCGCCTTCGTTTCTTTCTGTTGTTCCCGTTTGTTTTTTCCCTATCTTGTTTTTCCTCCTGCTGCATTTACATTTTGTCAAGTTTCTGCTTTCCGCCTGCAAGTATTCTTTTTATCCGGCGGTTTTGTTTTCCCGTCTGGTTTTGCGTTCTGGAACGAAGCCAAAACGAAGGCAAAAACGAAGGCAAAATTCACGACAAGCAGCTTGGCATGAACTTGGCCAGGAGCAGGCAAGCCTTCTTCCCCATCCTGCTACTACTGCAACCACTACCATTGCCACTGCGGGGCCTAGTTGTGCTTTTGCTGCAGGCATTTGTCTTACCAGCACCAGCAAAGCACCAACAGCGCCTGCATCACCGCGATTACTGCTGCTGCTGATGCAGCTGCTGCTGATGCTGATGCTGATGCTGCTGGTGCTGGTGCTGGTAGCTGCTGGTAGCTGCTGGTAGCTGCTGCTGTGACTTGCTGTGACTTGCTGTGACTGCTGTCATTGCTGTCGCTGCTGTCGCTGCTGTCACTGCTGTCACTTGCTGCTGCCACTGCTGCTGCTACTGCTACTGCTGCTGCTACTGCCACTGCTACTGCCACTGCTGCTGCCACTGCTACTGCTACTCCAGTGCTACTGCTACTTTAGCACCTTTGTCGCTTCTACGAGTCACAGTACTAATCCTAGCACATCCTGGCACTGTTTTTTATAACTTTTGCCATTGCTGCTGCCATTAGCTCGAAATGATGACTGCGCGATATCGCACGTATATCTGTGAAGGTTTGGTCGAAACCGTTGTAAAACGAAGGTGACCCTTTAAAACGAAGGAAAAATAGATATTCCATTTTGGGGCAATAGAGTTTTGGAGGTAGCTCATATATATATATATATAGCATGAAGATAACCACTTGACTCCAGATTTCAGATGTCAAAACGTTGTTTTGATAGTGTTTTACATCTATAATTTGGGATGTGTATTAAATTTTATTAAGTTAGTATACTGTGAATTCTAACCCCAAAAAAGATAGAAACGTATTTCTGTTTACCTCAGAATTTCCAGGCTTCCAACTTTCTGGCCTTTGTTTTTGGGTGGTGATTTCCCATTTAGGTTCGTGATGTTCATTGATTTTCTGAGCTACAAACCTCGATCCATTTCGTTTGGGGATTTCCGAAACCATATAGTGCGGGGATTTCCCATTTCAATTTCATGAGGTTAACCTTCATTTATAGCTGGTTGGTGGTTTGGAACATTTTTATTGTTCCATATATTGGAAATGTCATATTCCCAACTGACTTTCATATTTTTCAGAGGGGTGGCTCAACCACCAACCAGATAGATAACTAATTATAGATATTATAGCATTTATAAGGGATCTCCATTGAAGTTGGCCAATCCAAAGCTGTGGTGCGTCCCGCCCGATTCCCGCAAAAAGGTCGCAGGAGCGAGTTGAGTTGGCCCCTGGAGCGGTGCGTCCCGTTGTTTGGACCACGGCCGTGGCTGGGCTGGGCCGAGATGGCAAGAAAACCTTGTTTTTTTAAATTAATACCATCTGGTTATGACTACCATAGCCATGGTATAGATGGCCCATTTATAGAAATTTATAGATGGTTTACCTACTAAAATTATGAATCTGGGTAAAATTCATCACGACCTCACGTTGCGACCGAGCCCTGGAATCATGGTTAATAAGGGAAATCATCCCCAAATGGCCTTAATTCAGGTTAGTGAAATATTACAATTTACTCAGATTAATGGTGAAATAATGGTTGATGCCCTCTGGTAAACATACAAAAAACTATTGAAAATGGCACCTTTATAGTGGATTTACCCATAAAAAAATGTGATTTTCCATAGTTACGTTAGTTTGCCAGAGGGTAATGGTGAAATAATGGTTGAATAATGGTTGATCATGGTTAACTAAAAATGGTTGTCCATGCATGGTTAATAATGGTTAACAGGGGTTAATTACTGGTTGAGTAATGGTTGGGTAATGGAGAAGAATTGGTGCATAAACTAACAATAATAGATGAAAAAAGGACAGTTGGAATCGGAAGCATTTTTCCCCGGAAGATTATGACATTCCATGGTTGTCTCGCGCCATAGGGTTTCCATGCCAATCACTACTTGGAAGATCATCCCACTTAGTAAGCGCTTCATAATCAAAGCTGCTGAGTAAGTCCCTGATTCGGGGTGTATCCCATTTATACATGGCCTATAACCTCAGCTATACTAACCAGCCAAACGATCCGTGGTAGGTGATCCTCCAAATATAGTCAGGTAGGTGATCCTTGCCAAACTTTTCAGGATAGCTTGCTGATGGTTGTGACTGGGACCGTGACGGTATCCCTTGAGGCTGGGAGTTGGATGGGTAGATTTTTAGGAGCCATGAGTTGTGACCCCTTGTTAAAAGTCACCAAAGATTTGGATAGTTTTTTTTTGGTAACCACTAACCACTAACAGGGGATAGACTCGTAACAACTAACAACCAGCTTAGGTCAAGGCTACACTTTCTTCAAACTTATCTCAGACCTTTCCACGGCAGTCAAGCCGGAAAGGATCCAGAGTTCATGGTAGAAAGCAGCACATGGTTGCACTAGTGGGAAGTGATGTTGTGAATGTTGCATAAGTTCACAAGTGAGTTACCTCTTTGTTTTTGATTCTTTCTGTACATGAAAAGACATCACACATATTTGGTGATTTATGGTTTATGCTATTGAGGATCCACTTGATCGCACCGTCCTCAGATTGAGCCAACCTGACCCGTTTCCTGCACAGGGCGGCATTTTGGGCAACGAGTCTCATTTGGAGTTCGCCAACGAGACTTTACATGCTGGGGATGTGGCTTACTTCCCCAATCAACGTGCCTACTGGTTCCGTGAAGCCACAGGAAAAATACCCGCAGAGACCATTAATGTCTCTGGTTGATCGTTTCAAGTACTTTTACCCTCCGGTAATGAAACATGGCTAGGGAGGAAGTCCCCTGTAAACGGTCATTTAGATGGGAATATCCGAACTAAATGGGGAGTTGTTCATCAAGCCATGCTTGATTACTAGAGGGTATACTTTTTTCGCTTTGGTCGGCGATTCTAAACGGTTTATCCACAGATTTCCATCCCGAAAAAAAGGGCATGGTGATCACTGAAAACGAGCGGCAATCGAAGTTGGTTTGCTGGAAAATTCCCCATTGAGTTTGATGATGTTCCCAGCTACCTCCATTTAGTGTGGTTTCCCATGGGTCATTTTGGCCCAATGGGCCATCCAGGTCTTCAATGTGGGCATTTGGAAGAGCATCGAACTGCGCCAAGCGGTTTCTGAGATGCCGCGTATCGTGGTGATGTCCAATTTGCATCAAGCGCACTTCCCAACGCCGCAGAAATCGCAGTGAGAGTTGCTGAAAAGATGCAACTGTTGATTCAAGATTCACGTCGATTTTAATTATGGTAACTTTTTTCTGACTTCACTTTTGTACCTGGCCGCGGAGATCTCTCCATCGAGCCCCATTGGTATGGGAACTGCAATGGCCTCATTTCGAGATTCCCACACCCCAATACCCAGTACAGAATGAAGTACAGAGGGAGAAAATGTGGCGCGGAGCTGGTTTGGAGTGGCTCATGTTGTTGAAGAATTCACAGCAAAGGGTGATAGCCAGGCATGGTACTGAGAAGTTCCCTTTAAGATTTCCAATCGATTACAAGCATTTTATTCGGATATAATCCTTTTCGAGGATTCAGGTGTGTTGTACATCCAGAGTCATGTAAGCAAAGTGTTGACAGGTGCCAATCAAACAGAATATCAGGAAATGACGTCCCCTTAATCAGGATTTGATTTGTGATTTGTCCTGCTTTTTGTGCAGTGCAACACCATTGCTGATTATGGGTGTAGTCAGTCTCGGGATCACTCCCCAGCGAAGTGAAGCGAAGTGATAGTCTCTATGTCACTGGGCGAGTGGTCGTATCCCAGACTTGGAAGGGACAATTTCATAGGATTTACATGGATTTACATGGATTTACCATGATTTACCGCTTTATTTGAGGATACAACATGTGAAACATCTACAAAACAACGTTTCCTTACAGATGTTCTTATTAAATGGAGAATATCATATTATGTAGAACATTATAGGGTATTTCTACATCTATAAAACACCGACATTTGTCGAGGCCTTGACCCCTTCCCAACACACCCTGCAGTCGCCGCTGCATAGGCACATCCAACCTGGGGCACGTCGAGTGCTTTGCGCCACGAATCGAGACTGTATGGAGGCCATGGCTTTTCCCATCTCCGGAGCAGTGGGACTAGGAAAATCCATGAAAATCCAAGGGGTTCTTATACACTATTTGAATCTATCTTTTATGTAATCATAATATATTCAAATTGTATAAATATAACACTTTTTTTCTACATAAATATCCTGTAGTACTGTAGAATTTACACATATTTGCCCGCTGGTGAAGGGGGGGTGTTAAATGCCATTTCTTCAATGGCCAAACGGAACCTTGCAGTTGGATATACGGCATGGTATGAATCAAAAAGCGATTATAACTACCGCTAAACGTTAGTTATGATAAGCCAAAGTCGAAATGACCAACATTTGTGGTTTTCAGAGCCTCAAAGATTGACCCATGCCACATTCTCCATCTATGTTTCGACATAGATGGACCATTTTCGGGGGTAAATCTTGGTGCCAACGTTCCAGCACCATGGAGCATTGCCCCAGGCAACGGCATTCCTGAACCCCAATGGCAATCTTGTGGCGGTCGTCCTGAATCAGACCAAGCATCACAGGGACCGCCTGCGTTGCTACTCGACACACTTCCCTGGGGTAACCTAACGAAAGCCATGGAAAGCCCATTGTTTTTCAGGAAAGTATCTACAAATGGTCAATGATTCGTAATATTATCTATATTGTTTCACTGGAGGGTAATCGTTTACATTCCTATTGATTACTTAGCTCTTTGGAATTGAGGTCCGAGTTCTATTGATAATTATCATTTTGGTGTGGCAGGCCCTGTGCTACGCTTGCACTGGGTTCATATTCAAGTACTCCGCCCTGGCACCACCATTTCCCACCGTGCAGGACATGTGCTTGGTGGTGAACGGCAAGGTAGCACGATGTGCCATCATGGCCCACTCAATTACCACCTTAACGTTCAATCTGAAGTGAGAGAAGCTGGTCGGTTGGATGTGAATTCGGAATCGTTCAAGTTCTTCAAGGAGCTTGGGGTGGAGTATCATGTATTTGTATGTATTTGTATGTATTAGTAAGGTTTGTCGATTTGTTGTCAAATAACATTCATAACATAATCATTGCATTTAAAGTCACTTGGCGTTTGGATTCGATGTTGAGAAAAGATGTTGTGGTTGCGTTTCGTCGAAAAAACAGTTCGTTTTCACCTCCGACCGACCCCCGAAGCGGCGCAGTTGCGGCGCCCAAAGCTCGCTTTGGGCATGGCCAAAAGACTCGCGCAATGAGGGATATGATTTTGCAAACTCCCCAAGGGTTACTCTCCAGTAAATTAACATAGACCCTGCCAGATAGGGGTTAGAAGATTAGTTTCCATTACAAATTGGTGATTCTCAGGGTCTATGTTTATTTACCAGAGGGCATATTTTGTTACTGTATTTGCTGCTGGCAACATAACATCGGGATCACTCACAGTGGAGCGAAATGGAAATGGCTTGGTGGGGTTCAAGAGCCTGAGGCACCATTGCTGCACCCAAAGAAGAGTCCAATGCTGACTACATGGTGTCGATCACTCAGAGAAGCCGTGCTGACAAAAACATATTCGAATGTCATGTTTGGAGGATGAGAAACTTACAGAACCTTGGTGAAAAAGATTCAGCGCACTCCCGGTGTGTGATACGTTTTGCGTTTTTTTGTTTTCCCTAAGTTGTGTTTGATTTGCGACTTGTGATTATTCGGCCACGATCAGGCACCAAATTCTACAGAAGTGCAGCGATTTGAACAAGGAAACGGACCCTCATGGTAGATCTGAGACTGGGGATGTTGGTGGTGTGGATGTGATGTAATGCATGATAGTATAAGAATATCATAGAATATCTCACAAAACGTGTATAACTTTGTCACAATAAGTCACCAAAAGTGATACTGTGTGTCATAATTAGCTGCCCATAATATGTCGATATAGGGTGGCTTCTGGTTTGAGACACATTCTGCATTCCCTTCGATTTCCTGTAACGGATCATGTTCAGGGAGCACCAATAAGAGCATGGAAGTGCTGCAACAAAGGTGAGGCTTGAGGTACTAGCCAATAAACTAACATAACTCTAACAAAAATCACATTTTTTTGATAGGTAAATCATCTATATATATATATGAATAACCCAACATTTGTAGATAATTGTCCGTTTCCATAGAGTAGATGTAGCTCGGTAAGAAAGTATTAATGCTAGGTGGACACATCCCCCGGTTCACAGGCACAGCACTACATCAACTGGTTGCACGAGAACGTGGGAAAGTCAGGGCGCCTGGCAGAGTATCCGTGGCGTTTCGGTGAAACATGGTCTCGTGATGTGCCATGGTCAAACGTTGAATGATTATATATGTATATGTATATATAATATACTATGATATCATATAACATAATATAATGATATATATATATATATTATATTATATTATATTATATATTATATATATATATATATTATATATATATTATATTATATATATTATATATGTTCTAGAATGGGGCTACCACAATAATTGGAACATAGTATACATCTATTTGTTCATTTTCCCATTTTCCCATAGAGGATGGTCACCATAGAATTCATAGTTTTTTTTTTTTTAAATAAGCAGGACCATGCAATATCTGTTGGATGAATCAGGGCCGGGACTGAGCTGCTTCATCCCCATGGCTATGCCTGGTGATCCACCAAGTGGCCAGGTTTTTTGTTGGGCACAAGTTCGGAGAAATTCATGTCGGTCACATGTTCATGAATCCTCATGTTGGCTGGTCTAATCCTCTCTGAAAAAGGGCCGGAATTCGACAACTCGCATCTCCATCATATTTCCATTTGTTTTCCACAGTTTTGCCCATCTTTCCCATTGAACTAGCCAGTTTTGCCATGGTTTTCCCATGGTTTTCCCCCACATTTGGACCCAGAAAAAAACGAAGCACCAAGGCCGACGCCTTCTGGACGCACCTTTGCCTTGGATGAGGTTACAGAGGCATGATATATACAGAAACGATGAATACACGTTTGGCTTTTAACATGGATTTAACCTTTGGTAATTTAACATAACTATGGAAAATCACCACTTATTTCGTGAATTTTCCCATGAAATATGGTGATGTTCCATAGTTATGTAAACGTTCATCAGAGGGTAACATGGATTTAAGATGTTATTCTGAGGCACATCGTTTATCATGGATATACTATATCTGAAGATGATTCGAGAATAGTTTAAATAATATGTTCAAATCACAAACATGTTAACATGGACTCTTTCTGGATTTGAATTATATAACATCATTTGAAATTATTAGAGAAAACAATTTGTGAATCTGCTTATCAACCCAGAGCCCATCAATTTTGAGTTCCAAACACATGAAAACGTTGGGGTTGCACCAGAAAAAAAAATAACATATATATAGTGGTTAATAGAAGAACAGCAAGATGGATAAATGACGATTGAAACGATTTACATAAACATATTTCCTGATCCATGGCAAAGCCCTTTCACGTCGAAGGCTGAGCTTCGAGTCTTGCAATTCTTCGAGGAGGTGCGATGTGTTTTTTTTATCATTTTTGAGGAGCCAAATCATTCTGAAAAGTGTATAGATTGTGTAGATTGTACAAATTATGTGTAACTTTCTACACGTGTTTTGAGGGGATTTCATTTTTTGATCTTTACTTCATCAAAAATCAATCACAAGGGCCGCCCGGTGGAGTTTTTCCCCTCAAATAGCCCTAGGTGATTCATCATGGATATTATTCTACCATGGATTGCATCAGGAATAGGATCAGATGAATCAAACATAGTGTGCAGAATTGCCATCGGTTCTCAGAAACCACGGTGGTTCTGGGCAGTTTGACATTTTGTTTTGTATATTTCTCTTGTTTCTCTATAGTCTATAGAGTCTCTACAACACACAGACTATTCAACATAGTCATGGCTATGGGCTATGGTCCAAATATCTTCAAAACCACTTGGCCCCTCAGAACGGATTGGTTTCCAGTTTTCACTTACCCTTTGGTTATTTAACATAGCTATGGAAAATGGTCCATCTATGGATGATTTACCTATATTTACCTATTAAGAATGGTGATTTTCCATTGCTGTGTTAGTCATAACCAGAGGGTATATGAAAACCAGAGATTATCCGGATCTGTGGTTCGTACCCCACGTTGGGTCTCCATGGCACAGTGTCAGGGTGGCGGTGACCAAGCTGCTTCCAGCAGTTGGGGCCTGAACTTTGCGAAGCCAACTTGGGACAGCCCAAAAGCGCTCCCAAAGCATGGGTGTTTTGTTGTATCATCGTTGTTTTCATCATATTCATCATGATGATCATTCTTGTCACAATGGTAATACAAAGAAACATTGTAATCATCACTAATCATACTTATATAATTATGGTTAATCATCATTAATCATTATTATTACTCATGATTAATCATATTAATCATCACTAATCATGTTGATCATCATGAATGATCGTTGATCATCATCATCACCATCACCATCACCATCATCATCATCATCATCACCATAATCATCATAACAACAATAATCGTTACAAGACATTAAACAATCAAACTTCACCGTAGTATCAGGAGGGACGCAGCAGTTGAGGTTCAGACAGCGAAAGTTCCTCCCTGAAACCACGCCGTGGCCGGCCTGGGCCTCGGTAAAAGTGCCAACATCTTTGGGTAAAATTGGGATTTAACCGTCAAACATGGGGATTTACTGATTTACCCAGCAAAAATTGGAACGAAAAGGCATCAAAGACCTAAACAAAAGCCCGTTACTTGGTGACTTATAACTATAGCTGGTTGGTGGTTTGGAACATGTTTTATTTTTCCATATATATATACACATATATATATATATGGGATAATCCTTCCCACTGACTTTCATATTTTTTCAGATTTTTTCTGAGGGGTGGCTCAACCACCAAACAGTATAACTGATAACTATAGACTATGGAATGTACATGGTCAATTTTTGTTGAGTGGGCTATGTCTGGATCCATGGATTCTATTCCAGTTTTTCAGGGGCCACATGAAGCCAGTGATGGGAAGTGGAGTTTTTTCACATATGTAGAATCCGATGACCCGTCATACATCAAACTTTAATGGATTGGTGATGTGTCAATATTTGTCATTTTGTCAACATGTTTGTTTCATTGTATTTCATTGTGTTAAGATAGTTGTGTGTTTACCATGTTTTGCCATCGCAAGTATTACCCATTACCTTCATTTGTTTTGGATGCTTAAGATGGGTGTGCCACGGGTCCGTCGTCTAAGGCGAAAGAACAAAGAGGTGTGAGTTGTCGGTGCAACAGTTGAAATCCCTTCAATGGATACTTTGATGTTTTTTTGTTTAATATAACGGCCATGTTTTACCTATAAAATGTGGTGAATTTATGGTTTTTCAATGGCACATCCCCAGCAAAAATGGAAGTTGTTAATGGGAACATCATCCATAATTAGGGGGAATTGTTCCTTGCCATGATTGAGTACCAGCAAGGTATCTATCTATATCTTACTATGCGGGACGTTCGGCAGTCCAAGGTGTCCAAGATGTGGCGTTTTGTGGGGCTTATCCAATTTTCCTACAAATGCTTGGGGATTGCATACCTCAGAGAGAAAGAAAGGGCATGAGGGGGCCATTCCTCCATTCCAAGCTACAACATGGTGGGGTCTGTTCACGTTAATTTTCTTGTTTGTGCTTTCATTTGAACAAATATGGATGCATGATCTATAGCTTTTTGGAAGTTGCTGAGCAGCCTGGCACAGCAATATGTTAGGCTGATGGTCCTTCAATAGTGATGTCAGGTTTCAAATCTGCTACATTTGCTGAAAAGTCAGCGACTCATTTGCTGAAAAGTCGCTGAGTTCCTGTCATCATCCGGCCAGGAACTCAAGAAGAGCAAGAGCAAGAAGGACCCGAGAGCTCTCGGTGGCATTCAAAACCCAGCAGGTTGATCGATGGCCAGATTTTGGACGATGATCCCCTTAAGTGACACTTACTGTAAGGGGCTTGAAACCACCAAGTAGGTTAAAAAAAAGTGGTATCAATCGGACTATGAAATATATGGATGACATGCAAAAACTATAGCCACGCACTGGATTGCAGAAAATGTCTCTCCGACTCAATCCTGGATCACCGTGGGGTTTTTTAGCGCCAACCGACAGTGAAGAGTTCAAATTATCCAATCGCAGAGGTTGCAGCCATGATTTTGAAATATTTTGAATATGCTGAGGTGAACATGTGCTAAAATTCAACAGTGTCCAAGAATTCCTTCAGGGATCCATAGTGATACACATAGGAATCCCTGTATGCAATTCCCGGTCATGCTCGAACGTTTTGCGCTTCTGCCGCGTCAAGCCCGCAGGATTTGAAGAGGAAAAGGAGCCGAAGTGCCGAAGTCTCGGGATGTTGGCTCTGTCCAGATGTCCAGAACTTTAGTTTGCCTAATTTTACCATTTGATAATCAAATATTGCCAGACTTAGATGAGACATCCCCTATAAAAATGTTTTTTCGATGATAAAAATAAGGATTATCCATTGTGTTTGAACACCGGAGGGTAACTTTGATGTTTTTGTGGTGACAAAAGATTGGACTGGAACAACCCTTTTATTTTCCTGAGATGATCCCACTTCAGCACCACTCGTCTCCTGGGTCCATTTCGGAACTCCAGGACAGTGGGCGCAGAAGAATTGGAAGGTGCTTTGTTTGGTCCCTTTGATTCAAACTCAAGCTGGGTTTCAACATGGGAGACCCCACAATCTCATGATGTATCATGATGTATCATCATTTTCTTTTGCTTAAATTGTAATTTTCGAGTTTGTCCTGCACTTTGGACAAACCATGTGGGGTGGATTACCACGGCTGTCATGGTTATATCGATCCCCTTTGCCACGGATGCTGCTGATGGTTTCATCAAGTTCGTAAATAAGCAACTTTGATGACTTTGACGTGCTCAGTGTTCATTTGAATGACATAATCATAGCAGCCATAGATGCATTTGATGTTGGCTGTTGGTGGCTCCTTGGACCAAGCTAGATCACGGCCCCAACCAGCAGCAAATCAACAAACCATACTCATTTGCGGTGCCTACCGATATGATTTAAATCTAGATGTATTGTGGCAGATCTACTATCAGTGATTATGTATGATAATGGGTCGGGTCACATATTTGCGATGGTACACATTTGTTTTGTTTCTTGTAACCTTGAATGTTGTTTTTTTGCACACAGTACGTGGGTCCATGTCTATGTAAATATATCTAAATATATATCTAAAATTATATATATATGTATATAAATATCTAAAATATCCAAAAAAATATATCTATTTAGGAGTTGATTATTTATGATTGACTTATATAACTGCAGATAGATAAAGAATGCTTGGGTGTACTTCAGCATACTATGGGGCCATCCATCACCACAGTGTGGGATTTAAAAAAAGCAGCAGTTCTGCTGTGGAATTATGCAACATTGGAGGCTTTTTACTACCAACAACTTAGATTGAACCGTCCAAACATGATCAAAGGTGTGGTAAACATTACAATAACCCTCCAGTAAACTAGCATAGCTGTGAAAAATCACAATTGTTCATCGGTAAATCATCGAACTAAATTGCCATTTTCCAGTTTGCAAACTGTCAGTTTGGATTGAACCACCTAAAAATGATCAAATGTGTGGTAAATTCCCACTAAAAGCAGGGAAACAATAGCAAAAGCTGGTCATTATCTTGGCCGTTCCAGACGTGATTCCCAAGCGGCCCAGGTTCGGATTCCGAAGAGCTTTCCGGTGAGGAATCCGTGGACGAGGCACGGCAAGGTCAACCTTTAAAGGAGGGCGGGGGCCTTGGAAAACGTTGTGAATTCAGCACGAAAAATTGTGGACCACCAAAAAATCGTGGTAGAATGGGGATATGATGGGAATCATCTGGATAGATTTAGATGGATCTGGATAGTCACTTATATAATACTTAACTTATATCACTTATGTGAGTTTGACCTGTCTAATGTATATTTTGTATAGCCAAGTGATCACATGCCCCCGTTGACATTTGGCTTTAGGGCCCTTGAGTCATACCGCGCTGCCGTGGTAAAAGTTGGGCATTTGACGATCCCGTTTCCAATTCATATTGGTAGCGGAGCGGGTGACGACCTGCATCCGGTGGTACGTCAGTGACCCAGGGAACCCTTTGTGAATTTGAGTCTGGTAACTTTGGGAATCAACTGAACTTCGAGTGTGTCGTGGTTCGGGAATCTGTCTGACCCTGACCAGGGCAGACACTTGTTAACGCTTTTCCTTGTTCGACTCCGAACGGAGCGAGCATCATGTCGATCAATGGCCTTCGTTTCAGCCAGGAGCGCCATTCGTCGGCACCACTTGAGACGAAGAGTGGATCATACATCTATGCAGGTGATGCGGCGAACTTTCATGATTGGCAGTTCAGGACTCTCCTTCGGATTCGTCTTTATGAGCAACAATTGGAGGAGACAAGTAAGCCTGCGGATCCCGTTGGGACCACAGCAACAGAGCCAGCCGCAGAAGATGCAGAAGAGTATGCTACTTTTCCAGATTTGTCGGGTGCTACTCAAGCAGCCCAGCCTACATCAGCAGTCTCGACTCCGAAGTCTGGAGCGAGCCGAAAATCCTCGAAGTCCGGCAAGCAGAAGACAGACATTGATCGTGGACCATTGGTTAACAAGGTGATTGAAGGACTGAGAGGAGATGCTTTCTCAATAGCTAGGGATCTTGGACTTGAAGTGTTGTCCAAACCTGGTGGCCTTGTGAAACTTGTGGGTGAGATCAAATCCCATGTGTTTCCAAGAGCCCGTGAGGAAGCCAAGGAATTATTTCGAGCAGGACAGAAGCAAGGTGGTCCTTTGTCTCGCCAACCAGGCGAACCCATGCTTTCCTATGTTCAGAGGAGACGACGTTGGTGGCACATGCTATGCGAGTTGGATGACACAATGGTGTTTTCGGACAGCTTGAGGACAGAGTTGATGTTGGAGTTGAGTGGGCTCAATCGACAGGAGATCCTCGTTGTGAAGGCCTGTGCAGACACTAAGGATTTTGAAGGTGTTGGCAAGGTGCTGATCGAGAACTACAGTGGCACTCACTTGCGAGAAGGGTCACGATCCTGGACAGGACGTGGTAATCCTCAACAGCATGGCAAGTCGTCAGGCAAGGGTTATGGCAAAGGCAAACCTTCTTCGAAGGGATCGTATTCCCAAGCAGCCTATGCAGCCTACCCCGATGATGGGGAGGAACATGCAGAACCTTGGGATGAAGCTGTGGATCAATCCTGGGAGGATGATTCATATGTTGGCATGCTTGGTGACATTGCAGAAGAGGAGCCCGGAAACCTAGAAGGTGACAACGAATTTGATTACTTTGACGACGTCGATGAGTACGAAGCAGTTGCATTGAACAGCTTGCTTGAAGTTGAAGGTGCAGAAGACGATCGACAAGCAGGAGACGCCATCCAGCTACAACTTGCTGCTTTCACTGCGATGGGGAAAGCAGGTGGCAAGGGCAAATCCTTCGGGAAGCCCAAAGGAAAGATCGTGAAGTCCAACCTCACGATCGATCAGAGAAGACGGAAGCTCACAGAGCTGAAGTCGAAGAGCAAATGTTTGAGATGCGGAGTCATAGGGCACTGGGCCGGTGACCCGGAATGTAAATTCCCGGGGTCGAAAGCCGGAGCCCCTGGAAAGTCAGCCCCAAAGCCCGCAGCTCACTTTGCCGACATGAGCGATTCTTCAGATGACGATGGTGTGACTTTGACAGCTTCACCTGATCGTGACAGAGATGGAGTTGCTATGATGGCAGTTCGACAAGCGAAGCCCAGCAGTCGACCTTCACGTGCCGCAGCATCCAGCAGCAACGTTGGCTTGATTTCCCGGGATCTCGATGTTACAATGAGACCCGAGGACCATGGGTGCATCTTTCCTGTTGGACAGTTCAAGGGTTTGTCTTTTTGGAATGTGTTGTTTGAACAGACAGGGTACTATCATCATGCCAAGAAACATACCCCCAAGAGTCCATACTATGTCACATGGTTGAATTGGGTTGACAAGTACTTTGTGGTTGGTGCTGATGGGATTCACCCGCGCGAAGTCCCTGTTGAGCATGTCGAGCACCGAGATTTGTTGGTGGCTCGGGGAACTGGCAGAAAGAAACCCCCAAATCCTCCTTTGCCGAACAAGTGTCAGGAATGTCGTGAGTTTACAAAACAAGGTTCTACGGGGTACACCATCAGGAAGACCTGCCTTGTGTGCGGTCATTCCGAAACAACAAGGCGTGACATGGTACCGTTGATGTCCCCTGAGAATTGCCCTCATGATGACACCGATTTTAGGGGATCCAGCAAATCAACACACCGTACTTTCTGCAAGAAGTGTTGCACTTTCATTGATGAAGCTCCTATGCAGATTCGCAAGGAGCGTGTTGCCATTGCCAAGAAGGTTGAAACAGCATCAGTTCGAACAGTCCCCATTGTTGAATCATTGGTTGAAGAATCGGATGGATTGAATCCAGTCCAGTTGGAAGAGTTGTTACCCTTGTTTGCCACTCTTGTTACCGAAACCTGCCATTCTGAGGTGATGACCCGTGCACGACTTCATGAACTACTGCATCAAGCCATCAATGACGTGACAGAGGAAGAGGACAGTTTTTCTCTTGTCAATGAAGATGGGCACGGCGACCCCTCGGGCAGGGAGTTAGCTGGGTACGTTGGCATTTGTTTGCATGGAAGTGACAGTCAATACCCTCAAGACTTGGTTTACATGAACTATGAAACTATTGACATTGCCAAGTCACCCCATGTTTTTGCAGTATTGGATGAAGGTTGCAACAGCACTTGTCATAGCAAAGCCTGGGCAGTCGATGCAGAAGCACGACTGGCCCGATTGGGTTACAGTATGCCATTGAAGGATGACGGTTGTAAGAGTTTCGCTGGTCTGGGAAGTGGTAGTACCAAGACCGAAGGTGTGAGATCTATTCCTTTTTCGCTGCTGCTTCCAGACGGGAACATGCATGGGGAGTTGGATTCATATCAATTGTCAACAGGCAACAGCCCATTGCTTCTTTCATTGCATGCGCAAACCAAGTTAGGCCTAGTGAAGGACCTAGCAAAAGGGGTGATTTCCATCAAAGATCAACCATTGAATATCAAGAGATGTTCCAAATCAGGTTTACTTGTGATGAACTTGACTGAAGGATTGACCAACATCAACAACACACCGTCGGATGAACTTCCCCAAATCCCGAAGTGTCACAGAAAGTACAACATCGCATACACGGCATCCACATCGGAAGTTGCCATGGCTGACCATGACATGTGTGGTTTTTATTCGAGGGACTACGACATCTTGCAGACGAAGTTGAATGAAGAACTGCGCAGTGACAGAAAGGTGGTCATCATGACCCGTGGGCGTAGATTTCAACAACATGCATGCAGATCTAGCAGGAACACTTTGAGCATCAACTGTGAAGACATTTACGATCCTGATCAGGACGTAAATCTTAGATCTCATGTGGGTTGGCATCATGGAATCCTTGAGACTATGAGCAAAGTAGACAGGTTCATCCAACATCTCAACAACATCCTCCAGTTCGTCACACAGCAGGAAGCCGACAGTAAGGTGCTGGTGGACTTGGAGTGCAAGTCAGGTCGCCACAGGTCAGTGGGACAAGGATTTGCTGCCTACAGGTGTCTCAAAGTCCTTGGTTATGACGTTGTTCTCATTCATGCATCATCCTGGATGTGGGGAGAGATGCGTTGTGGTGGAGTTTGTCATGGATGTAAGGACATGGCTGCGAGCTTGGGACAAATTCGACATTTGATCCCGAACATGTCAAGGTTGGCACGATCACGAGGCAGTGTGGCTTCAAGCCGTGACGTGCGCGATGCTCCAGCCGATGATGTTTCAGGTGGACATTCATCTCATCCTACATCAGATCACCCCACTGCAGGACATCCTACATCAGATCAACTTGATGAGATTCGACGTTTGGTACAAGGGCTTGCAACAGATGTTGGACATCTTAGGACAGAACAGGTTGAGATCAAAAGGATGGCCGAGACCGGAAGGAGATCAAGGAGTCCATTGCGTCGACGGAGATTACCGACGCCACCGTCGCCACCAGCAAGGCGCAGAAGATCACCAAGTTTTCGTCGCAAGTTACCTCCTTGGAGGCATGCACAAGCATCCAGGGGAAGAAGTCCATCGCCGAGACCACTTACATCGAGGCCAGCTCCCAGGAGTCCAGATCATCCTCCACCGCACATTTCGGACGTGCCAGGGACCGATGACGGATCCCGATCTTCAGGGGCCATAGATGGACCTCGAACTTCAACGTTGCCACAACGATCTCGAGAGCCTCCCAATGATCGCGATGAACTTGAACGACTGATCCGAAACAATTTGGCATCAGATGGACCGTTTGACAACAAGAACGTGTCAGTGAAGACATTGGACGGCGAGCTCCTTAGCGAAGTTGTGTCTTTTTGCATCCGTGAGGGTAACAGGGATCGGCTCTTTTGGATTTGCAAAGATGGAGAAGACCCACTGGTGGAAGGAGTTCGCATGAACGTCCTGATTCGAGATCATATCCGGCCAAATCGGATTGTCAAGGTCTCGAATGGCATCAAGCACTGGAAGCGATCTACATGGTGTCGACCTCGCAATGGAGGCGACTGGGAACTCATTGAAGACAACGTTGACAGCAGGGCAACAGTGCGTTTGAGCAATTCGTGGATCGATGTGATTGTGTTTCACCACCCACCTGGGGTGTTCGATGACTCCGGGAGGGGAGCATACATGAGCGTTCGTGTCAGGTTGACCCCCAACAAGAAACTTCGGGACGTAAGGGATGATTTTGAAAAGTCTTTGAATCCAAAAGTTGAGATGAAATCCTCAGAACCCAAAAGGATGTATGCAGTGAAGTCGAAGCCCCAGCCAAAGGTCTTGACGCCCAAGTTGGAACAGGATGATTCCGATTCTTATGAATATGACTATGAGTATTCTCCCACTGGTTTCATGGCCGTGCGTTTTGATTCCAACGTTGATTTGACAGTCCATCCTGATGAGAGGAGGACTATGAGCAAGAAACACAGGAAGATGGTATTGGAAGGTATCAACAATCTCAACAACCATGATCGTGTGATGCAATCCAGTCTTGGGATGCAGCCTCAAATTTCCAATGGGACTTCAGGGGTTGCAGTCATCACGTCACATCCGACTCTTTTCCAGGATCTTTTCGAGCACACCTATGACGTCGGCGTGAATGCCGCGTACTTGGACGGTGATGCTGAGCAACACGGTTGGAAAGACATGTTCGAAGGTTGCACATTGGTCATTGTTGCAATTGAATACAAGTCAGAACATTATCCACTGTGTCATGGGGATCTTGTATTTGAATTGGAACAGTATTGTGATGCCACAGGGTGTAGATTTCTCATTGTTGATGTCGCACACACTGAACGATGGGAATCATTCAAAACACCACAGATTCCATACATCAATGAAGTTGGTCTTGCTTTTGTGTCAAATGATGATGAACTCATTCAAGGTTTTCAAGACTGGTCTATGTATCGACAATTGGATGACGTTTTGAATTGGGAGTTTTGTCAATGGATTCGTGATTGGTCACTTGAACGTGAACTGGAGGAGCAGATGAGCGTTGCCTTTCCAGCAGAGATCATCGAAGAGGCTCAGGAACATGGTGGGAACTGGGATGCAGTCGATGGCCCAGAAGATGTTGCATTGCAGGATCCGGTTGAGGACCTGACACATGAAGAGACCCTTTTGGATGATGTTGATATCCCTGGATTACCAGAGGATGAAACAGAAAGGCGTAGGTCTTGGCGCAAACTTCCCCAGCGTGTCAGGATTGCTGTGCGTAGGTTGCACAGGGCTTTTGGACATGTCCCCAAGACGGTGATGGTCAATTTGGTGCGTGCTGCAAAGGTGAGTAAGGAGTTTGTTGATGCAGTGAAGTTGCATAGATGTGAAACATGTGAGAAAACATCAGCAAAGAAACCCACTCACAAAGTTACGCTTCCAAGTGATTATACATTCAACCATACTTTGGGGATTGATGTACTGGAGTTGACAGATATAACTGGGCAGAAGTATCAAGTTCTCAACATGGTTTGTATTGGCACTTGTTTTCAACAGGCTGAAATTGTGAAGGTTGGAGCAGGCCAAGCTTCTTCGCGATCCTGTTTGGACGCACTCATCAAACGTTGGTTCAGTTGGGCAGGACATCCTGTTGCTATCATTTGTGACCGTGGTTTGCACAATCGTGGTGTCTTACAACAATACATGGATGAACAAAACATTCAAGTGCACCATGTGCCCCTTGAGAGCCCGGAATCATTGGGCCGAGTAGAGAGGCATGGTGGTTTGTTGAAGGCTCTTTTCAGGCGAGTGTGTACAGAAGTTGGGGCTTGTACCAAAGAACAGGTTGAGTCGTGCATCACACAGGTGCTCAGTGTGAAGAACGACTCTGCACGTGTTGGAGGTTTTTCTCCATCTCAGTGGGTGCTCGGTCGAGCTCCCCGTGGTGTAGCTTCACTCATGTCAGAGGAAGACCATGCACAGCTCGGAGCCATTCAGGCCCGACATGATCCTTCATCAATTTTTGCATTACAACATTTGGCCAGGATTGAGGCACAAAAGACTTTTGTTCACCTTGATTGTTCAAGAAGAGTTCAGAGAGCGTTGACACGCAATGCCAGTGTGTTTGACCGTGAGTTCAACATTGGTGATCTTGTCACTTTCAGACGAGACAATCAGAGAGGAGGAACGTCCTGGTCACCAACATGTCGTGTGATCGGACACGAGAACCAGAAGAACATATGGTTGCTATGTGGTAACGTTCCAGTACTTGTAGCTTCTCATAACATACGCATTGCTTCTCCTTCCGAAGCTCTTGCTCAATCAGTGTTGAATGGTGAACCTGTGATTCCATACAAGATCATCAATGATACAGGTCAACAAGCGTTTCTTGATGCAAGACAATCAGATGAGGTTGAAGTTGTTCGTGATGGTCCAGGACAAGCAGACGATGTTGAAGTTGTCCCTGAAGGCAATGTGGATTCAGCACTCCCTCCTATACCAGAAGTACCTGAAGATGAATGGGACATACGACCCGGTTTCTTTGAAGAGGGTGAAGAGGAGGAAGACACCGGTCCTATGGAAGAAGACATCTTTTCGCAAAGTAGAACTCCAGAGAGAAGAGTTGAAAGACCACGTCCAGGAGATGGAGATCATGAACGCAATGTGAGACCTCGAGTAGAGTCTCACCTACAACCTGAGTCGGAGAGAGGCTCATCACTTGTGCCATCTCGGAGAGACTCCTTTGTGCCTGATTCTACTCCAAGTGGCTCCGTTTTGGGACCACTATCCTCGCCGTCAGCATCATCTTGGCCATTGCGAAGGGAACTTTTGAATGACTTACCACATCAATTGCGAACACATCTTGAAAGAGCTCGTGGGAGAGACTCAGAACGAAGTCCTGAAGAACAACAAGAAGCACGAGCATTGTTTGCATCATTTTTGTCCCAGGAAGTTGGAGTTCCTGAGGACGAAGAGCTAGGCAAGAAAGTGTTGAAATCAATCCACTATGAATCAGCGCCACCTGATGTACAGAAGAACATCATGGATGCTAGAACCAAGGAGTGGAACAAGTTCCTTGAGTTCGCTGCTGTTGTGGAAATTTCAAAAGAAGATGCTGAGAGGTTGATTGCTGAAGGGCATCAATGTATTCCTAGCAAGTGGGTTGATGTTGATAAGAACCAATTTATGAAGGGAAGAACAGACCAAGAATATGTGCCAAAGTTCAAAAGCCGGTTGGTGTCATGCGGCAATTTCGAAGTCAGTGAAGGTTTGAGATCAGACAGTCCTACAGCAGATTCGGAAGCTCACAACATTCTTTGCTGTTGGGCGGCGATCCAGGGTGCACAATTGCACAGTGCGGACGTCGCATCCGCATATTTCCAAGGTCGTCCTCTTGATAGAGTTCTCATTATGAGACAACCCCGAGGAGGTCTCCCGGGAGTTGATCCAGAGGTGTTTTTCCTTGTGCGGGTGCCTATATATGGATTGACTGACAGCGGTCGAGGTTTTTGGTTGAGGTTGGACGGAGATGCCCGATCCAGTGGCTTGAAACAATCCAAGTTTTACCCAGGATTGTATTTCCTTCCAGGAACCGACAAAGATTGCGTTGCACTTATGGCGACACATGTGGATGACATCTTGTACGCATACATTCCTGAGGGAAAGTCAGTGATCGACAGCTTCTTGGAGAAGTTCAACTTGGGATCAAGTGAATCAAATTCGTTTCGCTATTGTGGCAAGCAATTTGAGCGTACTGCAGATGGAACAATCACACAAGACACTTGTGACAACACCCGTCGCATCAAGCCGATCAAGATCGCGCCAGGAAGATCAGCGTCCGAGCCGTTGGGTAAGGATGATGTGACCCGATTACGATCTGTAACGGGATCATTGGCATGGGTGGCAAGGCAGACTAGACCCGATTTGGGTTATCGTGTGAGCCGCCTACAGTCCAGTATTTCTGGAGCGACAGTTGCTATTTTGCACGACGCAAATGCCGTAGTACAGCTGGCACAACAAGGCATTGAGAACAAGCTCATTTTTCCAGGTGGACATCTAACCTGGGGAGAGGTTGGTATCATTACAGTAACAGATGCTTCATTTTCAAACGAGAAGAACTACAAATCACAACAAGGACGTTTCCATTTTCTTGGAGACATCAATGAGATCAAAGACCCCAAGACTACATCCTACAGGGTGATGCCATTGGGATTTGCATCAAATACAATTCGGCGAGTATGCCGCAGCACTCTTCAATGCGAGGCTTATTCACTGCAGGCTGGACAAGAGAGCGGTGACAAGCTACGTGGAGCATTGGCCGAACTGATGGGCCAACTTGACTCGATGAAAACATGGTTGGATGACAGCCGCAGCTGTATTCCACAACTGATGCTTTCAGACTGCAGGTCTCTAACAGACCATCTTGCGAATGAGGTACTCGGCAGGGTCGCAGACAAACGACTCGGCATTGAGTTGCAGTCGATTCATGAGTCACTTTGGCAAGACGGCCGGAGGACCTGGGATATGCATCATGGCGGAGGAGACATTGTTACCTGGATTGCTACAGGAACTATGGTCTCGGATGCTCTGACCAAGAGCATGCGCCCGGACCTCATCATCCGCGTTTTGAAGGAGTGCATTTACCGTGTACAGAAGAAGCCTTAGAGCCAACTTTTTCACTAGCATCATGTGATCCTTGAAGAACAGGTTGAGTGTGAGTTTGACCTGTCTAATGTATATTTTGTATAGCCAAGTGATCACATGCCCCCGTTGACATTTGGCTTTAGGGCCCTTGAGTCATACCGCGCTGCCGTGGTAAAAGTTGGGCATTTGACGATCCCGTTCCCAATTCATACTTATATCACTTATATCACTTATTACTACCACTTCACTGCAACATCATTATTATTCCATGGTCATGGGGGTTCCCCAAAATATCGGACCCCAAACGTCATGACCAGTGAATCGGGTCCTTTTTGATCTGGGAAGCCAATTGTTTTTTATCGGGTCCCCGGGCCTATTTATCCGTTTAACGACACACCTCCATATGGTTCCATATAAGAAAAACGGAGAAACCCTATCTGAAATGTCCAGATTCTTTCATTGAGAGATCCAACTAACCGTAACCAAACATGAAAGGAATGGGATTTGGCGAAGCACGTGATTGCCGAAGGGAGGACAAGGAGGAAAGAAAGTATATCCAATCAACTACAGTTCTTGCTCTTGACATCCCTTTACCAGTTTTAAGTCAGTTATAGTAACTTATAACCCCATTTATGGAATGACAACCCTATTTCTCATCATCTATAATCCCTTCCTCCTAATACTAAACCTCCCCCCCCCCTAATACAAAACACGGCAGGTAGTTTTTAGTATTAGGGGGGTATTTATTATTAGGGAACCAAATCGAAGTCATGTTAATTAATTAATTAAATTTCCTTATATAACGCAATTAAAATATTGCCAAAAATGGCAGTTCGAAGCTTACCCCTAATACTAAATTAAAACCCTTAATACTAAAAACTATTTTTTCCGATCTCAAAATCAATTAAATTTCCTTATATAACGCAATTAAAATATTGCCAAAAATGGCAGTTCGAAGCTTACCCCTAATACTAAATTAAAACCCTTAATACTAAAAACTATTTTTTCCGATCTCAAAATCAATTAAATTTCTTTATATAACGCAATTAAAATATTGCCAAAAATGGCAGTTCGAAGCTTACCCCTAATACTAAATTAAAACCCTTAATACTAAAAACTATTTTTTCCGATCTCAAAATCAATTAAATTTCCTTATATAACGCAATTAAAATATTGCCAAAAATGGCAGTTCGAAGCTTACCCCTAATACTAAATTAAAACCCTTAATACTAAAAACTATTTTTTCCGATCTCAAAATCAATTAAATTTCCTTATATAACGCAATTAAAATATTGCCAAAAATGGCAGTTCGAAGCTTACCCCTAATACTAAATTAAAACCCTTAATACTAAAAACTAGCCCCCCTAATACTAAACACCCCGGGATGAATTAGTTTTTAGTATTAGGGGGGAGAACCCACAAATGGTAGGTTGATTTTTGAATTGTTTTTTAAAGGGGATCAATTAAAAGTCAAATTGGCCAAACTGAAATTTTCGGAAATTGGAGATGGATGCCTGTTTTTAGTATTAGGGGGACGTTTAGTATTAGGAGGAAGGGATTAACTGGTAAAGGGCTTGATATACTTGTAAAGGAAAACTCAAGGCCGGAATTTAGAACAAACTCTTTGAAATAGCATAGTATTTTGTGTCATTGTCTCAGATAAATGGAATGTCCGAGCAACAATGATGAGAAGCATCTTTGAATTCCAGTTTCAGCGGATTTGGGGTACCCTTTATCTTTGAGAATTCACCGACTCACGATCGGAGAAATTAGCAAAAAAAATGATGCAGAATGATGCATACATATATATATAATAATATACACTCAATGGCCGAAGTTTTAAAGAAAGCAAGGCATTCGCTGTAAACCAATGATCCATTGAAAATACCATGGTTGATGGGTTGGTACTTAATACTATCTTATACTACCCAATCCATTGGGGATTATGACAAGCTATAGTTTGCAAAGCTATCAAAATGAGATGTCACCTGGAAGTGGCAGCTGCCAGGAACAGACAGTCGGCTGGCGTCTCAGTTGGAATGCCGCAAGGTGGCTATACCAGGGGGAAAAATCATTGTGCGCACTAGACAAGAAAAGATTGATCATATGGGCGAATAGCTGTTCCTTAGCAAAGATGGGAATCATCAAATTCATCAAACCAACTGAATTCCGGGTGTTTCCAAACATGTCCCACTCCCATTTTCCCAAGCAGTGGCAAATAAAACAGCAGGGTTTCCCCTGGAAAGCCTGTAATCACTGCATTTCGAGGTGCCGAAGTTTGGGCTGACTTGGGGGATGTGAACGAAACAGCTTTGGAGGACCGGGATGACCCCCACATGATAGCTTCATAAGCCTATAATATATAATATAATAATATATATATATATATACATAGGTGTTGTATATATATATATATACATACACATATCATATATATATATACATATCTTATATATAATTATATATATATATATATATATCAGTGGTTGTTGGTTAAGCCCTTAATGATCTTAATGAAGCCTAATAGTTGGAGTAGTTGGAGGGTTCACCGACCTGGTGGGGTTCCCAGCGCAGGATGGATATCCCGTGCAGCATTGGGAGGAGCTGACCCCTGAAGTGTTGCCAGGCTGGGGATGGGTTGGGGCACGGCTTGGAGATCCAAAAAAAAGAGGTTTGGAACATACCCCCTGGTAAACTAACATAGCTATAGAAAATCACCATCTGTAATAGGTAAATCAACTATAATTGGGCCATTTTCAGTAGCTATGCTAAATTACCAGAGGGTATCTTGAATCTTAATTATGTCGTTATCAAATTAGTGGGGATTCCAGTTATTTTTGTTCGGGGACAACTTTCATGCGGAATTTAGGCTGGAGACCCCTTGCTTGCTGTAGTCCCTTCCACTATGACATGAATGGAATACGGTAGGTGCTTGAAGGTTGCAAGTGTTATCGTGCAAGACCATGTACAAAACATGTTACCAACATACACATATTATTATTAGATATATATATATATAAAACTGTTAAAAGACGATTCACAATTCATTTGCAGCCTGTGGCTCTAGTCAAATCAATAGGAACATAATGTAACGATGACAGTAATATTCCAGCGACAAGTCATCAGAAGAAAATTATTTTGAACTATTTTGACATTTATGTTTTGGCATGTTTTGGCCATAGAATCTGTTCAGCGACTGTAATCGACTGTGATTACAAGTAATTACACACCTTTCCAGCAGTGCCATGGAAAGCGGACCCGTGGTTCCCTGGCTGAAGGTTCCATCTCAAGGTCGTCTTACCCAGCGGACGGCATGAAACTATTTCGGTCTTGCAGTCTGACACCGTTGCTGACTTGAAAAGCGCACGCAAGAGGCTTTGGGGCAACGATTCCTGAGTCTCGCTGGGCTCGACGGGCGGTTTTTTACATCTGACAGAATCACTGTTCGGCCTTCAAGATAGAGACAGCATTGCGGCTGTTGTTCTGCAGCCAAAGGTAGCTGCATCACGGAATTCATTTGCTCTGTGGTATCATGAATCATGGATGTGAAAGAATTGTAACATTGCGCGATCCAAACAGTGGTGGTGACAGCTCCACAGTCCAACACCAGCTCACGAATGTGCAGCAGATCTCTGGCACACCACAAGCATTTGCTGCAATTCTGGCAGATGGAACTGTTGTGACTTGGGGCAATCCACACTTTGGTGGTGACAGCTCCGAAGTCCAAGACCAGCTCAAGAATGTGCAGCAGATTTGTGGCGCAGACTGTGCTTTTGCTGCGATCTTGGCAGATGGAACCGTGGTGACCTGGGGCAATCCCAACCGTTGTGGTGACAGCTCCGAGGTCCAAGGTGAGCTTATGTACATTTGGAATCATTTGGACGCCAAATGGGAAAGAGTCGTGCCAGTTGAATTGCCTCGATTTATTGACCCAAAGGTAGTAGTCTGGTTGTCCGGCTGGGTGCAAATTCAGGATTGTAAAACTTGTCTATTACTTGGTATTCTGCCCATTCCAATTCCCATTTGAGCTGGAAGAGTTGGAAACCTCTCCTGTCAGACACCAACATTAGGTGCATAGGGCATAGAGGCACATGAGCGAACTAGCAAAAACCAAATTATCATAAATTAATATAAATTATCCATGTAAGGCGGTGTGGTGAGCCCATCCCTAGCCTTTGGCCCCAGGTTTGGAAGGCTTCAATCGCTGGGAACCCTGCTGGGTTCATGGGGAGATGGGCGGAAAACTGCGCCACGTTTCGCCATGTTTGTTCTCTAAGGACGGGCCACTGCTGTGATGATCAAAGCGCAAGTTGGACAAGGACAACTGCAGGCAAGATATGATATGAGAACTAGGGAGTCCAGTTCCACTTCTATGAGATGTAACCATTGTTTTACCGATTGTTGTTTACCAAGTGGCTAGAATGATGGTTCCTTTGACAATTACACCGTCTTTTTTTCGAATGATGGTTCGGAATATTCGCTAAAATTAGGGTTCACGACATTCTCTTCAGTACACCCGGTATGAAAGGATGGTGATTTGTGAAGGTCAAATTCGATGAGAAGGCTGCGTGCCCTCCACTGCAGCCCCACCAAGAGGCAGTTGCGGCACGTTTTTTTGCGTTTCGGCCGAGTTTTGATGCGTCATGATGTGTCTCAAAAATGGGTTATATACGGTATACACGCACTAGGCTCGTGTCATTATAGTGGCGATGAACCAGAAGATTTGAGGTACCTTGTTTTCAGACAAACCGATGTACTCCTTTGCGGTCGCTGGAATTCCGACATGGAAGGACTCTGTTGAGCACATTTCTGCGCACTTGTCGAGCTGTGAATCCTCTTTCTGCGGCCTGAAAGGAGAACCCCTTCTGCCATGGGATTGCTCGCATCAATAGTGACTCTGCATACCACGGGTGTTCCACTTCATTTGCCAAAACCAAGCTTCCATGATCATCATACAATAAATGGTCAAACCCAAAAAACATGTTGTACATCTATGGATTCTGTACTTCCGCATAGTTCTTCAATATTTCCATGGTTTTTGCAGGTGCCCCATGCCAGGCCGTGAGCTTCTTGATGCACCCGAAGAGCCCCATCAGTCGCTTGTTGGTGGACCACCCCACGGGCTCCGGTAAGACGCGCGAAATGATCAAGGCGCACACCGTGCCGGCGACTGCCCGGTCATAAGAAACTGGTTGGTGGTTTGGAACATGGTTTTTATGACTTTCCATATTTTGGGAATGTCATAATCCCAACTGACGAACTCATATTTCTCAGAGGGGTTGGTTGAAACCACCAACCAGAGAAAGATTGGGTCATGTGGCTGGTCTTAAATCAAAGTGAGATGAAGATGTCCAAAGATAACATGAAAATCCCAATATGCCCAAAGAACTCGGGAAGCGATAATCACCCGGTAGATCCTTAGCTGTGAGACTGTGAGACCGCCCTGACCCCGCTCTCGCCGACGAAGATTTTGAGCTAGGCAAAACGCTTTTGCCCCCGAGATGGGGTCACAATGTGTGCGGACAAGTCATAAACATGATCTATCAAACTGCCCCAGAGACAACACCAAATCTCTAGAGAGCAATGTCTAGCGGATTTCACACCCAGATTTGAATGATGGGGCTGAAACAAAGTTTTTCTTGGGCGGAAGACGGAGAGCGCGCAAGAAAACAAGTCAAATCGATAGGAGCATGGGATTGAACAGCATCTACTAAGAGTGGAATATGTAGAAATAACGAAAGAAACCAAGTTCTTGCTGTTCTTACCCAAGAGTTCTTGTTGATAACATTTGATAACCTTGTCATACGTTTCAAGGGACATCTCTTACAGATTCAAATTGAACAGCTCATGGATGTCGTGGGACATTGACAGCCATGCTGCCCTTACCAGCGATGTGTCGGAACCTTCGCGGCTTGGTCGGTAAAAACATTCCCAGATGCGAACCATGGTGCTGGTATATTTACCTACATGACTGGGTCATAAAAATGGGGTAAATGTTGGGATTCATATTCCAGCACCATGGAGCATATGGGATTATGTACAAGATTATCAATATGGCTGGAGACAATGAAGATTATATGATATATCTGATACCTTGTCATAATAATCACTGCATGAGAATTTTGATACATGATGTATATACTCTATATAGTACAATATGTTGATATGATTTATGAGAGTGGCAAACAAAAATCGTGGAACGACTGGAGATGTGTTGAAGTTTGAGTCGGACGAGTTCAATGGTCGATGATGGTGCTATAAACGTTTAGTGCTTTGGCAAAAGCGGAGGACAACAGACATTCTGGTTGGTGGTTTGGAATATGATTTTTATTTTTCCATATAATTATTGGGAATGTCATAATCCCAACTGACTTTCATATTCTTCAGAGGGGTAGGTCAACCACCAACCAGCATTCATTGAACGTGTCCAGCTTGCAAATATGGTGAGCCGATGTACGCGGTCCTTCTCGTTGTGTGAGTTTCACGAATATGACGCCCGCAATCTACAGCTGCTGAGGAATTTGCACTTTCCAAACTCCTGCCACATGGCTGAAGGTGCTCGGATGGTACCGGTGATCCATTATGATTATGTCAAGTGCTCGAAAGAGATAATTGATCAACAGGAAACTCAGACAGCTTTCCATCATGCGGAAAATCCACTGTTACTGATGAAATAACAGAAAATCCATGAAAATCCACTAGATCCAATACATCCCACATGAACTATCCAGTGATTTAACACTGAACAGTGGATGTTATCCACTGATGAATTTCAAATTCTGAGGCTATCGCCCATCCCTGGGCACTGCTGTGCTACCAGAGGAGCCGAGCCTTTTTTTGGGCGACGTGAGAAACGTTGGGATGTGAAGGAGTGACTTAGACCCTCCAAGTAGCGTGAGAAATGGGGTATATATACACAAAATTTTGGAAGCTTTACCATGTTTTTACCCATGAAATTCTGGGTAGAATTGCAATACCAATACACATCATATCAAAACTGACTTCTCAAAAAATGGTGGATATGCCAAGATGGCACTTTGAATAGGAACACGTTGATCACCAGTGAGATGCTTGGATATCATATTTCCTGATTCCATTTCTATAAGCCATGATGATATTGACGTTCATATTTGCGGACTTGTTGAAACCTTCACCGAGAGAAGGTATTTCTTTGTTTTTTTTGTTCAATTCCAAGGATTGAGAAAGGCATGTAATCAGTACGGACTTCTGTGGTGATTTGTAGCAGTTCACAAGTTTTGAGAGGCCACCACCTTTTTTCCCAAAACGTCATGTTTCTCTTTGGGTTTGAGGTGACAGGTACGGTATGTCCCTAAAAGATCTAAAAGATCCTAGAAATTTAGTTGCATAATCTGCAGGAACGCCCAATCAATGAGGTCAATTTCAACATGATTCAGCCATAGATTCTCCCTTCAACCGGTAACCTTAACTGATATTTTTGGTCCCTTAAACATCCTTAAACCCCATGGGCCCATGGGCGATTAGCGATGGGTCCTTCTCGAGTCCCGGGACTCGGTCCGGTGTTCCAGCCAGGATTTTGTGGACTGGCCGTCTCTGAAGCAAAAGGCATGGGATTTTGTGGACGGCCCCTACGAGGCGGGCCTAATTTGGGTTTGAAAATATAAGGTACCGATATGTATGCGCCTTGGTATAATACCGTGAGAATTCCCAGATGTGTATACAATCATGTTCCCATTTAAAAGGACTATTTTGATCTATTTTGGTGTAATACCATGAATATGTAATACCTCATTTTCAGACACGCCCATGTTTTTTCCCATGTCATCATCATGAGTAGCACCGCCTTCGCCATAGCCGTTGGGAATTCGCAGGGGGAAGAGTCGCTAAAGAACATATGTCCTGCTTGGTGGAATGCGACCGGATGCTGCTGGGTTGCACCTGGATTCCCATGGGCTGCAGGCTGCAGCCTAGTAGTGGGATGGGCTGAAACATCCAAGCAGCTGATTGCTGATGGTGGAAACCATCAAGCATCATGGTGAATCGATGTTTCATGGTTGCGAATATATAGCTCTTAATTAGGGCTCTCTACTGTTTGTGTCCAATGATTCTTGGAATTGATATGAATTGATGAAATTTGATCCTCCTTTGTTATCCAAAATAAAATGGGTGTGTCCGTAAAATCAGGGGATACTTCACACTGAGCATCCCAAATCGGGAAAATGAGGCGAATGCGACTGTGGCAACTGCAGCATCCTCTTTGAGCAGTGTCCTGTGGGCTTTATGCTCTTCAGGCGTTCGACTGGCCCAAAGCATTGGATTTGCGATCCGCGGGTTATCCATGGTTGGGATCCATGGTAGGAAAGGGTGACTGAAATGTGTTGAGCACTGAAATTTGTGTGGCGAGCACTTGGTACCCCATGTTGAGCCATTGAATCTTGGGGATACAAGACTGCCCAAACTTTCAAACCATCAAGACATGAAGATAAAATCCAGGAAGTGCTCAGCAATGTGCGGGAATCAGTGAGGGTGGGGATTGAGGACCCTAGCCATGTTGCAGACAAGCAATTTGTTTGGGCACAAAAAAAGGAATCAAATCCACGAGTTCTGTAAGTTATTTTTTTTGTTCACGCACGCAACATATCAAACTTGGGCCGCTATCACAATATTCTTGCTTCAGAGAAGTGATCATGAAGTTACGAAATCTGTACGGAAGTGATTTTTTTTTTTGCCCGGCACCCACCTTAGGGTACATTCATGTCTGATTCTCAGACAGTTTGCTTGGTTGTCATTGGTTGTCATACCACCCAAAACATCCTAGACCCTCCAAGTACCCCATACCCAGGATTCCACGGGTAATCACCAACGAATGCAGGTCATTGTCCTTGTTGTGCGGTACAAAGGCGGGGGCTTTCTTAGAATACCTTCGCCCTAATATCAAACACCTCCCAGAAACCAATTAATAGGGGATGTACACATATTTGGGCATTTATGGTGTAGTTTAATTTTAGGGGGAGGGGGATTAGATCTGATTCTGGAATGTTTTGCATCGCATTGATTTTCCAGGAGATTGCTCAGATAGGTGTCACTCACAGCGTTGACCACCGGCTGTAATTCAACAACTCAGACTCAGCTACCCGCAGAGATTTGCGATGTCTATAGTGTTCAACCATGAAATTTGGTGCCTCCAGACTCCAAATTATGTAATAAGTTAGATCGGTACCAAATCCTCTCGGGTACTTGCGAGCTTACTGTAAAACAAATGAGAAAAGTCTCCCACTCTGACCCAGCCGCACAGGACTCACGCATTCGCGTGCATGAACTGGTCAGGGGCCCCAAGGGCTAGAGTCGCTAGAGGTCAATGTCAAACAAGGAAATCCGTCAAGTATGAGCCAAGAATGACTCAAAATAGCAGTGCATCAACAAGAACATCCGTTTTACATCGTTTTACCTGCTATTTTGAATGATGTAAAAAAAACCAGGCGACCGTGGTCATGCCCGAACCTGATGACCAACTCTGATAGGCGGAGCAGTTTCAATGTGTTTGTTTGTGTTTTACCCACAAAATTGGATGCTTTCATGGGGCAAATGACCAGCCGATTGTGTCTTATTGGTCGCCCAGCTTTGCCCCAACCCCCATGTTTTGTCGGTAACGCTGAGTCTTGGTTTGGTAGGTATGTCCCAATTCAGATTACCTATAGGACCTATCTCTATGTTATCCATGTATATGCATGTATATCCTAATATATATATATATAAATATTATTATATCCTAATATATATCCTTAGAAATCCTAATAAATCTAATAAGACCTGTCTTTCTTGCAGGGTGTCCAAGGTCCGCACTGTCCAAGGCCATTAACAAATGGGGTCGCGGTTTGCTGGACCTCACCCAACTTCGTCTTGGCTTCGCTGCGCGAATCCCAGAGATGGACACCCTTGGGACGGTGATAGTCATCCCTTGAACACATTGGAGTCCCCAAGAATCTCAAGAATCCCAAGAACGGGTTGCATGACGATTCCCCAAGTATATTTTGTTTCTGACACTTTGATAGGTGATACAACCTGATGTTTTTTTTTGTCCCAGCCATTAGTGATTCATGCACTGGGATTCTGAACCCAGACGGACTCAGGATATCATCGAGTCTGGTTGGCCGTCGCCTCAGAAAGACACAACACTTTACCCATCAATCCACCAGAAATTCCCATGTTTTTCCAGCGGAATTTCCCATTGAATCCACCAGTTTTCCAACATTTTTCAATGGGATTTCCCAGCCATCCAGGCCGTTCTTTGGCATCCTGGCGCGCATCGGGGATCAGTTGAGGTGCACCATGACGGCTACGGGTACGCCCACGGCTTTTTTCAAAGCTGACCATAGATTGGTTTGGGACCAAACATGACAAGATTCATCAATCTTCATAAAGATAGTGATTGTGATAGTGATAGTGATAGTGATAGTGGTGATGATGATGATGGCGGTGATGATGATGATGATGATGACGACGACAGACAAACATCTGAATCATATAAATCACAATAATCATACTGTATATCATAATGTATCATAGTAACAATACGGTAAGAATACACAGCAATAAACATTGAAATCAGCGTCACCATCTCTAGTTTCTACATACTATTAGTGAAAATAAGTATTTGTTTACCACAAACCTAAACTATATTGGTTATATAAACCAACTTAGATAACGTTTGGGGTCAGCACCTTGTAGATATTTCATCCACTAATGTCTTATGCGAGGTGGTGCCACACCCAGTTATTAGATGGTCTATAACCCTACCTAACCATTGATAGATCATGATATATCTAACACCAGCTTGTAGATATATATATATATATATTTGATTATAGTTGGTTGATTATAGTTGATTATAGTTGGATATATAGTTGATTATAGTTGATTATAGTTGGTTATACCCAAAGAACAAATGGTTGTGGAAGAACGATGCAGTCTCGCGCCATGTCGAGCAGCCGCTCGCAGCTGCCTGATAGGCTCGATGGCCTCTCAGAGGAATCCGCCGCCCGCTTGCTGTCCAGCCGTGGTGCTTCACACACCCGCCTGGGTGGCAGCTTGGTTTGGGCGGCCCAGGCTACTCTGGTGGCATCATTACGGACCGTAAATGGAACATACCCAGAGATAGAGCCTCCAAGTACCTTGCAAAATGGGATAATATGAGATAATATGAGAATATACCCATGATTTGGGGACTTTCAGCCATGACATCATGGGTACTTGGAGGGTCTATGTAGTTTTAATCACCAGGAATTTGAGATGATCCCCACTGAGAAGCCATGGTTTTTCAAGGGGGTGGCTCAAACACCAACCAACCAGATGGAGCATTGGAGGATGGAGCTAAAAAGATGCCCTGAAAGATCGTGAAACCATGGCTAACACACCCTCGATACCCTGACATCAAATGGAGAAATATGTGGCAAAGTCCAATTCCAAAAAATCTGCTGGGAGTGTACCTCGAAATGAGTCTGCCATGAACTTCCTTGCAGAAACTCTGCTTCAAACTCTTCTGTTGATGTTGGCTTGGGTCCCAACATAAACAGGAAAATGCACATCGACTTTTAACAACCACAGAGAAACATGATTTGGATGCGTAACTTCTAGGTGTATCACCTGCATTGGGCCATTGGTCACTGAATAGGAACCCCCCAAAGTCATGCTGTGGTCATGGGTCAAACGACCAGACTCAGGAAACTCCTCCATTGAAACAAAAGTTCAAGAAGAGAATTGACTGACTTTCATATATGGTTTTGCCCAACCTACATTAAATGGGGAGCCCAAAACGCGGCACGTAACGTCCAACTATTGTCAAAAACACATTGGTTTTACCCTTAAAAATCCCCGAAAATCGGTGACAGTTCGGAATACACCTCTTTTCTCATCTCATGGTTCATCATGTTCCCGCCGAGGCCAAGGGTTCGAGCATGTGTGACTGGGTGTCCTCCAGGGGGCTGGATCATCCTGACCGAACCTGATGGATCCAGATGGGTAATGATGGGTAAACTATTGGATTCCAATCACCAGAAGTTGGGAGGGATATGAGGGCTTTATGACGCCATAGCTATGGTCCTATAATAGTGAAGTATATCCGATATCCATTTTTTCACTGGAACTGCACCCCCAAACAGAAATAACTTGTGATGTTGGTCAAGTTTGGGATCAAACTGTGCAAGTTGTCTCTCAACAAGAACATAGCAATTTGCGGGAAATTAGATCACATGTATATCATAGTATATCCCAGAATGGTTCGGCTTTTCAAATTTTGAATGGTAGCTTGTTTCGCGTTTTTCAATTTTTGATGCACATACGAACATTTGATATAGGCTGATTGAGTTCTACATTTTCATATACCAACATTGCCTTTCCACCGGCGTTCCACAGTTCTCTAGTAGGCGCCCCTGACTTCTGCAAGATCGGCAAGTGAGGTGAGTCCCGTGGCTGGCGGGAAAACACCAAGTACCAGGAGGAGCTTGTGAAGGCCTCATCTACCTCACCAAGGCTGTTATAGATGCGAGGATATATGCCATTTGAGGAGTTATAGACACTCCAGCTAAAGATGTGCAGGGGCAAGATTAACCACGTTTATGTTGAAAACAATGCTCCAAAGCAGCTTTATTTATATATATATACATATGTTCCAGGTTAACGTGGTAACGTGGAACAAAAGCACCGTACTGGTTGGTGAAGCAAGACACATGCAGATCCTGGGTGTCTCCGAGATGACAGGCCTTAGAAGAAGATAGACCTGCGACATTACAAGCAAGTTTGGAAGCCAAGGGCGGGGTCCAGGAATTGTTTTGGGTGAGGCAAGCAAAATGCCAGAAACTATTCCCAATTGGGGTTTACTATTGCGATTATTGGGTACAGACTCATTGTACTCCCAGTCATTGAGTCATGGTTGCTGAGATTCTTATTGGCTTTATCACATTGTTGGAGATATAGGGCAAGCAACAGCTGCATGTTACATGGATTGCTGAGGATTGTTGGATACGTAACAGGATTAGATCAGCTCAAATGGATATGGGTCCAAGTTCACGAAATGGAACCAGAGATCGGTTTGTCCTTTTTAGTATCACTTCCCACTTCCATATTCAACCCCCCTGGAATATAAACCCTTGTTTAGTATTGGATCTATTGGAATGAATTGGGGTCCCCTAGGGAGAGGGGGACTCAATATGGGCTGTGTATGTCAACTCCATGTTGGATGATAAACCCCCATAGAAGGGAAGAATGGACGATGATCAGTCAGTGATAACCATATAAAATGGTGATATCCTAGGAGCAGCTCTGATGATAGTTACTAGATGTTACTAGTGATGGATAGTTTTGGACTATTATCGTGGTTGTTATTAACCATTATACACTAGCCATGGACTATTGTCATTGTTAATAACAACTGAATGTCATGGACTATAATCAGTTATAGTTATTAACCATTATACATTAGGTATATATACATGGTTCATAACAACCATTCAGTACTGTATGTAACCATGAAAACCAGCCATTCCATCAGCCGCTGATCATCAGCCCATTCGATTCCTCATCGAGGTGTCGACGCGGCAGGGGATCAGGAAGCCTGCCCCTTGCAGCAGGGAAGCCCAGGGCTGTCCTCGGAGGTTTCCCAAAATGGGGGTGCCCCAATAGCTGGATGGATTATTTGCTGGAAAATCCTATTAAAATGGATGATAACTGGGGGTAGCCCCATTTTAGGAAACCTCTATATGATTATAGACACAGGCCACAGGCATTTTTTTTGTTTAGTAAGTAGTAGACGAATATAGTCCATAGCTGAAGCGCATGGATTTATCTCAAAATGGATTAGACCGCACTTTACAGCCTTTCCTGATGGCGAAGATGATGTAACCATTGGATCTTGGGTCACAGGTCACAGGGATGAGTAGGAAGGTGGCTACCAAGCAGATGCTGCTCCACTGACAGCAGCCCGTTCTGGCGCAAGTTGAGAAGCACCTGGGAATCATTTCTAAGTGACCCTATGGTTGCATATGCAAGATTTCAACATAGTGGTAACTATTGGAAACTATGAAACACTGTACTGTAAATAATGGGATTACACATGCTTGTCATGGGAAAACCCTCTAGTTTTTGAGACTCGAAGATTTAATGTCAGCGTTGGCGAGTTCTTCCTTCATGGCTTGTTGTTCCATCAGAATGCTGTTGTTCATTCTAAAACATGCAGCTTCAACAGGCCCAAGCGCTGACATGTCTTTGACATGCGTTGATTTGAATATGAAAAGCAGCAGCTTCAACCTGGAACTTGGACAGAAGTGACTGAACATGACACATGCAGTGAGGACAACATGGGCAAACTTCTGCCGCCCAATTTCATTTCATCAAAGCACCCCATTGGTAAAGCAGATGACTTTGGGGATGTAACAATGTAACCACCAAGACCACCAACAAACTGGTTAGAAACTCAGACCTCAGTTGATGATTCTTCTTATCTCCAAGTGGTTTGTTTCTTTGGTTCCTAACCTCAGAAAAAAAAGAACAAAAACGCCATGACTTCCTCCCGGCTCCTGCGCTCTTTGCTGGCGGTCGCTGTCCTCGCCTTCGCGCCGTTCAGCGTGCTGCGCTTCGCAGCGCCACCGCGGACAAAGACGAGGACGGTGTATTACAAGGCGTTGACGAAGATCAACATCCGGGTCTCCCCTGAGGCGGGTTGTAGGCAAAAATGACTATAATCCAATGGTCATTTAACATAGCTATTGAAAATGGCCATGTATAGTGAGTTTTCCCATTAAAAATTGTGATTTTCCATAGTTATGTTAAATTACCAGAGGGTAATCCAATGGGTTTCGGGGGGCTGTTTTCAGACTTTGGCCCAAAGAACCAAAGATCACATTTCAGGGTACCCGATGTTCAAAAGCAAACCCCAATGTGTTGGAAGATTGGTGGTGATCCCCACATGAACGTCGATGGGTGCTGAGAGCAACCGTCTGAAGGGTTTTTTTGTGGGATGAACTGGGACTCTCTAATTGTCCAAAATTGAATGGACCCTCTAAACTCTAAGTTAAACCCTAAAAATTGCTGGATTGGTATAGCGAATTGTACTACCTGGTTAAAAATACCATGGTTGATTGGTGACTATAGCCAATTACAGTACCTGGTTCCTGGGGATTATTAACCCATGTTCGGATGGGCCAGTTCGGTCTCTTCCAGCCATCGTGCACCTCGAGGTGAGAAGTCTTCGCTCCGGAAAAATCCTGGAAGAGGGTCAGCAGCCCCTCAGCGGGCTTGGGATTAGCCGTGTTTTTTTGGGGAATCAAAAAACTATTGACCTACAGAAAATATCAACAGAAACATAATATTAGAGATGAAGTGCGCAAATTGGATTCAAACCCCATTCATGATCCATGCGCACCCATCAGGTGTTTTAAATTTTGATGTGATTGTATCGCCATGAGTCCATGGTGTCAGTCGTCATTGCCATCTATTGCCGGAGTGGTTGAACATGTCTTTCTACTACCGCTCACCACAATATCAGTGGATGATTTCATATAGTTCCAATTGTCAGTCTTTGTTGACATGTTGATTCTTGAACATATTCCTAACGCAGAAAATATCATGTCCCACGGGGAAAAACACAAGAATCAGGATGTATCGTGTGTACTTCTTCTGATGAAAAATGGAAAAAACACAAGTTGAGGTTTCAAGTGGAGGACACCATCGAGGCTGATGGTCAAACCTTTTTGAAGCTGGACGGTGATTGGGGCAGGTACAGATGGGAGGGATGGTTAAAAGCATCAAAAAGCCAGACCATTTCATGACCATCGAGGCTGATGTCCATTCCATTCCTAAATTCTGGTTTATTGAATCTTGACCCAGAACAAATGTGGATTTCCAGTGATGTGTAACTTGAGGGGCAGAAGAACATACTTGGGAACTGTAGAATTGTAGAATCGTGTGACACAAATACAACAATTCAGTCCTGGATTGTTTGAGCATTTGAAAAAGAACAATGAAGCACTGTAGGACCTGTTTCATGCAACACAAAAGGTCCTCTGACCTAACAAGCGGTCCATGTCATGACCAACAGATGACATGTTTTGCTGTCGCTTGTATTTTCTTGTCACAAACCAATTTATATCTTATCTCTGTCTACGCAGAAAAAGTACCTTGTGTTTTCCAACGTGTTTAAATCAGATAAACGTGTGAAGCAAAAGCAGCTCACCGCACCTTTCCTGTACTTGGAGGAGATTTCATTCACAACTGCCGTCCCAAAAACGGCGTCAGACAATTTTGAACCGTAGCTACACCACACGGCACCTCACCAGTTCCAACATATCCCGGATCTATTTTGTTTGAAGCCGCAGTAGTTACATCGAAGTTTATTGATAAATTTAAATCCCATTATAAGATTAACATCCATTGGCTATAGATAGATTCTATTAACAATAGATTATATAATCATATTGAATCCCATTAAGGATAGATATTTCTACCAGAAACCAACCAAGGAAGCTGACTAACGGCGATGGCTGGGTCTTCAGCAAAGGGATCGCTGGGAAGTGGGTGGGAAAGACCATCGCAGAGCCCTTGGTGGCACAAGACGAAGGCCCTGACTCGAGCAATGAGGCCCTAGGGATGGGGTATTCCGGAGGGGTCAGGGAAGGATGTGTTTGCAAATGGGGCATACGATGGTTTTTTGTTTCTGTAATCATCTGTAATCAAATGGCCATTGGAAAACAATGATGATTAACGGGGATTGAGGTACCAACAAAAATGTCAGACCCATGTGAGGCATGGCTAAAGATCACATGTTACCCACGGTGGATGTAGATTTATTATCAAAGGAAGTTTTGTAGTCTAAACTCCGTGTTACAAAATTTTGAACGTAGTAGTACAAAGTATTAGTTGAACCTTCCGGAGGAGGGAGGATGAGGAGGAGGAGTAGGAGTAGGAGTAGGAGTAGCAGTAGCAGTAGCAGGAGCAGCAGCAGGAGCAGCAGTAGTAGTAGTAGTAGTAGTAGCAGCAGTAACAGGAGCAGCAGCAGGAGCAGCAGTAGCAGTAGCAGTAGCAGTAGCAGTAGCAGTAGCAGTAGCAGTAGCAGTAGCAGTAGTAGTAGTAGTAGTAGTAGTAGGAGCCAAAAGCAGCCAAGCAGCCAAGCAGCCAAGCAGCCCAGTGTGAAAGCTTCTGAGTGTAACACCTTTTTTTGTCTAAAAGCTTTGCTGTGCGTGAATCTTCTGTGTGCAAAGGCTTCTGTGTGTAAAAGCTTTGCTGTGTAAAAACTTTTCTGTGTGTAAAAGCTTCCGTGTGCAAAAGCTTCTGTGTGCAAAAGCTTTGCTGTGTAAAAGCTTCTGTGTGTAAAAGCGTTGCTGTGTAAAAAGCTTCTCTGTGTCAAAGCTTTGTAGTACGAAGTAGTACTGGGAAGTACTGTGCAAGCTTTGTAGTACGAAGTAGTACTGGGAAGTACTTTGTGCAAGCCAGCTTTGTAGTACGAAGTAGTACTGGCATACTGGCATGTACGAAGTAGTACTGGGAAGTCTTTTGTGCAAGCTTTATTGTAGTACGAAGTAGTACTGGGAAGTGCTTTGTGCAAGTTTTGTAGTACCAAGTAGTACTGGTAAGTTTTTTGTGCAGTTTTGTAGTACCGAGTAGTACTGGGAAGTACTTTGTGCAAGCTTTGTAGTACAGAATAGTACTGGGAAGTACTTTGCGCAAGCTGTCGCTACGAAGTACTACTGGCATACTGGCATGTACGAAGTAGTACTGAAAAGTCTTTTGTACAAGCTGCAGTACGAAGTAGTACTGGCAAGTACCTTTTGCAAGCTTTGTAATACGAAGTAGTACTGAGAAGTACTTTGTGCACGCTTTGTAGTGCAAAGTAGTACTGGGAAGTACTTTGTGCAAGGGTTGTAGTTGTAGTACGAAGTATTACTGGGAAATACTTTGGGCAGGTATTTTGTGGTACAGGAAGGGCTTTGTGCTACACAGGATGATTTTGTTTCGCAAGGTACGAAGATGTCAAAAGAAAGAAATGTGAGAATAAACAATGGCCTCAAGACAAAGGAGATGTTAAGACAGAAGGCGTCAAATCAAACATTTTTAACAGAAAGAGGTCTCAAAATAAAAGTGTGAAACAACAGGAAACAAGAAAAATGGTGCCAAACGAAAACCTTGTCAAGAGAATGAGATGTGGAGAGAAGAGAATGTCAAGAGAAGCAGGTCTCAAGAAAAAGAGACGCACAAAGATAAGGATGCCAAGAGAAAGACTTGTCAGGAAAGAAGAGTGTGTCAAGTCTCTGGCTCCAGAGCTGTCGACAAGAAGGGCCGTCAAGATTCAGAAATGTCAGGAGCAAGCCGGATCAAGAGAAAGTGGCAGCATCAGACAAAGATGTCGAGAGCAAGAAATGTCAAGGACAAAGACTTCCAAGAGATCACGCAGTCAACGGCTGTGCCAGCCAGGGGGTCAGGCGCTGTTCCTACAGGCCCTCCCTTGTCTTCATAAGTTCTTCCCTCTCTTGCAACTTCCGTCACCCAGCTTGCCCAGGCTCTACTTGTATGGCACTTGAATGTAGACCCATATAGTCATGCATGGTTAAAAATAATATGCATGAATGACATGATTAATTTAATTTGATGTAACTGGCATGAGAACAGTCAACGATATTTGGCGTATATTTACCTGCATGACTGGATGGGTGACTTTTCTTTGCAAAAAATTGGTGACTGTAGACGTAAGGCCCCCGGCTCATACTATAGACAATCGACATGTGCCAATACAGCTGCTTGATGCGAGGGATATAAGTTGAATGTAGGTACAAGAACACAGAACAGCCGGATCTTTGATTTGGGTTCATAGATTTTCAGATTTCGATGAAACAATCCCAGTTGATACCTATAAACACATGTTTGAACTGTGCTGCCGTTAATGAGGATTAGAGTCTCTGTTTTGATGTTAAGGTCTTTGGGGATCCCGTGGATCCCCTTGTTCTTCCTGTGGATAGTGCAACCAGATCCAACATGGTCTCTACCAATCAGTTCTTATGAAGGATGATCCCCTAAGTTCGAACCTTACACCCACCGCATTTCCCCATGGATTCCTAGCGTAGCATCATTGATCCTCCAGATCTGGAGGTCATCAAGGCCATCAAGAAAGCCATCAGGGAACCCTTGAAAGAACTGGAAAGGGATCCAGCCTTCTACGCTTACATTGCTGCAATTCTGGGTGTGTTCGTTCTGATCTTTCGGATGTTTGCCAACGTTTGAGGATTGACGGGTGGGACTTCGCTGATTCTTTGGGACAAATTGCTGGACAAATCGAAGGGCAAAATAATCCGCATATTTAGGTGTATAAAGTGAAATGTAAAACAAACATGTTGAAGACCCATTTTTTTGAACTGCCATGTTCCAAGTTTCATGATTTTGATCCTCTGCGTCACCCAACGGTTTGCTGATAGCCTATTTGTATTGGTATAAACACTAATATACATCATATTTGAACACATCAATTATATAAATATTATTAAAAAACAAAAAACAATCCCAGTCATCACCATTTTTATAGGTGGTATAAATAAACAATTCCCAGTCATGGGTGGTAAAAATGGCATTGTTTTACCCGCTATATATATATATACATACACTATTTGCTTATCCCATCTCATCCATGAATCGCTTCACCTTCCGAACATCCAGGAGGGTCGTCGTCAAGCGCCCTGGCGGTGACTTTGTTTCGCAAAAACGTTCTTGAAATGCTTGGCATCTACGCAGGGGGTATTTTTTTTCATGAATTTTCATAGTTTTATTATTTGATGTATCTTCATGTGAGATGTTGAGGTCAAAAAAACGTCAAGTTTCTTTTATTTGTTGATGGTGAATGGGTTTTGTTATATAGATAATAGATCTTTGATGTCCTATTCATTGAGCCAAACTCCCCCCGATTCCAAGTCGGGAAACTGTTTTTTTCAGCCTCCTGAAGTTTTTGAATGCGGTCGCGGTCTCGACATCGGTCCCAGCGTTGCTCCAAAAAAAAGGTGGATTTAACAAAGAAAGGTGGTGACGTTACTGAGTACATGATGCAGATAGGGAGATGAGTTTGCCTGAAAATAGAGAATAGAGCTATTATGAATGGTTATGCCTATGAGGAAAATGGTGATAAGGATATAAGAAATAGAACAAAGAATATCGTGCTGATGAACTTCACATCCAACGCTGCTCTGGCACGGCTGCAAACCAATTTGATACACTGAGCGCTTGCGTTCCCTGCGTTGGAGGACGAATCGAAAGTGGCCCTCAGCCCATTGGGTTTGCTTTGTTCAGTCATGATGTCCAGCGCCAAGGGGCTGATAGGTAACCTCCAACAAGAGAAAAGCAAACTATCCAAAAAGCAGCGACTGCAATGGTTTGAGCATGTTTGAGCACTATCCTCGTGGAACTTCACTATTCAAGGTGCTTGATGACCATATGTTGACTGCCGCTCACATCACCCACCCAGGTTTATCCCTCAGCAAGAACGCAAGCGCGAACGGGCAAGTGCCCATGAAAGATCACTTGTCAATGTCAAGCATTCGCCCAAGTTTGACCCATTGAAGCCACAGCTAGGTGAATCAGAGGAAAGAGACACCTGTTTTGTTGATGTTTTTTCTATTATATAGACGGGTTTGTTTGAGAATAGGTATCCCAAATTCCCCTCGTTTTATCATCAGGTGTCCTTCCAAATTGTCATTTTGCAGATATACCATGATATTATATACCGGCATACGGTATCCCCCCGCTCACCCAGATAGAAATGACAGCGGCAATGGTGACGTGATCATTCCAGGTTTTCCCGCTGATCGATTCAGACCCAGCGTTGCGGCGAGCAAAGAGACCAAAGGCTGCGGTAATGAATCAAAATACATAATATTTTGTCTATGGAATATCAATAGAATATCAAAATTATATACACATATACATGCATACATTCTAGTATGTAGTATGTATAATATATATATATATAATTATAGAAAATTTAGAATATAATTATACATTTGTATATATATATACACACATAGAGATGGCTTGAATGATCTGCCTGATTAGTTACAGTATTATCTTTAGATAGCAGTTTTAGGGGCTGGATTGGTTGTTTTGGTCATCAAACGATTCTGTTGACTGTCAAGAATGACAAGCATCACTCTATGGACCTGAGAAACGACCAGATTTTTGCACCACTGGATGAATAAACGACCTCACAAAGCGACGTCACTGGAATAATGGCTGGGAGTGGGGTAACTATCCCAAATGGCCTTATTATAAATTAATTATAATTATTTCAGCTTAGAGAATTCCTATCATTTATCCAGATGATGTACCATTTATCGACTGTCCCCTGGTGTGTCTCGTCGTCACTCATTGGTGATTTCACGCGTAGCTGGTTGTCGCTACTGCTGTCACACAGCACTAAAGGCAAAGGCGGAAAAAATCCAAGTTTTGAGTGGGACTGGTTGGACTTGACTCTTGTTTCTAAGGCGTGGCGCTGCGCTGGCTGCCACAGCTGATTGGCTCTTGCGCGAGGCCTCTGAGTGTTGATGGCAAGGTTGTTTACCTATTGAGAATGGCCGTGTTATTGAAAAATAGGAAAATTATGGTTGCTATTGAGTGGCCCTTTGAGAATATGTTTTCTTTTCATGTTTCACTCCAGTAAGCATATCGATTGAAAATCACATAAGTGTTGATGCTGGTTATAGGCATAGGTAAAAAACATGTCTATAAATTGCCATTGTTCCAGAGCGGGGCTTTGCCTGGAAATGGCCCCAACTCTTGATCGTTGATATCATGTTCCCTGTTAAAATTGGCATTGGGGTGGTAAGTCCCCGTTTTCAGACACTTCCATTACCCATAATTATGTATAATGGCTGGTTATATATATATATATCCCACTATATTTTATATTATCATACATGTTCCAAATATTTGCATTTTTTGTTGGTGATATCCCCATGTTTGTTGGTAGTCAAACATGTTACATGTTGGATGATTTTGCTCAATATCCCCAGATTTTGCTATGACATTCTCAGCCTTGCTGTTTTGTTCATTCAGTCTTAGATGGTTACATCATATCGTCATTTTGACAGTACCTATCCTTTGTGGGTTATAACTTATATATATTTTTATTTGTATAGCCCTTTAGAAATTCAACATAAATCTGGTTAACCCACCATGAATGTCAATCCTTTCCCGGAAAAATCAGGGGATGTCCATATCGTCAGGCAGAGCCTGCGACTGGCGAGGTTTCCCCGTTGCTCGGCATGGATCAGGAAATCCCATGGGTTTTCAGGGGTTGAAGCAACACACATACCGCCAACTTAGGGATTTCATATAATTTTATAAACCGAAAAACGGGGATTCAAGCCACCAGAAATGGTGATTTTATGTACGTGGTTTCATCATGTTTTATCAACACAAAATGTGTCATCGATGAATTAATCAAGATAAATGATGATAAATGGGTATTGCAACCCATCAAAACTCATCACCAAAATTGAGGATTTGTACCAAGCAAAATTCGAGATCTCCTGAACGGAAATTGGTAGCAACTGCAACTGTGTCCAAGGTTGCGAACTGAGAAACACATTTTTGGAGGAACAGTTTGCTTAAGTAATTCAAGATAACATGGCTTGATTATCTACAGGTAAGTACATACAAATATAATATTGAGATATATTGAGACTGAGTCAAGTACATGCATGGGAATCTCTGAAGCTTGGAGGGCCAAGCACCTAAGAAATATGTCATTCTAGGCCAGGAATGCATCTACAAGCAATTTTTAAACAGACATATTTTCCAAGTTCACTTCCTGTTTGATCATGCGTCAAACTTGCCTATCCCAAATACAGAATGATGTTCAATTTGATGAACATGATGAACTATGACCAAGCGTGTTGACTCCTTCCTTAGCCCTTTTATGTTGACTCATACATACAGGATGGTGCCCCCCAGTTATAAGTTGGTTTATAAACCCCGTTAACATTCATTGACTATATACGTATATATATATATATATCTGTATATATCTACCATAAACCATAGTTAAGCCACTTATACCATATAGTTGGTGGGTGACATCACATCGCTGCTCAGGATGTCCGCTGGGATGTTGCGGGAAGTTGAACGCCTCTTTGGCGACGTGGAGAAGGCAGCAAAGAAGCCAGCTGACCAACGGGGCTCACTGTGATGAACCCAAACTTGTGCTAGTGGTGTTGTTGTTCTTGTTCTTGTTCTTGTTCTTGTTGTTGTTGTTGTTGTTGTTGTCGTTGTTGTTGTTGTTGTTGTTTTGTTGAGTGTGTGTTTTGATGTTTTGGATTTGTTTGATTGCACATGTCGTGATTTATACACTAGACATACGGTGTCAGCTATATATTGTATAGTTTTTGTTACTGCCAAACATATAAGCTACAGAGAGCTACGTGCACTCTGGGTATCCAGAAAATCGACCAATTATATAATGAATTACGAACATAATCCTTAAACAACAATACATTGCCATGAAAGTCGACCAAGCACGCATCAATCTCCATGTTTGATGGTTAAACCATGTTAAACCATCTCAAACCCCTGATTACTATAGGATTTTGGCATATCCCAAAACTTTTTTGTTGGCTGTTGGCTGTCTTGATGGTGAACCCCCAGAGGAGTTGAAGTACTGGGCCAAGCTGGGCGGAGGGCCCTACTTCTTCGAAACCATTGCAGCGGACACCCAGATGGGGTGGTGCCGGGAAGTTTGTGAGAAGTGCCCAGTGAAAACCCTTAAGTGGTTGATGGTGAAATGTATGTGTTAGATTGGATTGCAGTTTCATAATGTTTTATAGTTATATATACTCCGTTATGCTGTTGTATTAGTCAGTCAATTTCATGGGAATTCCGTACGATTGGGGATTTCTCGATGAAAACGATGAAATTCTCAGAGAAAAACCATTTGTTTCACGAGACTGGACGACGTGATGATGTTTGTGACGAGGTACCTCCATTGATCACGAGTCTCATCCTGCCCCATTCTTTCGCAGAAGGTTTGCAATTCACCTAAACATGTTTTTCGACTTTGGTCTTTGGAATCTTTTGATTCTTAGATGTAAGTAACAAACAACACCTTGAGTTTCAGTTGTCCAACTAGTTGTGTTTCCAGAAAGTGATGGTTTGGGTTGAACCATTGAAAACAGTTGATCATTGTCGATGCAAGTTAAGGATCCAGTTTTGTGCATTATTTTGTCCTCCTGATGGTTTGTCCTGAAGAAAATATTTGCAAGACTTTGTCTACAAATAAGGCTACCTAATAAGCCACTTTTACCTCTGGTCATGTAACATAGCCATGGAATACCACCATTGTTTACAGGCAAATCACTATGAATATTATAAATGGACCTACTGGTCCCTATGAAAATGCTGAGTGTACCCGTGTAGCCCAGTTCTGCAGCACCCAGGCTGTGAATTGGCCTGTGTGGCGAATGATGAATCGAGCAGGAGTGCGGATTGTTTTCCCGGGCGTTCCCCCAAGGACTCGACTTGAGACTAGGGGGGGTATGAAGCAACTGCAGTATTCTATAAGGGACCGTTTACTTGGATACATTAGGAATATAGTCAACAATATGGGTTTATAATGGTTTATAAGTTTGTCATGATATATCTTATGGCTTTGTCTGAAAATGGGGCCAATATGCCCCAAGTGGCCATTACAAATTGAAACTCATCAACGGATTTATGGGTACCCAATAGCATACAATACCATCAAAGATCGGATGATCAAGACTCTCAAGTTCCATTGACCTCGTCCCTACCACATTACCGAGAGTAGAAGGCAAACAGCAACAACAAGATGTCTTTGTGTTTGTGATTGTTTGTATATTCCAAGGTACTTGAACCATTTGAACCACAAACTTGTTAACTATATGGTCTTGTCTGAAAGTAGTGCACCCCTAAATCCACAGGATGATCATCATGTTCCCTGTTAACATAGCATAAAATAATATGAAATAGCTATTTTGGCGTATACCCCTTTTATTTCCTTTTATCCTTTTGTCAGACACAGCCATATTTTGCCGTTTGAGTGTACAATCAGCACTGTCGATTCCCAAGGGTGCCATTCCTTAGGAGCTTAGGACATGCACGGCAACAGCCTTTTCGAATCAAACAATCGTTTAATGTTGATAAGTCATCAGGGAATCTGTCCTTTGTTTACCACAAACCCACATACTTCGAAGAAACATGTTCCAAACACTTGAGCGTGTACACAGGATGAAGAACATGCCAAAGGAACAACCGAAAAACACCCGTCACCAGTGCCAAAAATTACTGTACTTCGAGTTATCCCCACCATGACATCTACTGTATACGTTTTGTTACTGGCAAATCTTCTGGCATTCTATCTGACATATCTTCTGGCATTTTATCTGGCATATCTTCTGGCATTCTAGCTGGCATATCTTCTGGCATTCTACCTGGCGTATCTTCTGCAATATGTTCTGGCATATCTTCTGGCACTCTATCTGGCATATCTCCTGGCATATCTTCTGACATTCTATCTGGCAAATCTTCTGGCATATGTTCTGGCACTTTATCTGGCATACCTTCCGGCATTCTATCTGACATTCTATCTGGCATACCTTCTGGCATTCTATCTGGCATATCTTCTGGCATTTTATCTGGCATATCTTCTGGCATATGTTCTGGCATATCTTCTGGCATATTTTCTGGCACTCTATCTGGCATATCTTCTGGCGTTCTATCTGGCATATCTTCTGGCATTCTATCTGGCAAACATTCTGGCACTTTATCTGCCATATCTTCTGGCATTCTTTCTGACATTCTATCTGGCGTTATATCTGGCATATCTTCTGGCATTCTTTCTGACATTCTATCTGGCGTTATATCTGGCATATCTTCTGGCATTCTATCTGGCCGTTGAGGTCCAGCGGTGCTCACTGAGCTCGGAGGGTCCCAGGTTGAGGTCCAGCGGTGCTCACTGAGCTCGGAGGGTCCCAGGTTGAGGTCCAGCGATGCTCACTGAACTCGGAAGGTCCCAGGTTGAAGTCCAGCAGTGCCCACTGCGTGCGGAAGTTGGCGAAGAGCTTGGCGAAGAGTTGGCAAGGCGGAAGTGAACATGGAAGTGGAGGCAGAGGTGGTGGAGGAGAAGGAGGAGCACGAGGAGGAGGTGGAGGAGAAGGAGGAGGAGGAGAAGAAGGAGAAGGAGAAGAACAACTCTGATAAAATCTAACAACCCTCACCTGGCAGGTGGGGAAAAATCAACTAATGTGGGTAAAACAATCATACACCATCCCACAAATCACAATTTTTATAGGTGGTATAAACCATTCCCAGTCATGGGTGGTTTATGGCATTGTTTTTCCCACATTATGGGCTATGGCCACATGGCTTCCATTGTGTCCCCTGGGCCAGGGCGAAGATTGTTGTGGCACATGTCCATCGACTGCCCTTTATCACCTGGACCAAGCCGCTGGTTTAGTGCCTCGCCGACAAAGATTCGTAAAAGTGTCAATATAATGGGGTAGTTGATGATATTTTCCCGTTCTTGAAGGTATTTGGAGGGTCCAGGTATACATCTACATATTCATATTCATGTACATGTACATACACATACACACATACACGCATACACGCAAACACACATACATACATAAACACACACACACGCATACACACATCACACATACACGCATACACGCATACACACATACACAGGCGCACATACACACATACACACACACATACATACATACACACATACATACATACATACACACACATACATACATACATACATGCATGCATACATACATACATATACGTACATTAATATATATATATATATATATACAATAAATTATTACATATATTTAATGCATTAATTACATACATTAATTACATACATTAATTACGTACATTAATTACGTAGATTAATTACATACATAAATTACGTACATTAATTACGTACATTAATTACGTACATTAATTAATTACGTACATTAATTACATGCATTATTGATTACATTAATTACATACATCCATACATGCATACATACATCCATACATCCATACATCCATACATACATACACCCGTGCATGCATGCATGCATGCATGCATGCATGCATGCATACATGCGTACATGCGTACATGCGTACACTCGTACACTCGTACATGCGTACACGCGTACATGCGTACACGCGTACATGCGTACATGCATACATGCATACATGCATACGTGCATACATGGATACATACGTACATGCGTACGTGCATACATACATACCATTACATACCATACCATTACATTACACTGCATTACATTACATTACATACACATTTACATATACATATACACATACATATATATATACATACACATATACACATGTATATATATATACGCATATTTACACATACACACATACATACATACATACATACATACATACATACATACATACATACATACATACATACATACATACATACATACATACATATATATATATATACATATACATATACATATGCATATGCATATTAAAATTCATTATATACACGCATGACTATGAATGAATACCAATGTTTTTGTCGATACTCCGTTAACAACATGTTCGGCTTCAACTGATTGACGTTTCTCTTCAGAACGCACAACAGGTTCTTAGCACTTGCTGTGGCAGGAGGCAACGGATTTTCATCAAATTGAATCAGTACCATACAGTACCTATAGATCTATAGCATATAAATGCATATAATATGATGTACACAGAATGTATACAATATGTAATAGATCATCCTACATGGAAGATATGGGTGCCCGGTGTTTTTGCCATCCGTAGGTCGTGAGTCCGTCGCAACAGCTCCGCCGGCCCGGGCCTTCGGGCCTGCGCAGAGTGACAGCGAGTTTTACTGGGATATGTTGGACACATATGGACATATAACTAACATCAACAAACAATATGGGGATGTAATATGTAGCAATCCCAGAAAGATAACAAATTCATGAACATCACTATTTTTGTAGATTGTGTTTTCAAATTTGTTGTTTTACATTATTTTTTGGGTTGCTATAGTAGACTGTATTGGAATGTTGGATGGGATATCTCAATTTCATATGATTTCCAATTCACCTTTATAACCAAAAGGGTGTCCTCCCAGTTTCTATGGTTAATGGTTGGGTTGATACTAGCAGTGCATGGATTTGTTGTGAGTTTTACTGCAGATTTCTCTCCCATTGGTGGATCCACACTTTGCGGAAACTACTGGGAATATCTGGGAATGTTTGTGGGGCACCCATTGATTCCGAGAGAGGACTTCCCGGACTTGATTTATCGTCCAGTGAAATAATGACGCTGAAAATAGGCAAGTGTTATGGCACGTTTTATTGGACACTCATTTTCTAAGCCCATGTTTGGCAGGGTCTATGTTAATTTGCTGGAGGGTAAGTAATTGCAAATGTATCCAAATTGGTGGTTCTTTCGCTCTCTCATATCCCGAAGCATCACTATTTTGGTTTGTTTCTTAAATCCCAAAAAATCCTCAAGGTAGCCACAAATTCTGCGGTAGCCGAGGCCACAGTTTGTGCTGCCTGCCCTTGCCCAACCCAGGACCACCCTGATCGGGGGGATAATCTGATTGCAAACTTACTTCTAAGGCCAGTGGCTGTTGGTTTCAACTATTTGTTCATTTTGATGACTGAAATCTGTAGTCACCAACTAGTATTTCATGATATTTCATGTTCATCAACTACAGTATATATTGTGTCAACTATTAGACACGTGTAGCGCATTCATATGTTTTCCCCACAAAAAAGACCAGGTGGAATGGTCCGCAGAGGCTCGGTATGTCAGAGAGCAGCTTGGCTCCAGGGTTTGGAAGTCTTGGGATGTCAAAATATATGGAAAAATAGTTATTTACTTGGATATATAGGAATGTGACCACCTGGAAATGTAGATATATAATTGATTATTTACTTGGATATAAATGTAACGAATAAAATTTGGGATATTTACATATATTTACTGGAATATATTGGGATATAAGGAGCTTAATATGGAAACCTGGGGTGTCTGAAAATGCCGTCTGCTCTAAAAGAAGGGGTACCCTACGCTGAAACCTTCTCACTTCTCACCGGTTTTTCTTAAGCCATGCCAAATCCCTGAGATGTTTGTTGGGGTGACACTCCATGCGATATATACATATATATATATATATACATAGAGTATATGTATATATATATATATGATATGTATATACATATACATATATATATATACACACACACACCCTCCTGTAATCAAACATGGCAGTTGAAAATCCACTAGTGATATAGATGATTGTCCCAGCTACAAACCTTGGAAAAGTCGCCGGGATTTCCCAGTCACGGTCTTTTTGTCCGGAGAGCCATTTTGGCTCCCAGAGATTTGGTCAAAACATGGTCAAACTCTGCCCAAAAAGTGACGGCATTTCGCTATATTCAGAACCATTACCAATTTTGGGGACCAGTGAAACCCATGAAAGACCCATACCCACAATATCATAGCATAACATATGGAAGCGAGAACCCATTGCAGAACAAGGTGTACATCAAACCCACACCCGTGACCACCTCAACAAGATGGCCATACCGTCCCCCCAACATTGCAGCGCTGCCATTTTTGTGGTTGGAAGACTACTTTCATCAAAGAATCAGCTATTCTCTTCGTATATGTTGATCAACTGACTATTGGTGGATACAACTAACATCAATAGTGTATAAGCAACAATACTTAACGGGGATGGTACCTGACATCTCTTTTTTTTGTTCGTAGTTTTTCAGGTGCGCTGTTTCGGGTGCGCAACGATGGTGCAAGGCCGCTTCGCAAGTACATACCGAAAGTTGGCCAATACCAAGCAGCCCAAGGAGCGTCCAACGACCACATTGGATGGCCACGTTGTTGCAACACTGGAGCCTTCCTTGTTTTGATGGTGCCAGCTACGTAGCTGGAGATCATCTCACATTTCCTCCAGTATACATATTATACATATTATACATATATATATAATTACATATGTAAATATACTTCGGGATATAGATGCTGCGTCTATCACAGGAGGTTGTGAAGGAAGAGGTCGTGAAAGAGGATGAGGAGGAGATTCTGGAGGAAGTGGAATATGCGTTGACAGAAGAAGATTTGGCGCGCCTGAAGGAGCCTATTGAGGGGTTCATCGATGGTGGTCTTAAGCTGATGTCACAGTATATATACTACGGCCCAAAAAAAGAATTACTTTACTTCGTGTGATCCCCACCATGACATTTATACATTTTCTTACTGGCAAATCTTCTGGCATTCTATCTGACATATCTTCTGACATTCTATGTGGCATTCTATCTGGCATATCTTCTGGCATATGATCTGGCATATCTTCTGGCATATCTTCTGGCATTCTATCTGGCAAATCTGATGCATTCTATCTGGCATATCTTCTGGCATTCTATCTGACATATCTTCTGGCATTCTATCTGGCATATCTTCTGGCATATATTCTGACATATCTTCTGGCATTCTATCTGACATATCTTCTGGCACTCTATCTGACATATCTTCTGGCATTCTATCTGGCATATCTTCTGGCATATATTCTGACATATCTTCTGGCATACTATCTGACATATCTTCTGGCATATATTCTGACATATCTTCTGGCATATCTTCTGGCATATCTTCTGGCATATCTTCTGACATTTCTATCTGGCATATCTTCTGGCATATTTTCTGGCATTCTATCTGGCAAATCTTCTGGCATTCTATCTGGCATTCTATCTGGCATATCTTCTGGCATATTATCTGGCATTCTATCTGGCATTCTATTTGGCATTCTATCTGGCATATCTTCTGACATTCTATCTGACATCTTTTCTGACATTCTTCCCGTTGAGGTCCGGCAGTGCCCACTGCGATCTGGAAGTCGCGGTTGAGGTCCGGCAGTGCCCACTGCGATCTGGAAGTCGCGGTTGAGGTCCGGCAGGGAACACTGGGCGTGGATGGTCGTGGTTGAGGTCCGGCAGGGAACACTGGGCGTGGATGGTCGTGGTTGAGGTCCGACAGGGAACACTGGGCGGAGATGGTCGTGGTTGAGGTCCGGCAGAGAACACTATGGATCGCGGGTCGCAGTTGAGCAAGGACGACGAGGACGACGAGGACGACAAGGACGACAAGGATGACAAGGAGGACGAGGAGGAGGAGGAGAGGAGGAGGAGCAGGAGGAGGAGCAGGAGGAGGAGGCAACTGACATAAAATCTAACAACCCTCACCTGGCAGGTGGGGAACAAGATAGGCTTGGAATATATAATTGTAAAACCTACTAAAATATCCAAAGTATGTTGGTAGTTTGAACCTTTTCTATTTGTTTGAGGCTTATATTTACCTTTTTTAGGCTAGTGGCGATGTATTATCAGCGACTGTTAAATCATTCTGATCACGTTCCCAAAAGAAGATCACCATTATAAGAGGACCACCAATCATGGTTTTGCCAGGAAATGATCTAGAACAGAAATGGTGGATGCTCAAGATTTATAGACTTACTGTAGGGAACCTGCAAACATCGCCAATGGGATTGTCTTTGTTCACTGTTTCAGTGAGACAAATCAGTGAAGTCAGATAGCTGGATAATGTTTACAGGAACAGCAGGAGGATGTGTTCCATTCTAGAGGCTTTTTTCTTGCTGCCATCAACTTCCATCATAATTGGATGTGGACTAAGGGTCCCAATGACCAATCCTTTGCATACTAGAAATGACTGTGGCTCAAACTTGCTCACCCCATCTCACCCCATTCCATGATGGTTCATCGGTTCAACACCAAAACATGCCACAGCGGTTAGGGTTCAGGCACCAGAACAGGAACATGATTTCGATCACTCCCAGAGGTTCAATCAGTACCCTTTGGTAATTTAACATAGCTATTGAAAATGGCACATTTATAGTGGATTTACCCATTGAAAATGGTGATTTTCCATAGTTATGTTAGTTTACCAGAGGGTAGCCACCGAGAATTTTAGTGATCTTTGTGGACTGACTCTCAGTGCGTGGGGATGTAGATAGCAAATGATAGCAATCCCAACACAGATAGGAAGATGAATTTCGCTCAAAAAATAGGGATGTTGGAGTCGCATATCCTAACCAAACCAATCCTCGTAAAAGTAGCTACATCACAACATTGACAACCCCCAAAAACAGGTTTTCTACACCAATGTTCAGGCCCGTTGTTCGCAGGTGCAAGAGGCACAGCAGAGAAAGATCGCTTTGATGCGAGCAAGGGCGTTGCTTGGAGACAGCAGGATGAGTTCCATATCTGGTTGGTGGCTTGGAACATTTTGTTTATGACTTTCCATATCTTGGGAATAGTAACCCCAACTGACGAACTCATACTTTTGGGGTAGGTATACCACCAACCAGATATAGATTTGGGGCATATGTTTAGTATGAAGACTATGAAGACCATTTAATGACTAATCAGGGTATATACATCATGACTTGACCTGTACCCATAATATATTTTTGATGTTGGAATAGTTCTGAATTTCATGGGAATATTCATGGGAATGTACTGATTTCTTGGGAATATTTAATATTTGCTTACTGGAGTGTTACCTGGGAAATATAACCAAGAATATGATAGTGGGTTAGCCAAGTCGATTCATATCTATAGGTTTGCTGTGGTTTGAAGCAGAATGTAGATATCTCAAACTACTTATGTAATGAGTGTTATAAACCACCTTATAAATTGAGGGCACCACCTTGTGGTAGATTATATGGATGTGACTGAACATGGGCGATCAACCCATTCAAATCATTTGATGGTATGAGAAACCATTCAATTTAAGGGGGTACGGGGGTACCCTATTATTTGAACAATGTGTCAGGCAAACCCAGATCAAATGGTGGTTTGAACCCGGACATGATATCAAAAACGATGGTTTCAGCAGAAACAGGTAACCTGTGGTGAGTGTTTCCAGGCGCAAGGAATGTATTCATCCAAGCAAAACATAGCTGGTTCCGAAGTAAGCCACAACGCTCAACAAGCACGGTTGTTTCTATTGAACATGGGGAATTGGTCGACCATTTCTAGAGTCGATTCAAACAGAGCTTGCGTGGTTCAGACCGTTCTACCGTAGCCCGTAGCCCTGCCGTGGTGATGGGAATAGTGATTTGCCTTGATCAATAACCATCAGAGAACCATTCGTTCCAAGGAAACTCTCCAAGGCCTTACACGATCAGTGCCGTGGCTTTGTACGGGTCAGAGTGTTGGGAAGGTTCATGAGTCCATGTTGTCACGAACCACATGTATATGTATACGTCTAATAAAGATAAAGATAAAGATAAATGTGCAGTTGTTGTAATCGTTTTTTTTAATGTGTTGTATCCTAGGATCAACAACCACCCAACCATCCGGTTTTGTTCAGAGAAGATACTCCCAAGGCATGTCCAAGATGCTGTGGAAGCAGTGGAGTTGATGTTGGATGAAGAGGACCGTTGGGTATAGATTGGAATAGATTTGGCGTTTGGTTTGTAGCGATTTGGGTTTACCCAATACTTGGGTATTCGTAAAATGGATTATATACGCAGCTGTTTTTGTTCCGAACTCTGCTCACATATTGAGTACCAATACATGGACAACCACATTTCTTATTGTATCAGACCATTCAGACTTGGGGGTTCAATGATTTTCATTTGTAGCCACGCGAGTTCTAGAAACCACTCCAGCATCGTTTGGGTTTGGCCAGATAGTGGATCATGATCATCGCCAGATAGTGGGACACTGTTTCTGGGATCATAGCCGTTGAAAGTTGATTGGATCATGCCTTATCAAGTTTCTACTTATGACAAGTCATATCCATATATATATATATATGATTCACATAACCTTACTTATTGGTTTCTACTTGTTGATTGCAAGTTGCCAACTGGTGTTGGATGTACTCCGTTTGATCCTTCAAGTACTGCTGTTGAATGCATGGCATGGGGGATGACACTTTCTCCATGTGGAGATCATGAGCAACTCAGTTGCTCCAAGGGCATCATTCCTGTCCTGTGTAAATCATTGTCCCAGGGAAGAGGGACATCCTTTTTTTTCCCACATCTTTGTGTGGGGTTCTTGTTTTTGGTTCTGCACTCCCGCCTCCGGCCCTCCTCCTCCTCCCGCCTCCTCCTCCTCCTACAACTTGCTCACACACAACTTGTCCACACACAACTTGCTCACACACAACTTGTCCGCACACAACTTGTCCTCACACAACTTGTCCACACACAACTTCCTCACACGCAACTTGTCCACACACAAATTGTCTACCTTCACAACTTGTCCACACACAACTTGTCCACCTTCACTTTGCGTGGCAGGCGTGGCTTTTGGTGACAGCCACCTTCAGTTTGCGTGGCAGGCGTGGCACTTATGGCATGGCAAGCGTGGCACTTGGCGACATGGACCTCCACTTTGCGTGGCATTTTTGCGTCACTTTGCGTGGCAGGCGCGGCATTTGGCGACATCCACTGTCACTTTGCGTGGCAGGCGTGGCACTTGGTGACATCCACCGTCACTTTGCGTGGCAGGCGTGGCACTGATGGCACTGGGCTGGCTCTGGTGGCGCGCTTGGTTCCCAGATGACGCCGTGGACGCCGCAGCTTTTTGTGTGGCAGGTGTGGCACTCGGCGACATGGACATGCATCCTGCGTGGCAGGCGTGGGACTTGGTGACATCGACCGTCACTTTGCGTGGCAGGCGTGGCACTGATGGCACTGGGCTGGCACTGGTGGCGCGCTCGGTTCCCAGATGACGCCGTGGACGCCGCGGCTCTTTGTGTGGCAGGCGTGGCACTTGGCGACATCGACGTGCATCCTGCGTGGCGGGCGTGGGACTTGGTGACATGAACCGTCACTTTGCGTGGCAGGCGTGGCACTGATGGCACTGGGCTGGCACTGGTGGCCCTGGGGCGCTTGGTTCCCAGATGACGCCGTGGACGCCCGCGGCTCTTTATGTGGCAGGCGTGGCACTTGGCGACATTGATGTGCATCCTGCGTGGCAGGCGTGGGACTTGGTGACATCGACCGTCACTTTGCGTGGCAGGCGTGGCACTGATGGCACTGGGCTGGCACTGGTGGCGCGCTTGGTTCCCAGATGACGCCGTGGACGCCGCGGCTCTTTGCGTGGCAGGCGTGGCACTTGGCGACATCGACGTGCATCCTGCGTGGCAGGCGTGGGACTTGGTGACATGAACCGTCACTTTGCGTGGCAGGCGTGGCACTGATGGCACTTCTGGCACTGGGCTGGTTTTAGTCGCTTGTCCACACACACCTTGTCCACACACAACTTGTCACAACTTGTCCACACACAACTTGTCGACATACATTTGTTGCACATGCCGATCCTTCACCATATCTTTTCTCTTTCCCGCATTTCCCATCCCATCTTTACCTTTCTTTTGCCAGTTATTGGAAGAAGTTGACATGTGGGGTTATCCGGTCCTTTTTTTTTCAGATATAAACACAATCATCTTACTGTTGGTATATGGCATTAAATTAGTGTTGTTTCCCAAACTCAGTCACCAAACCCGGAGAAATGTATTTGTTTAGAGGGAAGTAGTCTTCCAACCCCCCATTTGGCAGGGTCTATGTTAGTTTAGAGGGAGCATGACATTTACAACAAAAACAACAATACCAGCAAGAACCATGATGTAATGCTCATGCTGATAGCAACATTACTGATGAATCATGTGAGTGATAATCATAATGACAACAACATAATAATGATTATAAGTAGCAAACAAAAAATAAAAAATCAAGAAACGAATGAATGGATAAACAAAACATAAGAAAAATACAGCAAAGACCTTTGTTTAATAAACAATAGATAAATCAACAAAAACCTTTGTTTATTTCCACCAAAGTCACATCTTTATCGGGGACTCATCCCCAAAGTTTTCGGGGTCCGACCAAAGATATCAGTGAATCATTCGGTTTTTCAGCCAGCAGCCAGCTATAACCCCCATCAACTAGCCATATATCTGGGTAAATTATTCAACCTCACTGGAAATCATAGGCGGTTGCTCCTACCTTTTCAGCTTAGTGAAATATTATAATTTACCCAGATATATGATATATGTCTCAAAAGCCTAGTCATTTGGACATAGGACTAATTGGACTATCAACTTAGCTACCTCAGCATCATATTCTCGAATGATATTTCCCAGGTCAGCAAATATCCCCTTGAAATCAGGATACTCCCATGAAATTCCCATGAAATTCAGGGATATTCCCACAACAAAAAAATATTATGGGTATAGGTTAAGTCATTATGTATAATTATACCCCATCAAATTAAATGGTCTTCATAGTCTTCATACTAGACATATCCCAAAATCTTCCAAAATTCATCCCATATTCCTCAGGAGCCAGTGCCCTCAGAGCACCTCGCAGCGCTGCTGCGCTGCGCCGCGCAATTCCCCGACGCGGAGCGCTTCGCACGCGCGGTGAGCGCGGCGCAGCGGGGGAAGGTGACGCTGGACGAACAGGTCCACAGGGGGATCCACCGACATGGAAATGCTATGGAAATCACGGGTAAATGCCATAGCTATCATCTATTCATGATGATTCATGGCAAAGTTTTTGATGACTTTATAGAGATTATATTCCTGCCATACATGAATACTTAGAAGCTGCTGGTTTTGCTAATGTGTTAAGTGCATTAACATAGTTAGCTAACTAGTTACTAACTAATTAGAAGTAGTTCTCCAAAGGAAAAAAATCAAGGTTCAGGACAGCTTTTTTCAAAGTTTTGACAGCATAATTTAAGAAACAAAATGGCACCCCACCAAAGAAAAACACGGCAGAATTAAAAAAGAAAATGTTTGGACAGCATGGAAATTTTATCCAAGGTACAAAATGTTGGAAAAAAGATGTCCTTGGAGGAAAAGAAGTTGTGCTTGCCATTGTATACTTTGCAGCCTCAAAGCCATAATTTTGTTATTCTACATGATTTTTTGGCAAGGTGACTCAACATATAAAATCTTAACCATCACCCAAATATAAAATTGCCATTGCAAGCTTCCACCAAAAAAATGGTTTCAAGGAGAACTTTCATGTAACCTGCAGCCTACATTGGCTGGAAGAGTTGCAGCTCAGATAAGCATGGAAGCTTGTAGAAGCTTTATTTGGACAAGCTTGTAAGAGCTGAAGGTTCTGCGAGCACATTTTTTCATTTTAAGCAAGACAAAGGTGCGGGAGTCAGGCAAGTAATCTGGCCACTTGTTCCTTGTGTGTGAATCACTGGCTGTAAAATGTCTTTCACCTCAATCAGCTGCAGTGAGTCGCTTGAAGATGTCCATTTGCTGGCTTGGGTCCCTGCCCTTGTCCCATTGAAGTGGAACACATCCACCAGGCAAAGCACCATGCCTGCTGCATTGAAGAAATGTTTTGCTCGACCACATCTCCAAAAATCATTGTGGCCACCATAACATTTTTGAAGGAAAACGGCATCATCAGTGTAGCAAGTTGCGCCATTTTGCAAGAGGCAAGAATTTGCACATTCCATCCCAGGGACAAAGCATTGATGCATTTTCAATATGTTTTCCAATTTCTTGGAAGGGGTGCGGGGATCAACCAAGTGACAATCTGTGTTGAACAAATCTGCATTGGTGGCCAATATGCTGATGTGTTCCATGGTAGTGGCTGCCATGATGCCTTTCTCGTAGGTGCTCAACTTGCAATGGGTTCCTCCGAATTTCCTTGGTGTTTTGTGTTTCCTTTCCAATGCCCAACATGCTGGGAGCTGAAGCCATCTCCTGAAACAATCTGAATAGTGCAAGGTCCAGTGCTGCTTCGGTTTCATACCACCCTCAAAACCTGCTTCGACTGTTGCTGCCAAAGCTGCTTCCACCAAAGCCAACAATCTTGCAGGGGAAGGGCTTTGCAGAAAAGGGAGACTGACCAAATAATCAAGGACTTGTGCCCAAGACAAAAAGCATGTGCATTGCTCAACCATCACATTGTTGGCGACATACATCACTTGCAAAAAAAATTGCAATGGCTTATACACTGCCAAAATGTCAGAAGCATCTTCGCATTTGAATGTTCCTGCTTTCCTGCTGTTGGCGACATTTTTGTCTTCAAATAGTTTTCCAATCTTGGAATTTCTGTAGGCCTTTGGGAAGGACCACAATTCCATCCACTTTGCGAGATTGCCCCAAACTTTGTACCCAAAGTTGTGGATGCTTTCCAAAACCAAAAAAATGATGTCATTGAGCACCCCATGACTGCAAAGGCCATGCATGTAGTCGAAGCAGTACAGAGACACAGGCTTCAGCACATTGCAGGTGAGCAATTTCTCGCTAGACAGCAAAGCATGTGGAGAATAGCTCGTCCCGACAGCCTGCTGCCATCTCTCAAACTCTTTCTTTGGCATGTTGTTGCATTTGCTGGCTAGTCTTTGCCAGCTGCTGATCACCTCTTCATCTGTAGCAATCTGCAGCTGATCAAACTTCAAAAAATTGCTGAACACCTTGCCTCCGCCTCCTTCCAGAGTGTCTGCATCCTTCAACTGGAACAAATTCTTGCAAAGGAAGCAAGGTTTGCTCCCTGTGTCCTGCCTATTGGACCACACTGACTTTTGGGCGCCACCATCTTGCAAAATCATGCTCAGGGTGAAATGCAGCCTCAAAGACCCCTTGGATGATGTCAAGAGCACACCTGTCTCTGGCAACCCATCTGCAAAGATACTTTCTAAGACCAAGCGAAACATTTGTGACATACCTGCTGCAAGGTTGCAAATTTCTGCACTTCTGCAAATGGCTATGCAGAACCAACAATCAGACTTCGTCAAGAACCTGTTGAGCTCCAAAAATGATATGTAAATACACCAAGCTTTCCTGGATGAGGAATTCAACATGTTCCCTGGGTGCATCTCATCAGCGTATGCCACACATCTCCAAGGCTTGGTGAAAGATGATGGCACCTTCGCATGCAAGTGGAGCAAAAAGTCAGTGAACGCACCTCCTTGGCGGAAAGCACCAGCCAGCAAAGACAGAAAGTTGAGGTAAAGGACTTGTTTCTTTGTATTGTCCACTGTGGTGGCTTCTGCTGTCTGAAAAAGAGGCCCATACATGGACATGCTTGAGTCTTCCAAGAAGTTGTTGGTTTCCTCCCAAATGGCATGTCGGGAATGTTTTTCAGGTAGCCCACCTTTGTCAATCTCCTTGCAAATGGCAGCTAAAGCACTTTGGGAACAGAAAGGAAGGGAAGCCCTCAAGTCGCTGATCTTTCTCTTCTTTGCATCTGGCTGGCCATCACCCATGGCTTCCAAATCTAACTAAAGCTGCCACAAGTGCTTAGCATGTCGAACCACATGGACGCAAAGTGGATGGAACATGCTTCTGTTCAAACTTCAAAAAAAATCCTCTGGGATTATGTGCCATGCACTGTCCTGAGCTGGTCTCAGCTGCAGCAAGAAATAGCATAGGCTGAAAGGTGATTGAAGCACCAAAGGCAGGTGGCAAGTGAGCAAAAGGGGGAGTTTGAAGCCTCCATGGGCTAATGGGAATTCATTGAGCCTTCAAAGGCTGGTTGCTTGGAAGCCTCCATTGGCTATTAGGAATTGAGCCTGCAAAGGCTGGCTGCTTGGAAGCCTCCATTGGCTATTGGCCATTGAGCCTGTACTGGCTGGCTGCTAGGTGCTCTGCAATGGCCTTTTTGCCTTTTTGCTGATGCTGAAAGGTTTCAGAAGTGTTCTGGCGCCAAGTCCTCCACAGATGGCATTTTGCCAAACTCCATGTAATACTTCACTTCAGTCAGTGCGCATTCAAATTGACTTTCAGAAAGGCCCATGTTGCCACTGATGCCACGCATGAAGTCATTCAGTGGTTTCCACTCCATCCATCCTGGTATGGCAAGAATTTGCTTCACATGGTGATGTTTTTTGTATTGGAAGCACAACCAAAGACTAGAAGATCAGCAGTCCTCCAGGCAAGGTGGTGACATGCCAGTAGGTCTTGGTGCCATCCCTGTGGACCCAAGTCTTGAGGACGGCGGTGCATCCCTCAGAGTCACTATTGCTAATCATTTTCAGTTTCGAACCAAGATGCTGCTTGAGTACCAATGCCAACAAAAGCAAGAAGCACCCAAACAGACAAAGCTTATAGGAGCTTTGTCAAAATGTGGACAAAAGCTTGCAGCAGCTGACTGGGCATTACATGCCAAAAGAGATTTGTTTTCAAGCTGCTGCGATTGTAGTCTCACCTTGGAAGGTGTTCCAGCACAGCTGGCCAGGTGTGACCAGCTGTGAAACCCCTAAGTGATGCACTTCTTTGAATGCACATCATAACCCACTTGTGGCGCTACTTCAAGCCATGGAGCTTTGCATAAGCCAAATATTCAGACTTAAGCCAAATTTGCCCGCTGAAACTTGGGTCTCTGCACTGAGGGCACCCATTGGCTCTGCACTTGGAGCAGCCTCTCTTCTCAGGCACTGAAGCTCGTGGCAAGCTCCCAGCAGAAGCTGAAGGATAGGCTTTTGCCTTTGCTTTGCAGGCACTGCTGCTAGCGGTTGAAGCTGCAGGCCTCTTCATGGCTTGCTTTCTATGAGATCCCACTTTGGCAGAGCTCTTGGCACCTTTGCCTTTGGCTTTCCCGCCTTTGCCACTTAGTGCAGCAGCTTTGACAGCTTTCTCAACTTTCTTCACTTTGCTCCTTTGCTCTCTTTGCAGAAGCTGCTGCATGTTCTGTTCTTCGAACTCCTCCAAAGATTTCCGGGAATTCTCATTGGCAGCAGGAATCTGTTGCTGATCATGCTTTTGTTGGTCTTCTAAGGCTGGAAGGCTACTGGTCACAGGACCCGTCAGGGGCAAAGGCTGCGAAGCTGTGGCGCTGGAAGCTGGCTTCTCTCCAGGGTCCAAAAGCTGAATGTTTGCTCCACTAGCCCCTCTTGCCAAAATTCTGTCGCCCACCTCAGAAAAGCGGCCCAGAATCTTCCAAATCACTTCATCTGCAACAGCTGCAGAACCGGAAGTACCTGTTGGTTGCACTTGCGCTTGGGTGGCCAGCTTGTTGTCCTTAGATGCACAACATGTTACCCAAAATAGAATGATTGAAAAGGAGAAGCCTGCACAGGCTTGTGGAGCTAGCAAGTTGTACTTGTAGAAAAGGAAACTTGACTGTGAAGTTAAGGTTCCTTGTTGGCATTCACAGAGCTGCTGCTGTTTCTGACAGGCACAGTCTTGGGGTTCAAGAGGGCTGCCAAACCAGGAAAATCCATCTTTGCTGGCTTTTCATCCTTGTAGGCAGCAGCGAAGTGTTGAGCATTCATTCCTTGAGGGTCATCCGGATACTTGGCCAATTTCATCGCTTTCTCTGGAATCTCTGTGGGAGAAGTCTGCAGAGCTTGCATCATATGCTTGCTCAGATTGTAGACCAAGTCAGGGTGTGGAAGCTTCTGAGTCTTTTCCCTTTCCAGCCACACCAGAATGCCACAACAGAGTCGCTTCAAGCTCTCCTTCATGCCTTCGACCCCCAACAGTCGCAA